ATAATAACCGACTAAAGTCCGAATTAAGAGCAAAAATATTAGAATTTCGGGCTTTAACCGGCTATGCCAGTGCTTTAAGTATAGTATTAATCAGATTAATAGATTTTATTGCTCTATGGCAGTGTTTAGAAATGTACTGAAGTGACTGTACAACTACACACTAATCACATATACGTTGATTCTAATAACGTAATTCGCTACAAAATTGACTTTCTATAAGTAACAATCACAAAGTTTGCGTGATCAATTTAATCGAATATATACGGTACCCAGTACTCGTATTTATTTGTTTTGTTATATTATATTTTAGGTTAAACGACAATTAACTCAGTTTGTACTTTTTGTCAATATTTCGGAAACCTATTTCGATTGCATAAAATACTGTACCATACAATCATTCTAAAATATAATGGATGATGCATCACATGGTCTAACTCAAAAATATAGCTATACTACATTGTATATAATCGAAATATGCTTGTGCATAGGAAGCGAAGACTTAAATTGATTGCTGCATTGCTTTAGAAAGTGATCTGACAAAAATAAGCACTATTCCTGTACTGGTCAAATTGAATCCATAGTGTTGAAATACGGCTAGATGATCTGCTATCGATAATTATAAATTACTGTAGTTATTTATTCTCCGAATAATCAACTCTCATAGTAGCAAAATTTGTCTACAGTATTTAGCAATGTGCCAATGGAATTCGAGCATACTACATAATAAGCTACGATATCCCTGCCAGGGTTCGACATCGGATAATGTCGATAATTGTGATCAGTGAATTGGTTACAGATAATTAAATTATTGTTAACACATTTTTACCGTTAATCCTAAGAAGAAAAATTGGCTATTCTCAGAAATTGATAATAAATTATTTCTTCGACTTTCAATATAGATTATTCAAGTTTCTATCGATAAATCATTCATTTTTGCAGTAAAGATTTCATGGCAGATAAATTTGTATGCAAGATTTGAATTATCATGGTTAAATCTGTTGTCGTATTTTTTCTAGCGATATGTCAGATATCTATGGCTTCAAGGTTGACTGAGCTGGATTGCAATATAACTAGCAATAAGCCCTCAATTACGAAATCAATTTTAGACATCGTGATGCATCCTATGGTCTTTCGATCAAGTATAGAATTTTTTTCACTGGTTCATCACAGAGCCAGAAACTTGCTAACGATATGACCATTGCAGTATACAAAAGAAATGGGATACCCTCTTACTCATTTACCTCCAGGGTTTACAGTGCTGTCGAATGATTTGCCGTTAATATTGGCCAAACCTGATAGGAATATCACTAATACTACCATGCAGATAGTATGAGTAAATTCAGAAACAGATTTCACTGATCACTGTAAACGGGATAAAAAGTATCATTGCTTATTTGTTCAATACTTCTCTAGCTGAACTACACAGTAATAGCAAAACGCGAATATATGTATGTTCTGAAAGCTGATATTTTTATAAAGATCACAACAAGGTGATTCGTGTCGACGTCAACGCGACATCTTGGTTTGAGTTTTACATAATTTTAGCGTACATGGTCTCATTTCTGATTATATCCAAGTTATTTCTTTAGACTTTCCATAATTATCATTCTTTAATTAACACCATCGCCACTACAAATGGCGACAAATGATTCGTACATCTAAATTACTTGATTTCGCGAGTATTGTGAAGGTATTCATTATTTACAGATGTGTTCCAGAAAGGGAGCATTACCAAATACTTGTGGTTATACTGATATTAATTTTGCTTTGGATATTTCTATACCAATCTATGTGGCTATACGCATATTTCATACTGGTATCTTGGGAATTTGATCTTCCTCATTTATGGTTTTTCAAGCAAGCATTTGTCACGTTATCTACAAGGCCAGATTTCTTCGCTTGCAGTTGCCTTGTGCTATTAATATATTGCAAGGTGTTATTATCATCTTTGTTATCGTCTATACAGTATTATAATACGAGATAAGCTACGGTATTACCATATAATCCGGGGAGTTATACATAGTATGAGAGAGAAAGTAGACAGTGGAAAAAGGGAGTAATAATATTTTATTTAAGTAGTCCCTGGTATTACAACAACTCCGGCGATGTTGCGACAGTATTACAAATATCTACAGCTTCGCAGTTCACTCGGGCGGGTTGAGATCTGATACCTGTAGAGAATGGTACAGCCTCAACTAGTAAATTAACGATCGGAGTCATGATCTACCTACCGCTTTTTGTTGGAGTACACAATTTTGATTAATCATCTATCCTCGAATACTGCCGATCATTTTTCTGACAGTACAAGTTTCGTGGCATACAATGAAAAAGGTTTCACTCTTACACACTTGCTGCTACAGTCTACCTTTCTGCTCATGGCTTGCCAGGATATTTAACCAATTCTACTAAGACAGTAGCCGTGGCTAACCTGCGACTTATATGTACATATGATTCTTTTCTTTGCGTGATCGTTTGGAATGAACATTTCATCGGTTATTTATTGAATTATCCACTAGTTGAACTACCTTACAGTAAAACGCCGCTATACGCGTATGTGAGTTCTATTAGCTACTGCTTTTAAAAATTTCAAGATAAATAGATCAGTACCGATTTTTATTCAATTTATTGATTCCAAATTGCCGTCTATTTTCTTTATGCACTCTCTTTATATTTTGTTTTCAAATTCTTACTTTCCATTTTCTATAATCATCATCCTGTAAATAATGGTATGAGGTTTATAAGCGGCTAATAAATGGTTTGCACTTCAATATCATTCCGTTTCGCAATAATCGTGAAGGCACTCATCTACAGAAGCGTTGCGGAAAAAAAGCAATAATAATTACTTTTAGCGATGCTGAAATTAATTCTGCTTTGGATATTTCATTACTAGTCTATAACGTGTTATCATTTCAGTACATCGATTCCCATCGAGATCTTCTGCTTTACACTGATGCACTTCCTGTAATATTTATAAGATCAGCATTGCTAGCTTACAGAATTAAATATCTGCATACAACTACAACCACAAACTTTGTTTGTGGGCCTATACTTGTTACAAAGTATTTTATTGTTGATAATCATGTGTACTATAAAAAACACAGATGCTTAACATTCCCAAAATTCTAAACTGCCTAAAAGTGTCTAATGATTGGTTCACATCTTCTATGAAGGATGCTTTTGCGAAATCTTACACTAGTTCCGCTTACATGTATTTATTTATGCTATTGCTTTCAAAGTGAATGACTTTAATACCAAATCCAAAGGTTGCTATAAATATTTTCTCGTAATCTATTTTACCACAGCTTTTATTAATCTCTTCTACCTCTTGACGTATTTACTGTTAATTGCTAGCGGTGTAGCTACTGCCACACTAAGCTACTGCGCATATACAGTAGATGTAGTGGCTAATACTAACGCTACTCTGGCTTTATTCTAAATGATGCAATATTGCTGCTATCCTCTCATCAAAATACAATACGAATAACACCTTTATAAAAGCAAATAAAATGATTCACTGTCAATTTTGTCACCGATCAAGAGCGAACGTATTGCAATAATTATTTTATAGACATGTCGTACTCGAACTCTTAATCATACATTTAAACGAGTCTGCTCTCATCTTTTTTTGGATCGTATCATAGCTTGATATCAGAAAAATCGATTAAAATATAACAGGTCATTAAAACGCCTAATTTATTGAAAATTAGTCGGGAAAAAACTTCGTGATATGCACTACTTGGCTTATATTCATAATCAATATAGCTCAAATTAATTAATGGCTTGTACCAGCACCATGTAATAAAAAGGTATTTAGCTCTGGTTGAATTTAAATGACTAATATCGTTATCATTACCAAAAAAGTACGACCATAACTCGATGCAAAGATATACTGGGATAACTAAAATTTACAGATAACATAAAAATAATTGAATATACGATCAAAATACATCAATAACAATTATATGATCTAATACTGTTCAATATCAAGTATCATCAGGAAGTATATGTCAGTCAAGGCACTGCATAATGTAATAGTGGCAATGTGAAATTGATGTATCCCATTATATTCATACTCAATGGAGTAGCTACTGCACCACGTACAGTAATTTTTAAACTTAAAATAACTTACAAGATCTTATAAGGATACTAAAGCAGAATATGAATGTTAATATGATCACTTAAAGAATTTGGCACATGGTAGTCATGGTTGCGCTTCCTAACAAAGCAATTGTTACATCAAGGCAGTAAGAGTGACAATATGTATACATACATTTGTCTACTTCTCATAGCCTTATAATTTTACAAAGACTTAAGAATTTGGTTGGCTCTTTCACTAAGCGGAGTCCGTGAATCAGTCGATAAAGCTTTTAATCTAACTATAAGTAGTTGATAATTTTCATCCTTCACCAACTTTTTCATTCGGTCCACTATTATGTTAATCAAGAAATAATTTCTGTTAAATGTAACTAGTATCCAGGGGCATTTCATGAATGTATAAATTAGTTAATCGTAAAGTATGTGTCGTTATGCCTCTTTAACACTTATATAGCGACTGCACTCGAATGTTTCATACTAACCGCTTAGTTGTTTACATATTTGTTCCAGTAACTTCAAAGCACAAATTTTCACAGCTATGTACTTTTCATCTAGTACAAAATATTAACGTATCATGCATTGTATTTACCCTATTGCAGTGGATTATTCTATGATCTTACATAATCAAATCCATACGTTTTAAAAAAACTTGATTCATTAATTATATATAACATAATTGCAATCATTACAGTACCATGAAATAATTATCGGCTAATGTCTACTGAATTAAGATAGGTACATTAGTTTAAATTAGTCATAGAAATATACCAAGATTGTATCTCAGAGTGACTTCTAGTAAGCTAATAGCTTTTAATAGTAATGCGTAAAGTGATTTTCAAAGCTCAATATAGATAAATTTGTTCTACTACACAATGCGTTTATTATTTTAGATAAATAGTAATTAATTACTGACCTAAACAATCCAAAGTCGGTAACAGTACGTTCGACAATACAGTTTCCCACATCTCATCCGTAGTATCATTGTTGTATGCCCTTTGAAATTGAGGTATAGGGATAGTTAATTTAATCTGGAATTCTATCTATTACCAGAGTATTATACTTAGAATAATATTGGTAAGTGAACACTAGTAAACTCTACCTTTCCAAAAAATTTTCTGCAGCTAACAAAATTGGCATCTGAACTTTCCACGTATTTTTTACAAGTGAAGAGGACATCAGTACTATGTACTCTTTCATAATATCTATCAATTTGTATAAAAATTTAAAGTACTTAGCAATTTTAATAGTTGATCAATTAATACGGTTCACTAAAATAATAATAAAGATAATTATACTTATATAACCTCAAACTCACCTGGTGAAGTGATAGAATCATGCCATGCGTTACCTAGACATTCAAAAATGCATGCTTTTAATTCGATGTTGCCTTCTTCCTTCTTGCGTTTTTCACCCTCATTACAGCTCTAGACAAGTGTTTTTGTAAGCAATAAATTATTGACTACGAAATATAAAAGGACTACTGAAAGTTATCCATTTTATCTTGCAAATGATACTAATCTGATATTGATCTATTAACAATCTACAGATTACCTCTGATTCTTCAAGATAAGGGATAACGATAGATTTAAATTCAACGAATTTATTAATCTTGAATACTTTTAAAAGTGTTGTTAGAGACTTCATAGCAATCATCTTATACGAAACATTTGATCTACGACATTCCCGCACAAATTTGTCTATAATCTAAAGGTAAAGAAGATATTATTATGAAATTAATATTGATAGTGTTGACTGAGACAACATTACCAACCGCATTGATTGTAGCATTTTTACTATCTTCTTTTTGTTCTTCTAATGTATTTCTAAAAATATGTTAACAAAACGGATATAAATCATAGTGAAGATATGCAATTGAGTAACATGAATCAACGTAATCTAAGACATCGTATGAAATATGAAAGCTGTCTACATGTTAATATTACATGTTAGCCTTGCATAAAGAGGTAATAGCGTGGAGAACTGATTCCTATTATAAAATATTACAAAAATAGAAATATTAAATAAGATGTAATCGCTATCCTTCATAAGTTAGTAATTAAATTATATTGTGGTAATACCTTGCCATCCCATACAGAGCCTGATAAAGCTAACTGAAGTGCTTCCAATGTATTAGTAAGGCTTACTAAGGGTAGTTCACTGTCTACACAGCATAAAGATAATGTTCATCTTTCTTAAACTAGCAATATAAATATGGGATTGGTAATAGTATTAAAGAAATTTTTACTTTGTTTATCTGCAAGTGTCATGATTGATTTAGCTGCTTTTTCACGCGTTTTCCATGACTGCGATGATATACACTTGCAACTTATATCCAAAATTCCATCACGATATAATCGAATTCCTCCCTCCATACCTAAAGGTTCGATATCAGTAACATACAAATACATGTATATTGTATAGTATTCTATTGAGTAAAAAAATTTATCGCTAAACTATGATACTCTATCGTTAAAATGATTGTTCCTACCAGGAGTATTTTCTATCCATAATTCCTTCCACATCGATTTTAGGGTACTGTCTGAATCTGGAGCAAATTAGAACAAAAATAAATTGATAGTGAATCAAATGCAAAGCATATCATAGGTTGAGGGATAAGAAAAAAGTAATTTTACCATTGTGATGCATAGCGAAAAATATTAACGGCATCACTTCTGAGCGATAATTTTTGAATAATTCACTAGCGTATTCAGATATAGCACGAAGTACCAAGCCACAGTAGTTTTCACCTTCCTCATTGTCTTAAAAATAATAATCAATATATATTATAAAGTCTAACCTATTATCACGCGTTTGCATAACAATTATTACAGAACGCTAAATAGCCTTCTTTATTAATAGTATTACCAGTCTCAAAATAGCCTTCTTTTAACATAGTGAATTGCTTAGACACGGTATTCTCCTTTGCAATCTATATCATAATGATGCAAATAAGCGGGATTTTGACAATGTGTTTTTCACACATGCGGCAATCACTTATCAAAAAACTATGGTTTCTACTGGTAGCGTCAGTTATCAGTGATTGAAATTTTGTAATTCTTAAATTTAGCCCTTCAATTGAGGAAGATCTAGTTATAATTAGTACCGTAAAACTAAACAGATAGACTGATATCCTGCTATAAAAAATCCTTGAATTTGGCGTATGTACTTAAATAAATAAATAACATCTACAATACATCGTAGAATGAAAACATGGAGTACGCGTATATATTATTGTGCTGCCAGTGTAGCAGTTGCTCACATAAAAATATTAAACGCGTTATTATAGCAAATTTCTACTCACAAGAAAATTGTCTGATGATATATTACTTAAAATTTCAATAATCTCAAAGTTGACATAATCGTTGGTATAACCTTAACTAAGTGGCCGATGGCTGAGGCATAAGCCTTTGATATTGATAAATTTCTATCCTTTGGAGCATTAGAGAAGGCTTTTAATAGGCGACCTGCAGAGTCATGATACCTGGTGAGTGTGATATAACATTGCAAACATCATTTAAATGAATTTTATTTAAATGAGTCTCATTGCCTGCATGTGGTCGCAATTCCTTTGTTTTCAGATTAACAAGTTGTATCACAAAATGAGAACAACCAGCCTAATTTACATTCATTGTTATATTTTAATATTTTCTCTTCAATATCGGATAGTTAAGATACGCGGACTTTACAGTTCAACAATTGAGATAAAAATTTATGTACATGTTAACATGATTTTACCTTGGTGCCTACACCTATACCATGCCTGATAAGAGGAACAAGCTTGGGAATGAGTTCAGTTAAAATTTCTTCATCAATGTAATCAATGCACTATAATAATACATACGTTTAATACAGGGAATATTGCATGTTAAATGATGTATTGTGATAGAGCTTATAGTTAAATAAATAAATATGTACCAGTTTTACGGTATCCATCATGGGGGATGATTTCGAGGCTGATACACGATGACTATCCAACTATAACATTGATTTAATTTAAAAAAAAATGATTGAGTATTCGATCATACAAATAAAAAACGAAGGATTTTCTCAGTCTTTTGAAACTCACTAGTTCTTGCGAGTCTTTATTACGCAGTTGCAGATATAAATAGTTCATAACCTATATAACGCAAATATTAATCATGCATTCTCTCTAGTATCAGATCATTCGTAAATTAAAAAATAAGATCTTTACCTGTGGTTCGAGCGAACTTAGGGATTCTATCATGGTCGGTATCAAGACGGCTATGTGCGGTTTAAGTGTAGCTGCCTATCGTTTTAACATTCAGTTAGTAGGAAATTACGTAATCGTTTCAAAACTAAATCATATAGCATTGACTTACTGCTTTTTTACCAATTTCAACAACCGTATTAAGGCTGAACATCCAAATATTTTGTAGCGTGCCAATGATAAACGATTCATTAAATATATACCTTATATACAATATAGATACTAATCAATGTAATTTGAAACCATGATATTAACCTAATAGCTCTGATTTCTTCAGCTCGGCTACCAATGCCTTTATTAGATAGCAAAATAGGTAAAACACTATCGACAACTTCATGGCTTGCTTTGCTACTCAAATCGCTGCTAATTTTTATTGTAACCTACATAAAATTCGAGATAAAATATTTGATTATACTCACTTTGATCGATAAAAATCAGCTATCATAAGATTCTACATCATGTCATATTAACCTTGATTAGAGTTTGGCAGGAAACTGCAGCCGCCTTACGAACCGTTTCCTGTTATTAAACCATTAGGGCTTCATTATAAATTCATATTACATAATATTGTCATATTATAAAAATACGTACGTTACAACGTCCAAAGCAAAAATATTTTGCAATTACACGATATAATTACAACTTATCTTACTTTTATATCGTCCAAAACTAGAAGGCAAGATTCCCATAATTTAGGCAAATAAGTTATAATACTGTCGATGGATCGACCACTTAACAAATCACTTACGGCTAGACAACTATAATAAAAGCATTACATCATGAATTATAAGGCCATTTACAGAAAACAATTTTTAATGTTTATCAGGACCTCCAGATGAAAGTTAATGAGTTGGAAAATTCACCTCGATTCTCTCACTCTCCAAAATTTATTCGTTAAATTCTTCGATAAATCTTTAGCAATTTCTACCATATATTTATCGACTATCTTGGTATCGGGCACTAAAGCAGACCAGATGCTATTCATTGATTTTTGGATTTTGGGATCGTAACGATAACTTCATAAAATAACAAGATGAAAACTGAATATTTAATATTAAGGTTATAATTATTAGTAACAACGTTAAGACGATCATTTAGGTACCGGAATAATCTTGGAATTAGTTTTGGTAAATATGGTTCTAATTCTTTTCTAGCTTGACTAGCGATTGAAGAAAATCCGATTGCTGCACCCTATTTATAATCAATCATAAGTTCAAAGGGAGTGATACAACTGATGACAGAGTAGTGGTAACTTAGAGTTACATGTTAGAAATGTGAATCGACTATGGACGATAACATGGTCTTTGAAAGCGCAATACGAAATCTTGCATTTAATTCTAAAGTTCTGTACGCACAATACATTGAATTTAGAGTCACCCGTGTCATACGTTCTGTGTATAAACTCTGCAGTACATCATACAGTAGACTACACATATATATTAAATTGATTTAACGGACTCGTAGAAAGAGATATAAGAATGTTAATACGCTGTATTCATTAAGAAGGAAATAAGTGCGTGTCCTATGCAAATCCAGATGAAGGATAGCTTATGGTCGATCAACGAAAAACAGCCCACATGTTACATCTATCAATATAAATAATAATAGTGAAATATATTGTTGTACCTTACGAGAATTCCACAATGCATTATGATTTGCTAAATGCATAAATTTATAAATTAAATCCGGTCGATTCAGATCAGTTGCGACAGCACATAACTCTTTGTATGTTGACATGCTAGAGCTGCAAAAATAAGTATTACGCTACTGCTTAAAATTGATATAGGATAAATAAACTTAAACTTTTATAATCGTGAAAGGTAACATACCCTTCCGGAGTTTCACCGACTTCATTGTTTTTGAATACGACAGTATCGGATGTGACATGTGCACCCGCCCTTTTAATAAAACCGCATAAAAATTTTAAAATGTTACATTTTCACATGCTAGTTAAACCAGAGTGGTTGTACATAAATATTATTTTTACTTTCGCCCTGATGTCAATGTATCAACGAGCATATTAACCAGCGTATCTTTAGTTGTAGATCCTCCAACATCATACAGTAAACCTAAGCCACTAGACGCCATTTCTTGCGTGATCTCTAAATAGTTACGCCAAAATGAATATTTAAAGAACTTTTAAACAATCTAATAAAAGTACTCATCATGGCTGCTAGCAGTTACGGTCGATACAATTACGGTATGTTACTATTGCAAAAAAGGCGAAGTATTCTCAGATTTTAAAAAATTTTTAAGTATCACTTCGTAGCTAATCCACATTTATCAGTTAGTTAAAGTAGACGGCCGTCAAGCCTATGCATAAAATTAATTAGCATTTTAACACAGAAGAAAATTACATTACAATACATAAATTTGAGCGTAAACAATTATTGTTGAAAAGATAGAATATGCTCATATTACTTACCGTCATTTTCTGTTAAGAAATTAATAAAAATTATTTGAATTTTTTGCAACCAATTCTATATTAATTAATGTAAGTTACAAAAATAAAGTTAATAAATACGCTTTGAGTACATAAAACACAAAGATACTACAAGGAATATTTATGATAATTATGGTTTAAAGAATAAATATTTGGGAATAACGATGCAAACGTTGATAAATTATAACCTGTAATTCTGGCATATTGCCAGAATATTTCAATATGGAGAATAGCCAGATACACGTTGCCTACATAGAAATATCAGTTAATACTTGTGCAGATGTCACAGCAAGTTGAACAACTAGATTTGCACTTTCATACTGTATGATGGCTTACTTGACGAATTGTCGGGTTCGGATTGGTTGCATATCGGGTTAGTAACATATCTAGTAACCATCTCATCAATTCTGAATCATATTGATTAGGTTCGCGTAAACTATGGGCAAGTCGGTAGAAATGGCGTTAATCGGTTTTTAATTTTCTAGATTATTAGCCGGCTCAAAATTGGTTATCATTATAACGTACGTTTTAGAGCTAATAAGGTTACATTGAAGAGCTGAGGAGATATGTCTAGCTGTAATTAGTGACAGCGCTTTGCCGATTGTAAATAATAAGTCAATTTGTTGGCCCTGCAGTAATACCAGAACAAAGTTGCAATTAAACAATAACAAAAGTTAGTGTAGTTTAGCAAGATTCCTGTTATTAGAATTACGTGTATCTTACTTTACTTTCCGTTAGCATTGTTTCAATGAGCTCTTTAAGTTTAGGAAAATGAGGGTCACCAACTGGAAGATGGCCAATCGTAATATAAAGATTTTCCTTTACCTGTGGTGATACATTTAAAGTTTCTGATTACTTCAAGTTGAGACCATGAATACAATGTAATAAATCAGGACCTTTTTATCTTTGGATTTCTGCAATCGAGTTTGTAACCTCTTGGCAATTGAACTTTTACTGAGATCATTATCGGATTCATCCGGTAAAGGTAGCGGTTTAATAGACCCCATCTCGGTTAGAATAGTACAGGCAGTATTGACAAAAACGGCTTGCGAATCAGCTAACCTAATTGCTAAAGTGACAAGATATCCAAATTTATCAAAAATTTTTATCAGTGTAGTAGCAGTCAACACGCGTACAACATTTACGATAAATATCAATGAGATTTGAAGGTCATCATAATGCCATATTAACCTATATGATGAAGTATCTCCTTCGCTAGCATATTTTCATTTTGTGAGTCAAAGACTACTTTACAATTTAAATCAGAGGTAAAGAATGTTCTGTAAACTAAACAGAATCCAGCAGAGGCAAAGGACCCATGTTGGACTTCAAATGACTGTATAAAATTGATTTGAAATAATTTAATAACAATTAGTAACTATTTTAGAAGTTACAAATTCCAGTATATAAATAAATTACACAAGCCTTGTTAATCGTTTAATTTACAATTACCATTAAAATTAATTTGAGCTTACGTGATAATTAGATTTCTCAAGTAATTCTCGAACTTGTGTAATATATTTTACGCTGTCTTGTGAAGCTAGTATCATCCCATAGAGTCTACTCGCGAACAATCGGCAGTCATCAGAAACCCCATTTACGAAAGCCTAAATCATTCGGTGCAGAAAGTAGTAATATTCTCCGTGTTATAAGCTACATTGCACATTATAAAGTGGTGTACATGATGGTTAAATTACTAAGCTACTCTCATTCAGCTAGCAACCTTTTTAGTGTTTTTTACCTGAATTTTACTATTCCATTTACCATTCATCAATCTAACATGTAAGCGAATAGGATCAGCATTGATTGCTTCTAATAAGCAGTACAATCCAACTTTATGTAAATTGGAACCTAAAATAATACAGCTAGTTAATTATTATAATGAATACATATTACGATTCTACACGAAACCTCAATTAATACTATAGGCATACGTTACCTCCAGCGGGACTTAAAGACTCATAGGCTAACGAGAAATATTCATCAATAATAGATTCTGTTTTGTGATAATGTGTTAGCATTGTTAGTATCAAGTAATGTTGTCTAAGCAATTTAACCACGAATATAAGAGAAGTAATATCAATAGCTTAAAATTCTGTCAGTTAATTATTAATTTCTACCTTTGTTGAATTGATTGGAGCCATAAATCTGTAGATGTCGATCTAACAATTCCAAAAAAGGTATTGACTGTAAAGCATCTTCCGGAATATCATCTTGACTTTCAAGTAGACATCTCCGAGTATATGTTAATAACTAGGCAAAATGCAAATTACGCTGGTGATAATTCTGCACATATACTATGGCAGTCAAACAATTTAATAAAATTGAAGTGAAGGTTATTATCAGCTACTTAGCAGTAACTCTACTTGCATTAAAAGGTGACAAAATTTAACGACATGATTTAATTCACATTAAACAAAAAGACTACTAAAATAAGTAAGCAAAAAGCAAGTAAATATAGAGTCCTAAAAAATTTAACTTTAAAATTGTAGTACGAAAAATATGAATCACAGTTCGTTAAATACGTGCACAAAAGATTATAAGAGATATGCTATCCACCATACAGATAAATAATTACTACAGTATTTATCCACAATACGATAATAAAATTGTTATCGCAATCATTTTTTATATCAAATTTCATCTACAGTGACACTCAATAAATTGGGAATTCGCGTTAATGACAAAAAAATTATTCAATTTCATACCTCCATAAGAATTGCTGGAGAAAATGGCAATATTCCGCTTTCTGTTTTAAAGCAGCGAGGGTTATTGGTGCTTAATCTTGTTTCCATCTAAATTTAATTGTCAGAATTTTACATAGACGCATACTTTTTTGATCACACGCGTCTGCAAATAGTTTGACTCGTGAAAGGCGTTTGTACCTGTTGTCTCACATATTGTAAAAGCTTTATAAATGATGGAAACTTGTATTCTGGTGTTGAATTTGAGTCGGAAATATTTGAAGCGCTTGTTAATCCTAACCCGCGTTTAGCTTCTTCTCGAATTTCTTCATTGCTAAGGGGCGATATTAGCGAGAAAAAGATAATTTACTACAATGAGTGATCAAGATTTTACAGGCTGGGAGTTGATCTAGAAGTTGCAGTGTCCAATATAGTTACTCGAAATTTTATATTCCTGAAGCTTATGAAATTACCTATCAGCGGAAGCCAATATACAAACATAACGTGAAGTCACATTGTCAGTCGGAAATATAATATTTGCTAGCCTAACAGATAACAACCTACACGGCAATATTGTCTAAAATGGCAGAGAAACGAAACCATTCTTATAATGATTATAGTAATATCCATATTAAGCTTTCTTGGTAAATAGAAGAGTAAAAGAGTATCTATTCATTTTGTACAGAAGCAACAGCTAGCTGTCTTACTTCTGAGAAATATCAAGCAAACTTACATGTTCTACATATTGAAGTAGTAAATTCTCTAACATGGTTGCATCTGTTTCTGATACCGATTTGTAACAGGAAGCCATATCAATTAGAGCATCGCGCAAAGCAGATTTTGAATCTGCGTCTTCCTGAAGAGCAAAGTTTAAGTGATATAGTATATATTGCATATGCTAGAGAACCTTTAAGATAAGTAACGAGCTCCTTCGATTACCTCAGTTAGCGCATTGAAAAACTGCACAACAATACCAACGTCTTTGGCGAACATATTTGGTAATCGCCTAATTAAAAATTAGATATAAAATTAGCGCTATAATCTGATTGAAAACAGCAGTAGCTGTTAAGATCATTTTAAAATGTTACAATAAATACATCGTACTTTGATAAATATCCGCAATTATGGTACGACAGCTGACGTAGAATAGATTCCTATGATTTAAAATGAAAGAGACAAAGTGATTACAGTTGCAGGTTATTATATTCATGTTTATAATTATAGGATATGTTGGTAAGGATAGCAAACCTTTTCACTACTGATTAACTTCTTGAGTGAAGAAAACAATATAGGACCCATAATCTTTATTTTAGTATTTGATGATCTAAAACAAATTTTATACGTTTTAGTATGGATATGTCGTTAAGGATGCGAAAATAGTATGCTATGATTATTTGGCGTTTACTGTCGAAATTTTTACGCGCTTACTTCTTACAAACATGACCCATAAACTGCAAAGCAAAAGTTTTGAGCCGTTGTGTAGTAGTAGGTGCATTCAATGCATCAAAAATGACTTGCATGCAAGGCGGAAATTCATCACCAGCTTTATTAGATTTTATCAATAGTGGTATTATGAGCAGCTTAACTCGATTATTTGCAGGAATTCTTTGCTCCTCAGGTTTAATTATCGTCTGAGTCTAAACAGTAAAATACAACTTAGCAAATAAGGAATACGGCATTCGTGTTATAATCATATACACAATAATACGTCAAAATCTGTAAGAGGAATTCGCAGACACCTACTTTTGAAAGTGTTTTCATCGATGACCCCAAATAGAGCTGGTACAAGATAGTTATAAGCTGAGCAGATTCCCAATCGATCGAGCTTGTATTATAACAGCAGTTTTTTAATTAATAATATGTATGTACAATAATTTGCTACATCAGTATCATTTTCAAGAATGCTGAGATGAAATTCGGCTAATTATACAGTATTGCTGTACAATTAGCAGAGTTTCATCTACCCTATCCTATTCTCTATAGTATTAATGCTAACTATTGATGTAGTTTCATTAAATCAATCATTATACAGTATCTACTTATAGTTGTGTAGCCTTAATACTTGTAGAATGCAATGTCTCATATGACTACCTTTGCCTTTTTGTAAGTTCATTTGAGCCCAGATTTGATATACTAAAAGACAAGAATGTTTATTGCTCTGTACTATTTAGATGGTCAATCAATGAATAAAAGTAATCCCAATCAAAGTTACATTCTACCTCCATCGGGCATCACCAGATGCTATTATAAGGTGAGGAGCAATTGCTGTCTCAGTGAAAAGATCAGTTGCCAGAAATTTAAGGATTCCTAGCTTCATCTGCAATGTTGGTAATAAAGTGCGAAGACATTCATATTCAAATTAATGCATACCGTTAGATGTATATGCTTGAGAAAAAGAATAAACTACCTTTTCTAATTGATCAGGATTTATACCACCTTCTGGAATAATTCGTTTTATACTTGCGGCACTAAGGCAAGGTGCTCCTTCTAACTTGGCTAAGTCGATTTGAGGACTACAGCGTTATTATGAATAGAAGAAAAGATTTTACAACCCCATACGTACTTCAATAAAGTAAAGTTCTGGGTAACCGTTACAAATGAAGTAATTCACCTATAAGGCATAGAGAGAAGGTCTAAGAGATACTGTAGGAGAGAGCTTCCAGTATTACTTAGCTTGTTATCAGCAATACCGATCATTCGACGTAGTTCCTCAACAGAGTACTTTTCCTTCAATTCACTGAAAAGTGGAACTATTAACTGAAAAACTCTGTCGAGAATAAATAACAGGATAAATTAGTAGAGGAATGAAACAAATTTAATTTTAGAGTTCCGATCTGGCTTAGCTATTTCAAGAAATATACTGCTAAATTTACTGATACTTAGGATTTTCTATATAAAGTTTACCGATCTTGCTGCGCTGCAGTTTTGCTAGTGATACATTCAAAAAGTCTAGGTACTATCTGTAACTGGTCAGCCAAACTTAATCTTGTAAAGCCCATTTTTAAATATACCGTAGTAAAGTTCTAATAAAATAAGATAATATTTCATATTACTCTTATGTATTAGCATGTGAAAGCGATAGTGTAGTAATTACTTTACTTTATGGATACCATGATTAATTATCATTTTTATTATTGTTATGGCTAACTCTTGTTGAATTACCTGGACGAACGATGGGGTAGCATCATCCTATTGACAAGCATTATTATATGAAGGGCATAAATTAGAAAATGGAAGTAATTTTTTAATTAAGAGTATAATGTATGGGTCAAGTAATAATAATATTACTACACTAGTATCAAATATCATTATACTACTTCATATAGTACTATCTCCATTAAATGTAGCTGGTCGTTATACTGTGTCATATTGCTCTACTGTACATTACGTATACAAGAAAAGTTACCAATTTAAATATTCTATATTGAATGCTAAACAGGTGTAAACGCTATTTATACTAACGGTAAACAGTTATACTAGGAAAACTATTAATGCTATATACCTGAAATTGATCCAATAAAGCATCAAGAGGTAATTTGATATCAGTTTGGTTGCGAATACGTTTATTGACATGATTCAGTAATTCCAAGACCTATTCATGTAAATAATTCGCAAGACTCATCTATAGTAAATCGAGCTTGATGCAATTTGAAAACAGTAGGCTAATATTAAAGTCCATATTTTAAGACAAAGTTGTGCCTTGAACTAGTACTATATACAACATTAACAGTATCTACAAGGAAAAGGTAGTATAATGTATACACTTTGTTATTTATTGCACTTGCATTCTACCACTTTGCAAGATGTACGGGTCGTATACTTGTATGTGTGCCTCAGTACTACTGATCAAACTAATACGACAAACTAACATTGTGCACAAGCAATTTTCGCACACGAGTATCATGAAGTGTAAAAATCAGCATGCTTCGGAGTAACAAACGTCTACAGAACTGTAGATGGTAGTAATCTAATGTAACTGCGGCTTTCAGTTTTATCGCAATAGAGGGTAAATAAATACTACTAATAGTTGCCTCATTTCTCTAGAAATACGCATACATAGCAATCCTTACCTTCTTTCGAACATCTTCATCAGGATGGCTTAATTTTAGTAGGATCGAAGGCAAAAATTTATGTAACTCTTTTTCCAGCTGCTCATCTTTCTCAGCTAATCCAAAGCGTAACAATAACCGTTCTAACAATTCTAGCCATAATCAACATTATAGCATTGGAATTAATCAAATTTTTCATTGAAATTCGAATGAATCAAATTTTTCTACCTATCTATTCAACCAAAACAACCTTTCACTGATAACATTAACTGTCATTGTAACTCCCGAAATAAAGGCATATATAATTATACAAGACTATTGCTACATTCAAAGGAAGTAATAGGAGATGTGGACATATTAGAACACAAATTCGCCATGATGACTAAAATAATTTCATACCTAAATTGGCTGCCACGTCAGTCATTTTGACAAATGAAGCTGCGTTTTGCTGATGCACGGTGCATTCAGCAAAACTACTGTACAGGACTGTACAGTACATTTTGTATTGCATCGTACAGTACAGTATTGTACTGTACGGTATAATTAATTATTGAAACCCAGTACAGTACCTATTGACATATTCGTAAGGTACTGTACAACCTGTACTGCAGGTTTGAATCTGTGCATCAGATCTCCATAGTACAGTGCGTATCTTATACGCCTCTATTGTGATCTATGCATACATATACAGTACAGCAGCAGGGACTACTAAGTGTTACGAGAGAAAAACGTTTTCTCCTAGTAGGCAATTACGATATGGTCGATGGACAGTATGGCAATCCAAGATTCTAGGATTGTCGAAAGTTTCGAGGTTAACTTGTAACAACTGGTTTAGTTTAATAAAAAACAACATACTTGAGCTAACAGCATTACAAGTCAACCTCGAAATTTTTGATAATCCTAGAAGTAGATAGTCATACCTCGGGAATTGACCATATATCATGCAACAACCTTACCGTAAGATTTAGTTGTCCATGACTTTAGTCTACCGTCAATAGAAGTACTGCACAAAATTACTAGTGACCACGCTTATACGAATGTTATTATATTAATTATGAATCATTATACGTACTTATCCATCCATTCTTTTATAACGGAGGCTTACGAAACTAAATTCATCTACGTATTAAGATTCACATTCACCAGTTGATTGTATATTGTACAACTTACGACGTTACAAACTACTTTCCGATTATAAAGCGATATGCTATTATTAACAATCCAATACTAAAGCCATACGTAAATCCGCTTCGGAATTATATAAATGCACATGGCCATAAACATTGATTACATTATCGGTTATTTCATATTTTCGATAATCGTAATCAAAAATCTACTAACACTACGAATACTTGATCAGCTTCATCACCGATACGGTTACTGATAACTCAACGAAATACATGCGACAATTTAATAAGGGTTATGTAAAGTTGCTATATGATAGCTCTGACTGATTAATTCATAGAAATCAGAAGGTAAGATCAAAATATTTTAGACACCGATGAACGAGGGTTAGTATTGACTGTTTTTATTCAATGACGAATTAATGGTTAAGATCATCCAATCGTCCGAGAAAACTTCATATTTACTTCGAATTAGTACTGTACAGCTTGGACTACAAATAGATGCCCTACAATGAAGGAGAGATGGAAATAAAAGTTAATATGATTGTATACGGTTAATTCATATTTCAGAAATTAGCTTGAAAATAGAGTATTTAATTTCGTAACATTTCGGGCTATTCTGTCATTCGTAGTTATCAATCATGCAGTTATGAAACTATCTTTTAAGACCTAAAGGTATAAATATCTTTAAGCAATGATAAAGCCCCAGAACGCCTCTTTTTAACATTCCTTATCAATTTTATGGTATACTGTGTATCAAATACTATTAATCAACAGTCACTCAGGGTAAGAAACTACCGAAATCATTCTGCTTGAGTTAGTATAGTATAATCTGCTGTTACCTTGCATACAATGTAAAGTAATGCAACAAATACAATCTATCCAAACAAACCTAACGCAGCCGCCTCGCTTCTCTTTCAGATTCTAATAGAGAGAGGATGTCTCCTTCACGAACAGGTCCTTTTACATTCCTGATGATGGAGCGATTAGTATCGTCAAGGAACTCAACGCGGACCTAAACAAATTGATTATGCATCCAAAATTAGCGTTTAGAAAGCTGAGAAGTATTCATCAGTGTACTTACTTGTGTACATTGACCTTGCGAACCGGTCCTACCCAAGACTTTGGTTACCTATAATAAAATGAAGTTATGTCATTAGAAGAATAAATATTCTAAGCAGCGACCACAAAAACATAAAAACTGCGCTCCTCTCCTATTCAACACGGAAATCTACAGCTCATTGGTGAGCATGCCAACGCTAAGGTTGCATCAATGCTGTGCGTATAGGGTACGTTAAAAGAACATTATTCAACTTAATAAAGTTCTGCAAATATAGCAGACCTTTACAGTAATTAATAAAATGACCATCTCAGTGCACTTATATCGTCCAGGGTTGGCGTGGCTCGGTACAGTACTCTACTACTAAATTTGAAATGTCTCCTCAAATAGATGACTACGTAAACCCTTTACTAAATCACGTCTTAAATTGACAAATCTCACAAGGCAATCGATGATCCAAGGCATTTACATAAATCATACATCCCCAAAAAGTTAGATTAAGTTAATTAAATGAGTTAGTGTGCAGTGATAAGCTTAACAATGCAGAATTTCTGCCGATTACAGATCAAGCTTGCTATTTTTATGTATCAAATATTGTAGTATAATATATTCAGCTACTCTAAAATAGACCATTTAATGTACTGTAAATTGATCTCCAATACTTTTACTAAGATGAAAATGTTGTTGCCTTGATGCAGATCGAACATGAAGCATTGGCATAACCCGGTAATCGTCTACAACAATATAACATCGCAATAAATATGCAAGTTGATTGCAAACTTTGGAAACGGAGTAACTGCATACTTAATACATCAGATCACAGTCTTGTACAGTACAGTATAGTAAAGCGAATCATCGAGGCATTTACAGAATTCCTCCAGACTTCAAAAATGAAGTATACATCGTGTAAAAGTTATAACTTCCATATTTAACTTCATAAAAAGAGTCCACAAATTCTTATAGTCAAGATAAACTTTGAAAAATTTAGAAAAATTGCACTTACTCTTGCTAATTTAATTGGTTTGTCCATCGTTATACTATCGAGCAGCACAGCCGATGATCAGCAGAGAAGAAGAGGCTTCCACACGTGCGAAAATCTCCGTATGAAGAAAAACTGCATCGTATCTGCCCATGCGTGAAAAATGATGGTACTATACCACGATGGCCATAACCGTCACAAGTGTACCAGCACAGTTTATGGCCACTGTTTTGTCCTATAAGGTACAATTACTGTATTCCTACGCATACGCCACTGTTGCGTGTAGTGTAGATCTTTGTACATTCGCCCATTAGGTATATCGTAGCTAGCTTAATATCGCTGGCCGTAATGACCACGACCACTAACCACTGACCAGTGTTACCTACTTTACTTGACCATACCGTACCGTACCGTACCATACCGTACCGTGCCGTACCATACCGTACCGTACCGCCCATCACTCCAAAGCTCGAATCGAATCATTTGATACTACAGTACTGTACTGTACAATATTCCTGTTGATGCACTACTGCGTTAGCCTGTTAGTTATATTTTTTCCCAGTTAAAGTACTGTACAGCGTCATTAATTTCAAAAATATAACTAACAGGCTAACGCAGTAGTGGATCGACAGGAATATTCGACTCCAACAATACAGATCACTGTAGATTATTCTTATACTGTACTGTACAGTGTACTGTACCGCACAGTATTGTACAGTACTTTTATTAAAATACAGTATGTACTATACTGTACAGTACTGTACTGCACAGTACAGTATGTACTATTCCACTGTACCATCAGTATATTGTACAGTACAGTACAAATTGCAGTTAGAAATGCACAAAGTCTCAAAGATTCATGAGACGTTAACATACTGTACTGTACTGTAGCTAATACAGTAATGTACAGTACAGCGTTACAGTATTTATTAGCTTGTACAGTACTGAAGTAGAAGTCCTTGAGACCTTGACAGAGTGACACTACAGTACTGTTGACGTTGGATTACGAGAGATGGTTGCGGTCTTATTCCAGTCTTGTAGTTTTTGAATGAATTAATTTAATCGCCTCCCCTTTTTCAATTTACCTATCCACAGACATGAATATATAGAGTACTCATTTTACTCTTTATGAAAGTATAAACTGTATGTGTGGGTCTATAATAGATATGACAAGATGGTTTTAGAAGGTAGAATTACTAAAGAAGAATTTAACGACTTGGTTCTCACGCTGATCGAAAAGTCCCAACAATTGCACGATGAATGGGAAAGGATCGAACATGTTTGTGGTGATAAAGTCGTTTATTATTTATGCAAAAGAAATTACTATCGATTAGTTAACCCAACAAGGGTATCATCCAACAATAATGCTATCTTGGATGATGATACCGATGATGACGAAGCAAATGATATCTTACAAAATTGTAGTACAATTGAACCTGAAGATAACAACTGCTGCAATAGTCTTCCACAAGCGCCTAATAGCCAAAATCACCAACAAGTTTATCATGTTTATGAATATCATATCGTTTATAGTCCGGCTTATTCCGTGCCAGTGTTATATTTTGACCCAAAAACAACCGATGGAAGAAGATTAGCTTTAGAAGAAATTTGGAACACCGTCAATTTAGAATATGCACAAAGTGTTAAGTATGATGCTTGGTCTTTCATAAGTCAACAAGAACACCCTTTGCTGGGTAGAGTTTTTTACTTTATTCATCCTTGTCACACGTCAAATTTCATGCAAATCATCACTGGAAAAGGATCGAATGAAAAACTTTATTTATGCACATGGCTATCTGCAGTCGGCCCTGTTATCGGTTTACAATTGTCCCCATCATATTTCCTGTAAATATTGTAACAAAGTCGTGACAAATGTGATATACGCATACCTGTACAGTAAGGTAATCATCGATTACTCTAGTAGTGCCTTACGTGGTACCAACTGATAGCTAATTTGTTACAATTTCACAGCTCTTTGCTTTCATATAAAAAGAACAGTATTCAACCCCATTATATTTGAGTTTCATACTATGTACTGTACTCATAATGATATGTCCTGTACAAAGTAGTTATAGTATTATTATGCACATAAAGTTGCACGATACGATGATGGAGAACGTAATATATTTATTTATTTTTATATAAAATTGAAATGTTGTACTCGCAGTACATAAGATTTATAAGCATTTTATAGAATATAAAACAAGTTATGCCATTGTACATTAAATGTTGTAGTATATTTAATATATAGGGTATATATTTGTATACTTCATAGTCTTCCTGAGTGCTTGAGCTTGGCATAAGATGAATAGTTAAGATAAGAATCAATGTAAAACTGTATGGTAATATGAGACTTGACGTCAAATTTAGCCTATAACGGAGAATCACTCTGAGATGCTCAATAACCAGAATGTAGCAATTTTAGTAGTCGTGGTAATATCCAATATCACTTTACATAGATACTTCATATACAGTATTGTCCAATTATAAAATTAATCGAACATGACAGAATTACTTAATGCTATATAGATGTTGCATATAGACATTATAATCCTAATAATGAAAGATTTAATACTATCTAGAAATGAATAAATATAAAAATTGTATTGACGACTAAAATCTATACAAATTATATTATACAACAAGGAAATTCAAATCATTGTAACCTGGAGCACCGTTCTGATCCTTTTTCTGATGATTTTTCGAGTTTAGCAATTCGTGATCCGAACTGAATTGCTTTTTTTTCCAATTTTGATGATTGATGTAATCCTAATGATTGACCAACCTGTCTTAGTAACAATTTATCGCCAACTCCTTTGGGTAATCGTAAATCAGCCTAGCATTAAAAAGTAGCCACAGCAATGTATGCTTTAGTAATCAAAGTATTTCAGTATATGTTCCAATTTACAAGTTATAATCTACAAAGCTTATCTAGGCTAGCAACCTTATTCCAAATAGGCAAACTATTCAGAAAAGATACAACGTTTTCATCAAGATAAGGGAATCTGGCCTCTCTGTTGTGATCACTTATACACCTAATAATATTAAATGTGAAAGATAAAGGATCGCTGTAACATAAAAAGTGAAACAAAAAGAAACAAAATTTCGTACGTCTTTGATTGTTAGACAGCTATAACTTGCGTTAACGATCACTATAGCTTAGTAATATAATCTCAGCAAAAATAACGATATTAACCTGTCGTCACGTCCTAAATTGCGTGTAGATATACGTGAGATCTCCATTTCGACTTCTTTTACCAAACCTTCCCATCCATCTCTCCTATAAATGTGTCACAAAAACAGTTGACAAGAGAATGTCAAAGTCGTATCACACAATATCAACAAGTTTATCATACTAAATGAACTAAAATAATTTAATCAACTTTCGCACATGAATCTCGTTCGATGTCTTGCATAACCGGCAAGCTGTTCGTCTGCTCCCATTCCTACAAGTAGAACCTGAAAAGTATGCACCGGTTAAAAAAAGAGTATTAGTAGAAAGATAAATAAAAGTAGAAGATGATTGCAAATATACAGAGTATATTGTTACGTTAATTACTAGTTTGTACAATTAAAATACCTTCGCAGAACTACAGTAGGGTAAAAGTGAGCCCTTATCACAATCTCTAATGAATCCTCTTCCTCTAGCAGCAAACCATATCGCACAGCCGATACTGTCATCTAAAACCGTTCGATGAGGATGGACTAGATGTTTGACGTGATTTTTCCTGAGTGATAAATGTAGTGCTTAAATCATATTCTATACACTTTAGATGTAAAATACTGTAAACAATCACAGTGCGTACTACTATATTAAAATATTTTATCTTATTTCTTACCGAACTTCCTGCAATTCTTCCGATGAAATATCGACCTAAAACAAACAGTTTAAATTAAATACATTATGATAATTATTATGTTACTTTATAATAATTTCTAAGATCCACAGAACTGTTCGCAAAAAGGCGGAAGCAAATTACCTCGATAAAATTCCACTGACGACGTACATTACTTCTACGCAGCTCTTGCAATACTTCTCTACCGCTAATGCGATCAGGAACCTCAAATATACTATCACCTGAGTGATTCTTTGTAGCAAAAGCGACATTTATTAGATCTATCGATTCGCCACTTGGTATGTGCCTTAGTAAATTTATTAAAGATAATATATAAGACATGTACAATACTAGCTACAGATCGAATACTACAAATTTTATCTAAGAGAATATCTACCTATCTGCTAAAGCAGCTACTATGGCAGAATCGATACCTCCAGAGTATAATACTGCAATTCTAGCTTTACGACTGTGCTTAAGGTTCTGTTCTTCGTCAACATTCGCTAAATGTACACCACAATCAGGTGAGATACAGCAAACACGTTTTCTAACGGCCTCGCTAAGTATCGAATAAAAATTATCTACTAAGGATTTCTGATAGATTTCATCATCTGCATTGTAATTATCTGAGGGAAGTTGTCGAAGAAAAGGCTTCAAATGATTTTTAATTTCCAAATTATCGTGTATGCTATACCAGCGACCAAACGCATCCTTAAATTCTGCTAATTCTTGCGGTTGCATACATTGTACTTCAAGATCGATCATGTTCAGCCTATAAGGACTATGCCATGGGTAAAGTTGAACCGATTGACTGTATTCAGTCAATTGCATCCCACCATTAGCTACATTCAGTCGCGTTAGATTAAGGCAAAAAATCCCGAGTGCGGGAAGTTCAAACCATTCCTGTGAAATGTACGTGCTGATATCAATAGTTGTGCTTTTACAGCGAATTAGTAAGACATCAGGTTTACAGGAAAAAATTTTTTAAATCTACTAACATATTCGCTACATTTTGGGGCTACGGAAGAGAGTGCAAAGTAATCATTTTCATTAATCGGTAAATGAACAAGTAAGCTACGTCTACCAAATATATCACGTCCAAACCATAAAAGATTGCTAGCTGCCTAAAGTGAAAAATAGAATATCGATTACAAGAATAGGATGTACTTTCGATACCTCAATAACTATGATAAATAATTAATGAAAAGTTCATATGGCACAATTATTAATTATTATCTTAGGACTATACTGCATAGTGTTAAGTCAATTAATATAGTAGCATGGTATTTCATTTTCATGCAAACAGTAATTTAAGTCCTTTGAGATGAACGTGCTTTGGTGTGTTTAATGTTAGTACGCGTATTTCTATGACAATAATTGGCAGCACTACAGCTACAAGTTACTATAAAACCGGTATTATACTTTGTTTAAATCATCACAGCGTAATATCGGTTACCTATAGTCACAGTACTAAAGTCTAGTCAGTTGATTACCTGATAATATATAAATGCATATGGTCCATCTATTTTCGAAAACGCATTTAAAATATCCTTTACTGCAGCACCACTTGCTTGTAAATAATTTAGCAAGCTCATAGTATCGCTTTCAGTTTCTTCGACCTAACATAATGGACGAATGTCACTTACGAATTTCAGCCTGTTTGTCAAAAGCTTATTCGTATCATATCGAAATTTTTTAAACCTCTAGGCCTCCAAATATTTCCCCATTCCATAATAATACATTTCCGTTAGCATCGATAGCCGGCTGGCATCCTAATTTCTCTCCTCTAAGATGTAGCACACAGCCATGAAAGTTCATCGTTTTGCTAGTACCATTGACACGGATATCATGAAAGCCTTGATAATCAGATCCTCTTCGCGCAATGAGTTGGAGGGCCTTCTCATAATATGGCTGTCCATTACATAAAAGCAAGCAATGCCGTAATTATAAATTTTTCGATTAAAGTTAAAATTATGGAGGTCAACCGAAATGATAAGGTTCTATCATTGTAAGCAGCTGTAAATAGCCTGTAATAACATCGAATGACAGGAGCATTACATTTTTACATGCAATGCATAATGAATTGCAGTGCTGTACATTTACACGAATGCGAGTGTACAATTCATACCTTAAACTCTGTTGCATGACTAAATTGCAGCCAAAAGCAAATACCGCACATGCTGAGATTGCGTTTGTTAATGACTTTGCAGACGCATTCCAAATTTTCTGCAGCATTGAATGAAAAAGTGATTGGAAAGAGCTCGGTAACTACGGATACTACAACAACGGACGTACGGACTAATTGCACCTGGCGCACTCTGGTATCATACGATATTTCGAACGAAATCGATTGTAGTACTAAATACAGTACACTGTACAGTAGGCTGGGACTCAGGTGTTTGCTTCGATCACAAACCGGTGGCGCATACTGTACAGTACAGTACACTGTACACTGTACAGTAGGAGCTCTGGATACTGTACCAAGTACTGTACTGTATGTACTGTAAAGTATAGTGGTACAGTACAGTACTGTATTCTGTAGTCTAATGCAGTACAACTCGATCTCTGTTTAGCAAAAGAGCAGTTGAGAGAATTCGATTTTGCAGTAAATTATCCTGCATAATTTTCTACAGTTAATTTTTTGCCCAAGTATCACTGTGATACTTGCAAAACGTCATGTAAGCGTGATTTACTAACTAGATCTTTTACTGTATATTCGGCTTAAAATTAGAATACGTAGATGATGAGAATGATGATGTTAATTCATTGCATTTTTATCTGGCCTCATTTGATTTTATGTTGAATTGATCGCAGATACTTCTACAACATCAGCAAGTACTTACAAGATTCTACTGTTGTAATTTCATCATCATGGCAAGTTATGCTCAAGAAGAGGACGAGTTTCAGGAATGTTACGAACCTTTAGAGCCAACATTACGAAATGTTATTGATCAGTCTTCGTTACGCTGGATATTCGTTGGTGGTAAAGGCGGTGTTGGAAAGACAACATGTAGGCAAGTATTTGAATAATCAAAAAGGAGCTTCTTCCTTGCTAAGCCGTCATGCGATACAATTGTCAACCGATTTACTGCGTGTTAGTAAAGTATACTTTATGGCTGATATTATCTTGATAATGAATAATGATAGAGTAGTGATGAAATAGTATTCGTTAGTTAAAATAGCTATTCCAGTCTGGTATCTTTTACAACCTACTGTATGTACAGTACTAAAATATTTGCAAGAGCTTTTGAATATAATCAGATGTGAATTTATCCAATGTAATGGTCTTTCCTACGTATGGTAGAATGTCGCTTTTAAAATTGTACATCTGAAGCAGTTCCTTGTAATTTGTTAGATAGATAAGTGAACTTCATCTTTGCTATGTATTAGCAGATTGATAGAATAGCTAAGGCTGCCTCTTCAGTACTGTCGTCTATCTAGTGTGTCCCCTCTAAAGTATTATGATATGATCTTTATGAAAGGATAAGAGAGCACACCTGAAGCGGACAGTATGGTATTAGCCATAGCAACTAAACATGCCGAGTACACAATATCAAAGTAGTCTACAGTTAAGCTAAGCCGCTATCTAACGTAGATGTATATACTGTACATAGCATTACTTAGGCTATGCAATTGTAAATTTTGGATCGTTAGTACCACTATCAGTATTACTACAATATCATTAGCATATTTCTAATTTTCTGTACTTTGCACACTTTAGTTGTAGCTTAGCAATACAGCTAGCCAAAGTTCGTGACTCCGTTTTAATTGTTTCCACCGATCCGGCCCACAATATCTCTGATACCTTTGGCCAAAAATTTACTGGCGAAGCAACGCCAGTAAACGGATTCAACAATTTGTTCGCTATGGTAAAAAAATTCCTATGATTTGTCAATAGATAATGTAATGTTGCGATAATATGGCCACTTTCTTGAATGTATGTATTCGACTATATTATATCTTGTCTATTCATGTATAGGAAATCAACCCAGCATCAACTCTTGATAACGTGACAAGTAAGAATTTGTACTTATTAAAGCTTGTCTTCGATTTAAATCGGTTCTGTTCGTCAGTATATTGTTTTCCGTCAGTCAGTCGATATCTTCTCATTAAATGGTGTATAGTATGTACACGAATTCATAGATGGATCCTTATCTTACAGATAATTCTAGCAATCCACTTATAAAAAATTTGATGAGTTCTATTCCTGGGATTGATGAAGCCTTTGGTTTTATGGAAGTTCTAAAGTACGTAAATGCTTGAATAACAAAATCTGACCTATTCTCAAGTATATTTAATAGGCTACAATTATGTTTTTCTTATTTTTTAATAGTTTAATTAAAGACTATAACTTCTCTGTCGTGGTATTCGATACTGCCCCTACTGGCCATACTTTGCGATTTTTATCCCTTCCGAAGACATTTGAGGGAATCCTCCCAATGTTTTCAGGTTCTGCAGCACAACAGTCAGTCGTTAATCAGGTAAATTAAAATGAAATTGATACACTGGCTGTTAATTAATAGTCAACATATTGATCTACAATATTTCATCCATTAGTTTGCTAGTCTTATGGGGTTTAAATCACTTGGTGAAGGAGATAATGTTCACACAGCTATGCCGCTAATCCAATCCGTTAGTGAACAGTTTAGAGATCCTGTAAGTAACGCGCCCTTTATTATCTATGATTTCTGTTGCTGTTATTTCTATACAATGTTAATGGTAATGGTAATCTTTCTGTATTATAACCAGGAATTAACTACCTTTGTTTGCGTGTGTATTGCTGAATTTCTTTCACTATACGAGACTGAGAGACTAGTTCAAGAATTGTCAAAGTTTGGCATTGACACTCATAATGTTATCGTAAATCAACTTGTCTTTCCATCGACAGGTAAATCTGTACTGTACTTACGCAAAAATAATTAAATACTGCAGTCTTGATCGGCAATGTTATATTCACCTAATATTAATTAATTCTGTTATACAGACAAAAGTTGCGAATTATGTTCCGCTCGCCAAAAGATCCAAAAGAAGTATCTTGATCAGGTACGAACGATAGTGATGTAATACATTTTCAGCTCAACTTACTATTTCTTAATAAAATGATATTGCTATAATACCTCTATAGATTATCGACCTATACGAAGACTTTCATATTATTAAGCTCCCCTTATTACCCCATGAAGTACGAGGATCAAACCATTTAAGAATGTTTTCAGAGTACCTGTTTAAAGGCTATTCGGTATCGTCATGATGTCTATCATAGAAAACGCACAAGTTAACAATCGCCTTCGTAAACTATTTCTTACGGAGACACCGTTGTTAAATCGATACTTTCTGAGATCTCCAGATGAAATTAAAACTATTTATGTTTTCATTTAATCAGATTATTACTTATAATTGGTAAATACAATTCATCAGATAAAGATGCAGCAAAGTATTAAAATATCTATAAATGAATATACAGTATGATTACTGGTATAAAATTGTGTAATATTTTTCTTATATGGATGTCAAATAGTATAAGTCTGTTGTATTATCACTTGTAGATAATTCTGAGTAGCGTGCGTGTACACTGTACATTACTGTATTGTGAAATAAGTTTCAATGCAATGCTTGGCATGATTAACACTGATGTTTTACTGCCTGCATCATTTTTGATAGCAGCGACAAAAAGCGCATGTAATGTGTTCATAGTGTAACACCACGGCAAATGGACAAATATGATGTGTAAATGAAATCATTTGTTTAATTGCACAAGTATTTTAGTAGTCATAGGAAAGAAAGAATTGATATAATTAAATTCTTACAAATATCCAGTATACTTATATAATGCAAGAAATTTAATAATTTGCTATACTGAATATGTATATGCGTTCTTGCTTTGTACAACTACCATGAGCATATTAAAATTAATTAGTGAAATAGCATAAGCTCTTTCTACTGACTACGGTTATACTGACATTCAACACTGTATATTGTCACTGTCAGTTGTAACGATGCTGTAATTAACCATGTGTAATTTCCTTCGTTACAGTTTCGCACAAAAATTCGTGAGATATTTAATATAAGAATTTATCACTAACTGAAATTCATTCGTAATTAGCCGGTAAGCATACGCTGCCGCCAATGGATCGCTTTCTTTCGTTTTACTGTAAAGCATAATCGACCCTGATACGTTAGATCTAGTCTTAATGCAACGCCAGTCATTTAAGGTATGTTCACTGACGATTAATTTTAAATTAAATAAAGTTCGAGCTAATGCTGAGTATATACACTTACGAAATTGTGTCATAGTGTCATCATAGATTCATACTCATCCAATGCTAGCGCTGTATACTCGTACACATATACATTGATCGTGCCAATTATAAATTATTAGAGAAAGATATTCTTTTGATCATCGAGCTAAAAGAACTATCTAGGGTTATCCCTTGTATAGCACGAATAATAACTCTATTTCGGAATTAAAACGCATGCTGCACTGCATAGTTGAGAGCGTTATATACATTAACTTGATGGGCAATTGTAAGGATTTTTTTAATATTAGATTGATAAAGAAATGTTGAGCATCTCAACTGCCAATCTAAAAATTTCTAATAATAATACAATGCCCAGAATATCGAAATTATAAATAAAACTAAACTATCCAATAAACATGAATGGATTGCTGTCCTTATCCAAAAATCTCTATTTTAAAATGGGACTAATTACTATTAAATAACATAGCCAGCGTTATAGAACCATACTAAGAGGTCAATAATTGTAAAAGGAATTATTATAACCTTTATTTTTCAAATGGTAATTGTTTACGAAGTGGAAGTAAGCCATATTATGCGTCATTGCATCGTTGCAGCTTTTATCTAACTTGATGCAGTACTTTTACCGTGTTTCTACCTAGTTAATATGGTACAGTCGAGCGTCACAGATAAATATATAATGTGTGTGTAATACTATTATACCATAGTTGAACGTGTTCGGTCTGCGTATTTCACGCAGGCAGATCGGCGAGTAACTAACTTAGACACTGATCAAATGTCGATAGTGCCTATCATTTCCCTCCTTCAGATATTATAGCTATATCACTGGCAATATGTAGATCGTCAAAGGATATTATAGAAAATGATGGGTTAAATTCATCATAATTTGCATCTAAAAAGAAATCCTTACCTTACCATATGTCAGTAATTATTTTATTACAGCGTGGTCAATTATCATACAGGTATTAATTAGTATCCATTAGATTAGATAAAACACAGTCAAAGACTAGTTGGGATTATCAACGTAAGCAAATTTTGCATCAAGGATTTCGTCCATCTATCGAATCGAATTTTATAAATATCCATAGAATTTGGTACACTGTGCTTCGGTCTCTATCAACATGGATATTTTGATCCATAAATTGACTTGCTCAAGTTGCGGAAATATCTTTAATGAGCCAAAGATTCTTCCATGCCTACATACTTTTTGTAAAAATTGCATAGAGGCATTTATGGCTGAAGGAAGTGCATTTTGTCCCGTCTGTAACAAGAAAATAGGTATGAGGCATATTGATGAATTATCTGATAATGTCTTTTTACATAGCGCTTTTGATATGCTGGCGTTAATGAAAGATAGAGAATCTTTTAATTGCGACGTTTGTGATCCTGGTGATAGTAATAGTGTAGCTTTCTTTCGTTGTCCTGAGTGTATGCAATATTTATGCGAGCTGCATGGTAGTGCTCATTTAAAAGCAAGAGCTACTAAATCTCATCAGTTATTCACTATTGATCAACTTCTCTCCAGTTGGAATTTGGCCCATCTTAATCGCCCCGCTTGCTGTAGTCAGCATTTTAAAGAACATTTATCAAGTTTTTGTGAGCAATGCGACTACCCAGTATGCAATATATGCATAGTTAATGAACACAAAGGACATCCTCATATGGCTATTGATCATGCTAGCAATATTTTCAAACCTACAACAAGTAATTTAATCGGAGAAGCTAAACCTCGTATCATAGAACTGCGCGACGCTATTTCTGGAATTGAAGAAATGTGTAAGAATATTAGCGAAAATGCTGATTTAGCTCTTGATGATATCGAGGAATGCTTCAATAGACAAATTAACACCTTAATGGAGCGTCGAAAGCAACTAGTAACCGAAGTTCAGACCTGCAGAATGGAACGACTAGAAGCTTTACATGAACAACGAGATAGGTTACAAATGCGACTGTTAAGTGTGAGTGAGATGTACAGTTTTGTAAATGATGCCGTTAAAAACGGCAATGCTGCAGATTATTTGGATATCAAAAATGCAATTAACGAACAACTTCAAGCAATCATCAAGCATAAAGAAGAATTAGATGTTGTTGAAGAAGACTATATAGCATTTCATCCTAACGATATTGCTACTCAGGTAGCAATTAAATTCCTCGGCTATATCGATACACGCTATGCTTATCCTCCTTTATGTACAGCAGAAGGTCCCGGCTTAGAAATAGCTAGAAGAGTCGAGCCTACTGTCTTTACAGTGTTAACGAAAGATAAAAAAGGTAAACTATTAACTCGTGGCAGTGACAACATTGAGGTTATCATTGAAGGGAAAGGGAGAAAAGATGTACAAATTATCGACAATGAAGATGGAAGTTATACAGTAACTTATATTCCAATACCAATTAGTGAAAATGTTGTTCATATATATGTGAAAGGTCTACCAATTTTAGGGAGTCCTTTTAGAGTTCCCTTTAATGTACGTGATTACACAAATATTACTTCGCCATTAATTATATTAGGTAGATATGGACTCAATATAGGTGAATTTCGTTCACCATCTGGGGTCGCTATTGACGATAAGAGGTGCCTACTAGCTGTTTGCGATCGAGATAATATTAGAATCCAAATATTTGATTTAGCTAGTTATGAGCATGTCAGTAGTATCGATGTTTCAGGTCATATGCAAGATGGCCCATTCGACATTGCTATTGACGGCAAAGGTCGTTTATTAACAACTGATCCAAAAGGCAATGGTATATTTGTCTTCGATGGTGATGGAAATATGTTATATAAAATTGGAAGCCGAGGGCAAGAAGCTGGCCAATTTGGCGGGCTATGTTATATTGCTGTTGATAATGCAAATAATATCTATATCTGTGATAGCGATAATTCCCGCATCCAAGTATTTGAAGAAAGGGGTACTCTAGTAGACTGCTATGGTAACTATGGAAATGAAATGAGACAATTTAATTTGCCCGCGGGTATTTCAATAGGATCGAATAGCAATATCTATATCGCCGATCGAGGCAATCATCGTATACAAATTCTGGATTCTAATGGTCAATTTATTCATGCATTTGGCGTAAGAGGTAGTCTTAATGGAGAATTTGATTTTCCTCATGGCATAGCAACAGATGTTCAAAATAACGTTATTGTTGCCGATCATTACAATACTAGGTTGCAAATTTTTAATTCAGAAGGAGAGATTATACATAAAATTGATAACATCATCTTACCACATTGTGTCGCCTGTGATCGATGTGGACATATTTATGTTACAACTAAGGATAATAGGATTTATGTATTTTAGCACAGTAAAATAATATTGAAAGCTACTTAAATTAACAATCATCAAATCTTTGTGGTAATGTAATAACATGATAACAATCATGGTTAATAATAATGCGATGTTTAGTAGTGCTATACAATACAGCAAAACAGTAGTAAGCACAGATTTTGGTAGACTGCCAGCAAGATATGTTCAAAACACTTATACTTAGTATGTAATTTTATTTCGTTGCATAATAGCAACAGCGATCTTATAAAAATAATAATACATGATCTCCATCGTAATTAAATGATATATTTTATCATTTCCAATCTTGATGTTCCTTTTCGCCCGTAGCTACGGTAGAGTTACGAGATATAGCTCTGTTTGTTTTTCTAAGATAATCATTTCGTTTAACAACACTTTCGGTGTATTAAATTCCTATTATATGATATTTTATCAATTGATTGCATTTCATGCAAGCGTATCACAAACCTCGATTAAAAAGTTATTTGATTAAATGTATAACATTTGCAGGATATAACTGATTAATAGATAGATTTTTATGATGTTTTGACGTAAAGGTATGGTCCTACTAATATTTTCTTACGACATTGCGATACGAGGCTGCTTACAACTCGCAGGGAGATCATTGTATGATTAGCGTTAGCTTATTCGCAAGCTTTATAAAAGAATTTACCATAAGAAAATATCAGCTAATCGGATTAGTTTCAAGATACATTATATTAATGATTTTACGACACAAAAAAATTGTTAAACCAAAGATAAACACTATTTTGGGGATTTAGGCTTACTTCAAGTTGTAGCAAATAAGGTGCCAGCTAAATTAGTTCCGAGAGCAAGTCAAGAGATATTACGGCTAATAATATAATTATTATAATAGCAGCTAATTTTACGCTACAGTACATGCTGTTCAGTGCTTATACAAATCTAAACACAATTTGCAACTTTATGACTCTTTACACGCCCATTAACTGACAATTACTGTAGTGAAGAAGGTATAGAATATGGATTAAAAAAGAATTAAAGAAAGCATTATATGAAGTGTACTAAAGTATTCTATATTTTATAGTCTGCCCTGTATTACAATCTGTGAAATTCGTTATATCATATTAGCATCATAGAGCCAATCATTGAGCACACAATATACAGCAGTGATATCATTTACACCAAAGACAATATTTATGAGACAATTATATCAGACCAAGAAAAATAAAATTATGTGTAAACACTAGAATCGCACTTATAATAAGAAAATATTAGAAATAGCAACAGCAATGAAAAATTTAAATTTTCTAAAATATATACAGCTCAAGTAAAATCAATTATGAGTAATTATAGTAACAAAGTTGCAATAATGTAACATAGTGAATCGATAGCTAATAGAGATAATAACATTGTAAATATAAATACATCACAAGAATCTCAATGCGGTCGTCGATGGTTTTCTCTCACGAACTGACAACGGTGACATGCTATACTGTAAATGTTAAATCACGTACCGATTTGATCACAATTTTCTATTAAAAAACCTCGATTTATAACTGCTTCTATAATAGCATCGCCATGGTTATAGATATCAATTTCAAACAAAAATCGTTTGCTTTGTAATTGATTTTCGATCTCTTTTACATATTCAGGTGTGATAGAATGCCTAACCGATAGAGTACCGCGCGATAGTACTGAACATATATCGAAAGTAGACTGAGTATCGTTAGGTGGATAATTTCCAGCCATGCGATAATCACGATCAGTATTTGTAATCGGAATAAAGAATGCATCTATTGCTATATTCCTATTTAAACTTAACAAAGTTAAAATCCAATACTCATCAATAGCATCATAACGATCTGAGTTAATGGCGATAGGTATAGCCATTTCACCAGGAATCGAAATATCTTTATTAATTTCAAGGCCATAAAGGCGTTCGTGCGCACCTTGCGGACTCTCCTGTTAAATATAAATAGTAATTTTATTATAAACAGATTAGTGTACCCGGACATATATAAATACGCCAGCGAAAAAGTACGGTACATTTTTTTGTGCAGTAGTTTTAAAGATTATACCCGTTCATTGGAGTGGAACGGGCCTTATGAAAATCAATCTTCCAGAACCTTCGCACAGTACGTTACTTCTACAGTAGTTTTAAAATACATTACTGGACCATATTACTGTTACTTAAGGAAAAAGACTATAAATGCGGACGGATACAATTACTTCATATAATATAGATAGATGTTTAGTTAACAATTTAATATTATTTATTTGTTTATAGCACGATCATTCCTACTGATATACGTAAAACAATTTGTATTACCTCCGAAATACAGTCGCCGACATCGTCTCTTTTTTGGCTATATATTCCACTATCGTGCGAATATACTATGCTAGTATTGATCGGCGGATTATGGAGTATCGTCGACGAAGATAACTTCTTTCCGTCATTTAAATTACATACTACAAGGTGAGATACAATAGCCTGCATTTTAAATCGCTCTGATTGCCGGTAGTGTATCTCTTTCGCTCGCTTAGCAACTACTTTTGCTGTTGTAATCTAAATCAAAAAAACATTGCACTTAAGGTCATGAATAAAAGCTAGGTATTGCAACAATAAATATATGCTTAACAATGAGACGTACATCTATGTCATTGCCATCAAATGCTGACATGATATTTTGCAAATCAATTGGACAAGGTGGATAACAGTAATATCCTCCGTAGCAAGCATGAGAAAGGATTTCCTTGGCTTCATCAGACAAACACCATCTAAGCAGTTGTTGATATACAATACAATCGCCAAACACGGGATCCTTTACACTTGTGGATACTGCACTTCTAACGCATAGCTTTCATATTTCATGATTAATCAATCAATTCCAATATATATGAATGATCAAAGTTATCAACACTGTATGATAAATAGTACATGTAGATCTTGTTATTGTGATTGTAAGGTATCAATTACCTGCGAATAAATAGTAGTGGATAAGTGCAAGTAGCGAACACTTGCGGAATTTCTTAAGGTGTGATGCACCATAACACTTGAACATATTAGTATTTTGCCTTAATTAGAATAGTAAAATATGTCCCTTATTAGTTACTAATCAACATCAATTCGTATTATTTTATTTCGCATCTAGCAGACCTATCTCAATTTCTCTTATCATTTCCGGTTGTGACAGAGCGTAAATTCTCACAATAATTGGCCAGTTGCAAGAACCGTCATATAAATGGATCCAAAATGATTCCGACATTTCTACTCATACACAACAATTGAAGTGCTATTAAAATAGTTAATCATGTAAAACTATATACAGTAACAACATGATTGCCTAAATGGTGATAATATAAATTTCGTAAATTTATTTGATAGAGTAGTTTTAATACATACAGTATATATAAAATAAAAGAATAAAAGCTTAGCTTGTACTAACAATGAGCCGTGTATACTATCCAACTTACCACCGGATTGATTAGATTTTCTACTCCAACGATACGGTCTGCCAACGTATGTAACCAAACCCATCACATCACATATACAATTACTTTTTAAATTTATAAGAGATACGCTGTTATGAAAATTATGGTACAGAGTCGGTAAATCATTGTACAAGTTAATATCGCTCAATATAACAATTTCTCCTTTAGGATTAGAGGGGTTTACTGCAAATTCGAGTTGACTGATATCATCCAGTAATTCTAAGAATGAAGAATTAATAGCAAGATGCTCTTAATTCGCACAGTGATTAGTATTTACTCAATCACAGATGTAATAAATGTTATGATCATCTACTCCTTATTTCTCATTCGTCAAGCCGATAATCACGTATTAATATATTATTTTGCTCTAAACTGATATAAAATCAATTAGAAATATGTACAGTATATAGTCGGCACTCATAAATAAATGATATTAAGGAATGAATCTTTCCTAGGCTAATAAAACTGATAATTATTGTATAATCAATAAGTTAAGAAACGTTCACTATATTCTTACCATTGTCAGCTCTCGTAATATATTCATGTGCTGGACGAACTTTATAGCCGTTAACCAAAATAACATCGTCAACTTTCAATAGTTTAAAGTATTTAACGGCTACATTGCTCCATAAGCAAATCGACACGGCAGATGAGGCATCGGCAACAATAATCGTCATAACATACGGTAATTTATTTTTATCGCTAATTTTCCCGTAATGGCTGAGTCTTGATTTCTTGACAATTCTGCCAATAATTGGTGGATAAGACTTGTGTTTATCTCCTTTGGTTTCAAATAGTCTGGTGACATCTTCAATGTTAGCAACTTTTTTGTAAGTTTGAATTGCAGATGCTTCCGTCATTCTAACTGCAGAATTACCGACATATTCATCCCAGATGCTTCCATAATAGTCTACGTCATTCCACATTGGCAAATAGTATCTAAATGGATTGGAATAGTTACTTTGCAAAATATATTACGTTGAATAGCAGATTATACACATTCTACAGTTCCATACACTTAAACAAGCTAGGAATAACAATTTATAGTATAGGTATACTATCATATACAAAAATTGTACAGTTATAATTTTCGAGTAAGAAAGGAATTCTAACTTACGGCATATATCTTACGGCAAAAAGTACACTTGCACCCTATCACATGCTATTAAAGACAATCTATAGCTATCATTGCTCGAACAAGTTATCTTGACCTCACCTACGTCTAGAAGCAAGTGGCAAAGAGTCAATCTCACGTTCTGAAGCTTCTGGGCCAAATCGCAATTCGTGTTCGAGATCAAGCGCAAAATCATTGGCAACAATCTGCAAATCTTCAATATATATATAAGGCTTGCCTCGAACATCAGCTTCATTGTATTTAATAGTCGTGCGTTGTATATCGACAACAGAGTGAGTTTGAAGTAATCCTTTGTGAATCATGGAGTTATACTTGTGTGAAAGAACAAATTTGGCCTTAAGTCTACCATCGCTTATAGTTAAATCGAATGTATCCAGTGGTAATTCATCGTCATCGGTATAGTTTTCATGATATGCAATATCTGTGAGGTATCTAAAATATATCGATAAATTGTATTATCACTACAAGCCGTACTAATTACTGTAGTTGAACATAGATTTAGTATAATTGATTGAAAGAGCTGTAAGTATGAACCTGTAGACAGCAGTGGCTACGGTCTTGTATATATGTGGTCTACTGACTACGGGTAAAAGTGCAAACTACTACTATTTTTCATCAATACATGCGATATACAGAACTGTCCCCTAGGTACAGTACACATCAACTGGTATCATAGCTGCAGCAATTGTACAGTGTACTATACACTCTCGTATAGTCCGTGAAATATGCTATCGATGGATAGAGCTTAAAGCAGCTACATTTCGCTAATACATCATTTAAGAAGTAAGACGCATCATTCCATTTAAGTTCTCTCTATCAAGGATCAACACTTGTCGGTTGTCCAGGATGGATTATATTATAGTTATTCGTGCATATGGAAGCGTGTGTGTTATTGTCCACTATCTTATTCAAATAGTCCAATTTATAATGTAATGGTTATTATGGAGTATGAAATTAGTCTGCCTCTTTGTTACCTTTCGATTTCCGTGACCACCGATACAAACTTTGAGTTTGTATCTTGATTGGATGCATTGACCAAAATATTACGTAGCGGAGTTAATCGCAATTGCTCGTCTTGCATAGGTCGCAACGTCGTATTCTCTTTAGCACCTGCTTCAATTTTAAAATTACACTGCACAAAATTGAGCAGATATTAACGGCAATGAAGATGGATGTCACCTACTGTAGGATTTGTTGTTCAACTAGTTTCTCTTGGCGATTTTAATCTTTCAACTGTAAATATTACTTCGTCTTGAAGATGGTGCAATCTAACTGTGGCAATCAATACGACAACACTAAATTGAAGTTGATGAATTCCTTACTCGTCCTTGCGTCCTAACGTCTGTATGATTCCTGTATACCATAAATGCATCCTTTGCCCGGTTATGAATTTCTGTCCGAAGAGTCGACCGACTACAACTACTGAACTCAAATTTTAGCGATTCTATTAGAACGGGCTCCTTATTCTTTTCAATCGATTGGAGTGTTTGCAGTTTCAATCTTGGCGTTTTTCTGACCCGTTTGTGTCGTTTTCAATAAGATTTCCTCCAATGTATTGACTTTGAGATATGTTGCAATTACTGATTTTCGCAGGTTGTTGAGCAGCATTATCTCGAGACGAAGGCGGGCACTTCAGTACTGTACTGTACAGTACAGTACAAGTACAGTATGTCGTGAGTTGAATGTCATTACACGTACAGTACAGTACAGTACTGTACCGTACAGTGTACAGTATTACAGTCGTAACAGTCTACAGTCTGTTGTACTGTAAAGTTCAGTACTGTAGCCTAAAAGGTACAGTACTGTACAGTACAGTATTGAGATGTCGTTCTACAGTACTGTACTGTACTGTACTGTACGGTACAGTACAAGATTTCGACTACAGGTAACGAGAACGAGAAGTTAGTTATTAAAGTGAATTAAGATTAAATCTTTCAGTAACTGCTGGAACCAAAGTAGTCGAACATTCAAGAAAAAGAAAGCAAACAACCAAGTTGAACAGAGTATTTCCTGTACGTACATCAACTAGATTAGTAAAGCACTGTGCTGTACTACATAGGGACTACCATACTAGAAATATTCCACTCGTCTGTAAAATCTTTTGCGTGTCCTTACTATAAATTACAGGTTGATACAATAGTAGTTTACGATTCTTCTGTCGAAAATTGTAGATTAATTGGTTTTTTGACGTCAATTGCAGCTTGCACACCAAACTACTGTACCACTTATTTCCTTGTCAAAACTCTACCTCCCAGGGTCTACACTAATCACTTTGTATCAAACTACTTGTATCTTGCTTATGTCAACAAAGAATCCGGTCAATCAACCGGCAGTTAATGGACAGTAACTGCGCAAAATGAATTGTCGCCCCTTCTGGACTGTGCATGACACTGCTAACACTACCGTCGATGTCAAAGGCTGAGTCAGTTCATTTGCTCAATATTTGGTCCAATGCTGATGATCATCAGTACTACAGTATCTAATTTAATAAAACTCTGAGAAATGAGCGGACAGCCAAGTAGCGTCAGTACAATGCTTTCTTGTAAGATAGTACCTACTTCTAAATTGACAACCACAGTACGATCAGCGGGGCTGGAAAGATTACTAAGTTGCTAAGGATAAGATAAGTATGTGTAATTTACTGTAGTGTTTGCTTGTCAGACAGTGAGCTAATACAAATTGGTTGATAGTGCTACACTTCTGTTTTTGCCATTGCAGTCTGGCAGTTTTCCAGTTTAAATGGTAATTCATGTTGAGCACTTGCACAATGTTAATGAAGGGAGTATGCAGTAGAGTCTTCAGAAATTCGACCGTCCATTAATTAATTATAAGTCTATTGTACCGTATAAAGTCACGGCCCAATTACGTTAGCTTAGTATATTCGTAACTATAGATCTGGTAGCTCGATTTACGGACTGTTACATCATGGACTGTTATCAAAGGTACAGCCATGTCAAGTATTAGTTTAGTACCATTCTAGAATTACTGTATTTGCTCGGTCTAACCGTATTCAATGAAAGAACTACCAAGGCCCTTCGGATACCATTGGTATAACGAGTCTACAAAATTCAATGCTGACTTGTTTACAAGCGAATTCCACTTTACTATAAACATTTATCGATAGTTTTATATCTTTAACTGTCGCTATTACTATATATCGAGGTGAGAGACTTGAACATTACTCATGTAACTCATTTTCTATTCCAGGCTAGGCATTAATCGACCTGGACGGCCAGAAATTATGATTGCAATCTAGGCATGATTAAAAGATAGCTATCGAATTGATTCCAATGCCGGCAAAGCGAAAGCGAAGAAATAACTACAGTAGTTAGGCTGATTTGCTCATTGATATACCTATAGTAAAAGCGAAAACAAACCTGTAAAACATTGATTGAAGCAAAGATACTGTAGCACCGTATACAGCACGAAATATTGAAATTGGACAATTCAACTATACTTTAACGTACGTGTACAATAATCAAAGGTAATCTGTTCCATCAGGATATTTAAGTGTAACTATGATTACATATATATATATATATACGAGTATATATGATTAATGGTCTACTCGTAACGCATAAGTAATCGTAATGTAGCCATTACTAACATAATTAATTAACATATTTTTGTGAATTTAAATAACTAAATTAGCTAATGTACTCGAATATGCCATACAGGTTGTTGCACTAAAGCCAATAATGATGGATAATAAAATTGCAACTCAATATTCCTCTAAGATAATGATAGCTAGTGTTGTTATTTTAGCCATAATTCAAGCATGTGCTGGAATTCATCCACTTCCAGGTAACTTTTCTTCGTAATTTAAATATTTTTTAAAAGGATTGTATTATTCAACTCATAGCCTGACGTATGTGAACTGTACGATTTATGATTGCAAGTAATTCTCTGTATCAAGAAAGCGTAGAATGATTACATGAAATTGATAGAGTTTTATACATTGTGCTAATGTAGGCTTAATTAATGACGATTTCAGCAATATTTGTTGCGCAAATTCATTATAATTATGCTAGATAATACTCATGGTATGTTGATCTTAAATTTCTTCTTTTGTCCTTTCCATTTCAGGCACATTCACATCAACAGATAAGGTTTGCGATCCAGACCCTCGTCTAGGCTGTTTCTCTCATCAATCTCCTTTTGACCGTATTCTGGTTCCTCTGCCACAATCTTCCAGGAAAATCGGTGTATTATTTTGGCTGTACACAAGATTTTGCAGTTATCAATCTATTCACTACAGTAATCCCTATTCAATCAGTCCATCCAATTTCAAGGGCAATAAGGATACGAAGATAATTGTCCACGGTTATTTGGACGACAGTTCAACATACTGGATGAACGATATGAAAGACAAGCTGCTGCAATTGGATGATTTTAACGTTATCCTCGTTGACTGGAGTGGATCGCAGCTGCTGTTAGCTGGTTCTCGTGCTGATTATCTACTTTCAGTAGCTAATACGCGAATTGTAGGGGCTCAAATTGGGGAATTAATTAAAGCCTTACCTGTTTCCAGAGAAAGAATACATATCATCGGTCACAGCTTGGGTGCTCATATTGCCAGCTATGCAGGTAAGATAAACGGTAAAGTTGACTTGCAAGGATATATTACGAAAAGTCTCATCGATAGCTACACGTGGTGAAAGTGTTAATATACAGGACTGTAGAATGTAGAATCTAACCAACTTTAAATTGTGGAACTTATTCATAAAATTGATTACACATTTAATGAATATACTACTGCCTGTTCAAGCTGTTCAAGCCAACTCATAAAAACATTTACTTAGTTTAAATTGAGATTGAAATAACATAAAACATTGAAGTACGATTATGCATACCGTACTGCAATCGTGGTATATGATTGGCTATTATAATTTAAAATTAATTGGATACCCGTGCCGCTATTTTATTCCTGAATATAAATTTTTCATCGTTTATCTGCTTTAGCAAATCGAGCAGATTTAGTTGGTCGCATAACTGGACTTGACCCAGCTGCCCCGCTATTCCAGGATATGGTCACAGATATTCGATTGGATAAAACAGATGCTCTATTTGTTGACGTTATTCATACCGATACCAACCCATTTATTGGAATTGATGGATTTGGAACTAAAAATCCATCCGGCCATGTAGATTTTTGGCCAAACGGTGGAGAAAGCCAGCCTGGCTGCCTTAAGCCTTTACAAAAACAGCTAGAAACCAAGAAGATTCCGACGAAATTAGAGAAGAGAGATTTAGAAGAGACCCTAGAACTTACGCGCAATGTTGTATGCTGTGATCATAACCGAGCTCAGCAGTTATTTACTGAATCAATTGATAAGTCATGCTCGTTAATTGCCTACCCATGTAATAATTATCAAGACTTTCTTCACGGTAAATGTATGAAATGCAATGGAAAATGCGCCTCTATGGGATATCATGCAATCGATTATAGCCATATTCATTTCAAACAAAGACTATTTATTCTAACAGATCCTGAAAAGCCTTACTGCGGTAAATAGAAGCTGAGTGTAAATCATTAACATGTAATTCTGTAAAAACAAGATACAGCATGGCTTTATTGCATCCATTGTCATCCAAAGTAATATCGTGTTATTTCTAATCTTGTAGCTTATAATTATGCAATAAATATCGCTGAAAGTGTCGGTGAAAGTGAAGACGACTGGTTTCCAATGGCTCCGAAGATAATATTTTTAAAGATCTACGGTAATCTAGCTATTTCTGCAGATATCAAACTGGAAAGGTAATAGAGTTATTGCGATGTTCAACAATTAATAATATCCGAATGAATTCAATGATAACGTTCAAACACTATAGGAATATCCAAACTCTTACAATTTTTCCATTAAATGCGCATTCTTTTGATAGATCAGTGCAAATAAAATCTAGCGACAAGCAATTTATTATTACTAGTAAAGAAAATCTTGGAGAAATCAAACGTATTGACGTTTGGCAAGATAATAATCCGTTAGGAATAAAGTGGTTTATTCATACGATTAATATAGTAGGGAATCAAGGGACAAAAACGTAAGATCATTTATCAACCTTTCATTTCTCTGTGCCCGCTAGCATGCTAAGCTATGTTTATGTGTTATTTATCATAAAAATGATATTAGTGTTATTTGAGATTCACTTCTTTTAGTATAGAAATGATAATGAAGTTTCTAGTAAAAACCTGTATCATGTAGACATATAGGAATTACTATTTCTCCTTTATCCGTTGTTTATAACCCGTATAGTAAAGTTGAACGATTTTGACCTAAGTTGTCATTAACGATAGCGTTACTAATTAATTGATTATCGTTCTTTTCGATAGGTATAAATTTTGCTTCAAAAATTGGAACAAAACCGATAAAGCAACCGCAGATGCTTTAGACAAAACGGTGAAATGCTAGATATAAGTTATGATTGTAAATAGATGGACAAATATTTATACCATGAAGTCTTAGTTAATATGACCAAGCAAAGTTTAAAGAACACGTTATTGATAACGTGGTAACATATTGGCCACTTCGACTAGATGATTAGTTAATAAATGAAACGCTACTTGAAAGTACGTGGACTCTTTGTAATAACATACTGCATGATGTTTACCGGTCTATTTATTATGTGTGGTAAGATTGTAATATTACATTTATTTATTTGAACTTAATCGGTTAGTCTGAGTCAAAATTATTCTTGGTAGGAAATACTGGCGGTAATAAAAGTTTTTTAATGGTTTATTTCAAATTACTTCTATGTACAGCATCACTCCACTACTCTTGAATATTCCGTAATCGTACAATATAAATTCCATTAATGTCGATGCATAAATATACGACGCAACTTTTCTGAACATTGTAAGTAACCCCACCGGCAAGTAGTAATAAGCTCAATGGAACATCTTCCGATATTCCATTTTTAATACAGCTCCACAGTCTATATAGTGAATACGAATTCTATTCTGTATATGAGGTACTTGATAGAAACATGTTTTCACGAAGTTATAAATGCTTATAAAGCGACTTAAATATCTAATATTGCTCTTCGAACTTAGCGTTCGGGGTTAATAAAGAATGAGAGCACAATAATGTTATCAATAACAGTAATATGTAAATGAAGACTCAGAAAGAGCCAAATATAGCAGTAGCTGCAATACTAATTTATAATTACCAAAAAAAAACTTTAGACATAATATAACTTCATCTAAGTATTTTAAGCAGTATCGCTGCCTATGAGTAGCATTGCTCAATGAAATATAGTAACTATTGTAAGGTATTCCATATGTAGCGTAGTTTTATACAAAAAAATCCGTAATTACTTCCATTGATCAACTTCATAATAAGAATATATTTTTGTAATTTTGGAAAGGCTCATGAAATGTTAGATTCTATTCTTGCTCCACAATTGCATAGTAGTGTACGTATATAATGCTTGGATCTGACAATGAACCCCGTACTTTAATAAAAGCGTGATGTGAGTCATGTTATTCATAAAGAGGATTTCAATACGTATTTCCACGATTCAAACTATACATTGTGACCCGCAATAAATAAAAAGAATCTTATTCTTCCGTGTACACCTTTTCAATCGCACACTGAACAACTTTTACTAGGCTATACAAACATAAGTTTCGATTGCATACCTCCTAACCCAATCTCTATTACATCCATTAATCAACCTTTTCTACTATCCCTATAAAACGTTGCTTAATTTATTATTGCGATCAGTACATTTTCCATGAATTATTTATGATAACTATTGTTTACCCGCTCACCTAAGTCTACAAAAGTGTAAACAAAATAGCCACTAATTAGGTAATCGTCTTAATCTCTCAGATGAAAAGATAAGATTCTTATTAAGGAATAACACCTGTTAATATCATGAGTAACGCTAAAAAAACGTAATCCAATCATCGTTATATTTAACCTTGCAAATCGAATGGCTAGTTCGAGAGAATCATAGCAGGTAGAACTGATTTTAAATCTAGATTAAAAAAATTTTATAAGTTGAAACTGCTGTAATGAAATTCCTTTAAAATTTCCCTGTGCATTTATCAAGTGTTACGCATCAGAAATTCCATTAACACCAAGGACGACGAGTTCATGAACATTTAACTTAAGAGTGTATAAATTATGCGTAATAGCATAATAACTGCAATGTTAATAAGATTATCCAACTGTATGCAAATATTTAATATTAAGCCTCTAATTATCAAACATCGGTTGCTATTGTATTACGAGATCAATTCAGTTTATCTAGATAATGTAAATAACTAATGGGAAATCTCTAATAACCATAAACAGATCGCCTCTGTAACGTATAATAAGTGGCTACGGTACTTATTGAAGATCATTTATAGTTGTTAGTGCAAATCAGGGCACAAAATGGCAAAAGCGGCAATCTATTTAGCTATCGTTGCATTTGCAACTGTTACAGCAATAAAAATTGAACCTAGAGGTACGATACTCTTAATTTCATATTTCTATATCTTACATCCATAGACTTAAATTTCCTGAATACAAAGAGTGGTTGTAAATAGAATATCAGTTAATCGTTTCTTCTGCGAAATCGAATTTTATGCTAAATTTGCCATTACTAAGGCAACCTATATACTTGTCTATACTATTTTCTTATTGTCTGGTTAATGAAATTTCATTTGTAGGGAGTTCAGTCTGTGATCCTGATCCTAAGTTAGGCTGTTACAGTAACGATCCTCCATTCGATCGATTTCTAATTCCATTACCACAAAGTTCTACAGACATTGGCACAAAATTTAGACTTTTTGTTCGTGGTGGAGTCGGTTATGATTACTTGGATTATAACTCTCCATCGTCAATCAGCTCATCTTGGTTTAATGGCAACAAAGATACAAAAATTATCTGCCACGGCTTTTTAAATGATGGCGATACAAAATGGATGCACAATATGAAAGATGCCTTCTTAGCTAATGACGATGTCAACGTTATCATTGTTGATTGGGGTGGTGATGAATTATTGACTGGTTCTCAGACTGGCTACTTAACTGCAACAGCCAATACAAGAGTTGTAGGCGATCAAATTGGCGAATTGATTAAAGCATTACCCACTCAACGTTCCAGAGTTCATATAGTAGGTCACAGTCTTGGTGCTCACATCGCTGGTTATGCAGGTATGACAATTACTTATTTATACAGCTATACAGTTTACTTTAAACATGTCGAGAATCTTTACTTGAGAACTTTTAATTAATATCGAAAAGGTAGAATAGGTTAGTAAATTAAGAGTGTTAACTTTTAAAAATAGATGATGAAAATCTAGTTGAGGAATTTTAGAATGTATGGTTAGAATGTGCGTTTAAGTAAACGTTAAAATATGAATGTGCTGAAGCTATACGAGTATATTGTAGTAGTAAAAGTTGCTTTCAATTTGATAATACAGTAAAAATATTTAATTCCCTCTCATAACGAAAATTTGTAGTTTAAATCTTTGTGATCATTGATCATTGAGCATTCACTTAAATACAAAAATAAATATTCTGCTATTCAATTTCGCCACTAATAGGTGTACGCGCATCTGGAACTGGTCGCATTTCTGGTTTGGATCCTGCCGATCCTAACTTTCAAGGACAAGCTAATGCTGTCAAACTGGATAAGAGCGATGCTTTATTTGTTGACGTAATACATACTGATGCTGATACTTTTACACTTGCTGATGGCCTCGGCACTAGTGATCGTTCTGGACATATTGATTTCTGGCCTAATGGTGGTAAAAGCCAGCCTGGCTGCGGTTTACTTAAACATGCAACTACGAAAGGTATTGATCTATCTGAAGCAAAGGAAATACAACCTAGGGGAGGAATCGGCTGTGATCATAATCGTGTGCCTGCTTTGTACACTGAATCTATTACTAGCACTTGTGATTTCTTGGGTTATCCATGTGCCAATTATGATGACTTCAAGAACGGCAAATGCATGAGCTGCGGTGGTAAATGTGCTAGCATGGGATATAAAGCTGGCCTTTATAAAAATATTAATTTCGCTCAACAGCTTTACCTCAATACCAACTCTGGCAGTAAATACTGCAGTAAGGGAATATAGAGTAAATTATTATGTAGGATTACCTATCAATGTGATATAGTTTAGAAAAGAGTACCACAATAAAATGCCAATTTCTACCCTACACTATGATCTCTAACGGAAAACTAATAATTAATATTGATAATCTGAATAATCAAAGAGATGATTGTAATTATTGTATCATGATGTTCTCTCTTGATTTTATTTAGCCAATAGTTATATGGTTAAAGTAAAAACCGGCGATGTTTCCTATGCTGGTACTGGTGCTGATGTTTATATCCGTATCTACGGTTCTGCCGGAATCTCACATGACACTAAACTTAGGTAAAAGAAAAATGCTTAGATGCAGTCCCTCCCAATTGCCGTGACTATACATACTACTAATCACCACCCATCATCACTATCAGTCTAATAAGCGTAAAAAATTGCTATGGATCAATCTTTTTCTAAATGCTTGAAAGTTGTAATAAGGGCTACTAAGTTATGATCTGTGATTAGATATTAGACTGCACAATAATAAAAAGCTTAATCAAGACTACAGAATAATATTGATCCTCAAAATAGTGAAATATCAATAGCCAAGAAATGCGATGCTAACAACTGTAATCTTTTTCTTGATTTTATAGCGGTGATTTTGAAAGAAATGATGAAGATGTTACTATCATTAATAGTGATACTTACTTGGGTAATATCTATCGAATCGCTATCTGGCATGACGACAGCGGTTTATTGAGTGGATGGTACTTGCAGAGCGTTGTTGTACAAGGAGGCGGATCATCAAGGTGAAATAGGATAGGAGCTAAAATTACATTTAATTCTACTGATGACCAAGCAACAACACATACCCGTAGCAAGGCGTACTGTACTAATCAGTAGTATTGTAAACTAATTGAGCTATTTATTACTCCTATCATTATTTTAGCTACCTCTTCTGCTATCGAGGTTGGCTTGAAGATTCTCCTAACACAAAGTACTTAACCCCTGTTTCTTCCTGTTAAACGAGGACAAGAAATTACGGCAATAGATCATACTATCTCGAGAAATTTGGTAGGCGTAAAATGGTTGGCGCATTCATATGCTAACGTTATACCATTTTCTTGATTAATGTATCGTAACAGTAACTGTATTTTAGGCTAGTGTAAATCAGTCATATATTACAATCTCTGTCATTACTGAAAGAATGTAATATCGTTGATTTTGTTTTGTAGCGGTTACATAATTACTTTTTTTCTAGTTATAATGATGAAGGATATACAATTATTATTTCATAGTATCTAAGATTGAAATTTAGGCCATTATCTACGAGTTGTGATTGTTGATTAATAAATAAAGCATTTTACATCCACTGATGTGTAGCCAATGCTGTAGAAATCACAATTCTGTAATTCTCATTTATGCAGAAGGAAATAAGGGATATTTGAGAAATGTACATGGCGTAGATAAGAAGGAATCAGATTTTAAACTACCTTTCAGGAATTTATCCTAAGAATTTTTATGAAAATGACTCCTGAGTATCGCATTTAAGCTGTTAGAGCAATCATACGATAATGTATGAGAATTATCAGTAGCTATGGAGATGGACATTAGTAAGATAGCGAATTTCAAAGAGTCGACCACTAATCATTCCTTAGAGTAAGTTAAAAATACTATGCTTGAGCCAAACTTATTAGTACCTGTGTGACCTCCAAAGCAGTATCCCAAAGATCTGCTCTTCATGTTTCCAAATTACTATGTTGTTATAACCGACCACTCTCCTGACAAAGGATAAAGTAAAGTATTTTGCTCTTCTAAGTTGCAACTGTCAACTACTATTTTAGTTTAGGTCTAGAACTATCCTTCTAGACTGCAATCACACAGGTAAACTTCACAACATTGAGCTACTTCTACTTTATTCCAACTAATACAATCGACACTATGTTCTCATGAAAACTACAAAATCAGATACTAACGAGCAACATTCACAATTGCGAGTTAATAACAAAAGTTTAATCGACCTAACCTATATAGGTAGAAATCTACTACGACACAAATACTTAATTTATACCGTTATTCAAGGTGTATTTGTACCGTGACAATCGTGTATTGGATATAATCTTAAGTACTGCTGTACACTGATTTCATTCTTACTACAGTATTTTCTTCCACTTGATACGCACTTAATTAAAAACTTACTATTTCCGACCATATTTACTGTCAATAGTTTCTAAAAAAGAATAGCAAAACACCTATTACACTTGAACTATCAAATTCTATAGTTTATACTTTTAATATATATCACTAGAGTTCCTGTAGGCATCTCATACTATATGTACGGGCAAGCTATCAAGTAAGAATTTGTCGATTTCGATACAAATTCTGAATCTTCAAATAGAGCTTACCAAATAATTATGAGCTAATACTACAGGTATATGTAGTGATTTCAGCTAATTACAGTAGTTTTGCGTAGGGCTAACAACCCGTGCACTACAGTATTATACTCGCTGAACGTGCACAAAGTTGCGAAGTAAGTTGTGAGCTAATGATATGCATGTTAATAATAATATGCATTAGTATATCAGATTTGAGTTTTATTCGGATAGGAAATTATCGCGATAAAGCTAACAAGACCCCAGAATCAAAGATACGCGTACATTATAATAAAATTAAATTAAGTTAAATTAATATTGTGTTTGAACTAGTTAAACTTTAACAATGTTAGAATCTCCTTGTTGAAATCTATCGTGAATAAGGAAGATCACATTCTATCTTATCATATCATCATTTTATTTTATGATTTGTTGAACATCTCATTTTATAGCTCATGCAGAACCAAATATGAGCTAAAAATTTACTCATTATATATTTTTACGGCAATTATTATTTAAACGGATAATGAGCCAAATTATGCCTCTGTGAGAAAAAGTTACAAGTTATGCTTGTAGTCGGGCCAAATATATTTATTTTTAATAGATCTAGTTGAATATTTTAAAAATTACCTTAAATATGTCTCTTAACTGTAAAACATGTCCTAGGCATGAATTAACAAACATCGATAGAAAAATGTTATCAGGCCCAGTAAATCGAGGTAATATGTTGTCTCATGTAAAGATGAAATTAGTGCAAGTGTTTAATATAAGAATTTGTTGCTAGAATGTAATTATAATCGCTGTTAGCAAATCGAAAAATATGTTTTGATTCGATTATCCGTATCAATATTGCGAAATAATTAGCTTATAAGAAAAAGCTCTGGCTGCTAATTACGCCCTCAAAGTAAACGTCTCATTAGTCGTTTTTACAGACGCATTTCATTATTACTGGAATATCTAAGTACAATATCAATTCATTCAATTTTCATATTATATCACATTAATGTACTTAAGCAGGAGCGGTTACAATCTCTAGAGTTTAACTACAATTCTGTTTATATTTAGTACTATACGATATGACGATTGGTTTATCCTCTAACTCTATCCAGTAAAACAGATTTTTTACGTACTGTATATCTATCTATCCGCTAACCTTTCGTAGAGTAGAGTAATTAACATTGTAAAGGCAATCTCGATCTAGATAAGCAGTAGACTTTGACTAGAGTACTCCTTATACTGCCTTAATTTAATCACAAATGAGGTGATGCTATCCTACATCTGAAGAATCCAAAGCATTTTTAATTAGTTATACTTTAATCGAGAAAGACCATCAACTACCACATCTATATATTCTATAACTAACATATGCAGGGTTTAACTCTTTATCAACTGTAAATCGTCCTGATTATAATTATCAATATTTTAATGATCATAAGAATTTAGAGTACTATACATACCGTATACAATACAGCTAGTAATTAGATCTTTAATTACGTAAACTGAAGAGAATATATAAATTTTAAATTATAGAGAATATGATACCAGTTTAATTCATCTCATAAATAATATGCTGCAACTAAAGAATATTTTGAAAGTGATAATATTTTAGACTTTATTTCACTTATGTACAGTACTCAGTAGGCATCTAATATTTTACACGGGAAATTTAATTTTTCACTATAATTGATTACATACGGTACCGCATTTATTAAAAACCAAATAGTGAATAGTTAATGCATGGAAATTACTAAATTCACTCGTAATGAAATCCAAGGAAATAAAATAACGTTAGAAAAAGGTTTCAAAGACCTAAAAACGAGAAGAAATAGATAAGATTTGATTGATTTTCTTTCATAAAAAATAGCTAAATCTTAGCTCATTAATGGAAAATAGCCTTGTACTAAGTCTCTTGAAGGCATTACTTGTTATCTTTATGAAATGCAACTATTAAGGTACATTAGTATGCTAGTAAAAATGTATGAAAATAAAGACGATAGTGCTAGATGATGTCCCGACAATTCTTTGTTTACAGCAGCTAGCATGTAGAATACAGTATGTTACTATAAGCCATTAGAATGGCGTTAATCGAAATAATTTACTAACATTTTAGCTAATAACGAGCGGTTTTGGTTTATAGCTTACGAGATATATTTTCCTTCGTAGATTAATTAATCAATATGTAATATGGCATATTTATATAACAAATATCAGTCTATTTTTAAAAGCTGGCTAGGCTAGGATGACTTCGAGACTGACCAACATGAATCTGCAGTAGGTTGAATACTTCTGTTTCTTAAGTGATGTTCCTTTCACTATTGAGCACTGCTGTCATTTCATATGAAAACTCAGATAATTTTGATTGTTAACGCTATATTCTTACCAAGCAATTAATCGCTTATCTATGAAAATAACTGAAGGATATTGTCATAAACAATCAAGTTAATTAGGGAACAAAAGGTCAAAGTTCGATAATCCAATTAGTGTCGTACTAAATCGATACTGGATAGTCTATTGAATTCGTTAAAGTCAACAAATAATTACGGTATCTGCTTCAGCCAACATAACCAGTAGCACCTTAGCAGTACGTTATAAAAAGCTAGAATAGAATATATCTGCTTCATTTACTAATTGTTAATGACATAGTCGAATTGGCATTAGTTGAATCCTAATCATGTTCAAGCAATTGCTCGTAGTTGCAGCTGTTGCTGCAGTTGTCTTGGCTAGACCAGAGCCTCGATGTAAGTATGATTTTCATTCCTTTCAAAAATTTTCTAAATCATATCTTTAAGGTCGATACTGTACTTTCTCCTAATACAGTATAAGCGTAATCAGAAATCATATGATAATTTAGCACGTTTAATCTACATTCTGAAAAGAGTTCTTTTTTTGTAGTCTAGCAATAAAATTTTAAGATTTCAACCAATTTATAGTGATATGAGTATGGGTAATATTTTACACAAATTCGAGCTGGCACATTTATAAGTTAGGATGAGAAATTTCGTGCTAATACAATCCCTAGTTTTAACTTGGATAGATAATAAATCTACAGTACTGTATATTCGTATATAACTATAGCTAATAGCTGAGTATTAAAAAATAGAGTAGTACCTATTTGTAGTCAACACTTTTAATACTGCGATAGATTAACGATAATGGGTAATGTTAATCAACTATATTAATAAATTCAACTTTGCCAACTCTATTCAGTCATAGTCTTAAAATAGACTTCCCATTAATTACGGAAACTAATCATTAGTTAAAATAAATACAATTTCATTGTTATAGTAAATCTCACTATTTATCTCAACCTTAATTTATTCCAATTAGTCATATTAAGTCAAACATTTGCAAATTAAAAATCGTAGTTTAGAAATGAATAGTACAGATTTTATAATAATCGGAGTTTGGTCAAGGAGAGATCGCATAAATAAGTCACTGCAGCTTTAGGCTTGAGAATTTTCTTAACTACGTGGCATCTATTGCCACAGAATGGTAGAACTGCAGATTATAATCATTAACATTTCAATACATTCTTAATGAAAGCAAAAGGTTTATTTACTCTAGTTGTTGACTTATTTTGAAGCTTAAGTCTAATATCATAAACAACAACATTTTTAACAATGTCAATTACGAAGCTAGCATAAAAACTAAAGATGGTGCAATAAATTAATTTGACAGTTACAATTTTTGGCCGAATTTCGTCATAATAAATAATATTTAAAAATTAGAGATTTTAATCTCACATAAGTTTTATCTACCGGCATTGATAAATTGTCGAAGTATTAATCAACACTATATCGATAATTAAAATTAAAATTAGATCACCTGTTAGTATTATTACGACAACCATTGTAGTGTACGGGTTGTTAGCCCTAGGTTCGTAATCCGTCAACTCAAAATTCTGAGTTGTTAAAATCGAGCAAATCCCTAATGTGATACAAAATAGTCAACACCGTATAATTGACTCATAACAGTTAAGTTTATTAATGTCCATGTATCATCCGTCAGAGAAGAATTCCAATTTCTTCCGCTGCTAATAACAGTCGAAAATGGCTAAGATAAACCGGATAATCGACTTAGCCTCCACGATAACAGTTCTATACAACTTATACAAATTATCATCAATTGCTCCTCTACATAGGAGTCATCCATCACATTAGTACTTTGCTTAACAACATTACTTAATATGGCTATCAGCTACGGCCTTATATAGCACATACTAAATGCTTGCCGTTTCATCATACTAGCCTTATCAGCACTTACTTTATTAAGACATACAGTTCTACACTACATACTTTGGCTGTATTGCCTACACAAAACTACTGTAATTAGCTGAAATCACTACAACCATTTACCTATCTAATATGCTGTAGTATCCATACTGATCAATAATATAATGTAGCATCTATTAACATACAGCTAGCTCGAAATCGGTATCGGAAATTGGTTAATGTCATCCAGTATGATTAACTCAAATAATAGCTCATTAATGATCAACTATGAAAGTCTTGTGATTACCATCTGATCATTTATTTCTCACTATTATTCGTTCAAGTTCGATTTATCAACTGATAACTTCTTTATCAAGAAATGTATTCACGACTGGTATAGCATCGTTCTAACTTATCTGAGCTGTAAATTACTTATCGTGTACAGTAAATTAATAAGGAATTTCTATCCTCATTTGGGTTGATATTCCATGAAAATAAATAGAGCTCTCAGTATCTATTTTATAATTATGAACAAGTAGGATTATTACTTGCTAATAATATTTTCTATCAAATCTTTTATTTAATACTGTAGCAACCATGTGCGATCCCGATCCCAAATTGGGATGCTACTCTGATACTGGACCATGGGATAGATGGTTTTTCCCACTCCCTAAGCCATCCAATAAAATTGGAACCAAATTCTACTTGTATACCCGTGGATATAGTTCCTCCCAAACCCTCGACTACAATAACCCATCTTCTATCTCTGGTTCTCGTTTCAATGGTAACATTGATACCAAAATCATTATCCACGGGTTCAACAGCGATTCTACTTCCGCTTGGATGCATAATATGAAGAACGCTTTCTTGAACAAGGGCTACTTTAATGTTATCCTCGTTGACTGGGGTGGCGGTGCCAAGACTCTCGACTATGATCAAGCTAGTGCTAACACCCGTGTTGTTGGTGACATGGTTGGAGAATTAGCTAAGGCTTTACCAACCAGTAAGAGCAGAGTTCATATTATCGGTCACAGTTTGGGTGCCCATACAGCCAGCTTTGCTAGTAAGTTAGCTACTCGTATTATAATTGAACGAAAGTTAACAATTTATTCTAAAAGGGTAGTGATTGTAATCATCGTGTTCTAAGTACATTTATATAGTTTAATTGGAGTTCATTGACTGTATATGAATATACATTATAATTATTGCAATATTCTTATATAGGTGTTAGACTTAATAAGGCCGGACGTGTCAGCGGTCTTGACCCTGCCGATCCTAACTTCCAAGGACAATCTACTGCTGCTAGATTAGACAAGACTGATGCCGACTTTGTTGATGTTATCCATAGTGATGCCGATACCTTCTTGTTAGGTGCTGGTTATGGTACCAAAGATGCTTCTGGCCATCTTGATTTCTGGCCTAATGGTGGTGAAGATCAACCCCAATGCGGTTTATTCAAGGATGTCCAAAAGAACATGAACGGCATGAGCCAAAGAGGGGACATTGGCTGCGATCACGGTGCTGCACACACATACTACGTAGAATCTATCAACTCTGCTTGCGATTTCGTCGCTAAGCCTTGCTCTAGCTACAGCAACTATAAATCGGGCAGTTGTGCTAGTTGTTTCGGCAATCCATGCCCAATCATGGGTTACAGAGCTGTAGAATTCAAGAACTACTACTACTACAACTATAGACTTTTCTTGACTACCAACAAGAGCGCACCATACTGCTGTAGGTTTTTAGCAATACGCAACTAAGTAGTACTTAATTAAGGCCATTTATTACTCATTGAACTTATCATCATTAAATAATTTTATTATCTGCTGTTGCTGACATTATATTGAGGATCGCCAGGCCACAATACCATGGGGAACACTTTCGTTAAGATTGATAGACTAGTTTAGTTATCATTATTGTTTAACTAATAATGGTAGTTCACTGAATTTGTTACCGTACTTTGGTTACTAGATGATTACGATTCAATCTAGCGATATTTTAAGTCAAGGAAGGAATTTTAAATCAAAAATGAGCGATGTCGTAATATTATCAAACTAGTTTAATACTTGAAAAACAGTTTAAAAATCTGTGTAATTTTGAAACTTACGATACTATAGCTAAATTTTTACTTAGCCGCAATTTTCTTTCTGTTCAATTTTAAATTATCATACCATAATACGCATATATTATTCGGTGTACAAGACGTATGATTGAGCTTATAGTATTACCGTAATATATATATATATATATCAGGTTAACATTGGTATTAAGATTATCAAAATATTTATATCGCAGCTAGCGCCAAATCTGCCAAGTCCGTTGTAGAACAACTTGGTGGCTCAGAATTAGCAGCAGAAGATGCCAAATTAAAGTAAGTACCGTAATAAGTACCGCTAAAATTCTGTCTTAAAATTCGTCGAATTGAACATAATCTCTTTCGCAGCATATCAGCTTTTAATAATCTAATTGTTAGTAAAGTTTAGTAATTGTAGATTTTGTATTTAACTGTATAATTTCTAGATTACTTATGTTCAATTTTCACTTTAAAGCTTGCTCTAGCTATGAATCAGTTTTCAAACATCATAACTGATAAAATATACATTTGTATTTACATTTTATAGAAGAATGGAATAAATAGACCAATAAGATTGATATCTTCATTAGGACGTTTCAAGTAAGTTTTAGCTAATAACAAAATTATATCATATTAGAATAATACTATTAAAATATTAAAATCTGTATCTACTATTAGCACATTCACATGTATAATATAAGCTAATGGAATCAATTGATTTTATATCTTGACGCTAATGATATTAATATTTTCTATATTCGTATTATTAGATAACCTCGATACCCTCGGTTGTGAAGACACCTTGAATTTGATAGCATAGTGCTGAATATCATGAATAGTAGATAATGATAGAAAATTCGTGTAGGGTAGCATTAATGTGTTCCTATACACGAGAATCAATTTTCTCTTAGTTTACGATGACCTATAAAATAGCTGACTAATCGTTTTGTTTCCATTTTAATATTGCAATATCCTAATCTAGTTGTAATTAAAATGAAACTTTTGCAAAGAATGATTATCTTCCATTTTCGTAACTGAGTTCTCGATCTTGTCAGCTATCCTAAAATGATCCTAGATATTATACCAATCATTTTGAGGAAGATTTGCTTTTGCAAACTCATTAATTTCATTAGAGTACTAGTACAAACTCACGTCGCTTTGCTGACGGTTTACGATAATGCACCCATTTGTTAATAATTAACAGATAGTATTACCATTCGACATTATATATACCCTGGTAATAGCCAGGCACTACTGTATTCACAGCACAGCTATGCTTGTGAAAACTACTTTTCAATAATGCATTCACGGATAAAGCTTGCTCTGTCGTTAACAACTGTTATAAGAAAATGTAATAATCAAAATGGCTGCGTAGAAAACTCTATAAAGATTCTATGTTTATTCAATTTTCATCAGAGTATTACATCAAATCAAAATTGAAAGGCCCAGTGGCCACCCTTAGCGATATAACGAATACTATTTTAATAATCAGTACTCTGCAGAAATTACTACCTTAGAGCTATTCGTTTTACATGAAGAAATCTTGAGGTAAAAAGTACTGTAAGAATCTTATACTGACCTATTGAAATGAACCCATAATCACAGTCATCTAACAGTAGTATAAATACCCCCCCCCCCGCTGCTCATTTAAAAAGGTGGGTAGTGGGATTATACGGTAGCGGTAGCAAGAAACCAAAATAAAAATTGTGAAGAGATCACTATTCACCTTCAATTTATATAAGAATAGCAGTAGCAGTTCTAGTCGATTTAGTGGATGGAGTTACAATTCATGAGTATATAGATAGCATTGTATCTAATTTTAGGTAGTAATAATTTCTTCTCTACTTTATGGGGCAAAAAGTCTGCCCTTAAATGTAAAGGTTTAACCTTTACAGTCTTTACAAAAATAATGTCGCTCCGTTCGAGCTAGGGCTGTAGCGGCAGAGATGATACTGCTTGATCACTCGATCGACAACACTTTACGTGTCAAACTGATATCCAAAAGACTGTCGTAAACGGGTAGAATGCATAATTTTTATTTTAACCTCTACAGTACAGTTATTTCCTCAATTTGTCCGTTTTCAACAGTCTTTGGACATCAATTTTGCACAGTGCAGTGCCTAGCTGCCTGGTAAAGCAAAGGGAGACAACCATATGGTGATAACCATGACATTGTTTTTTGGAAAGGCTGTCAAAATTAAAAATTTTGATTGCAAATTATCGGGATCAAAGTTTAAAATCTCTATTCTCATTCTTGTTAATCATCTTCATCGCAAGTTTTATTCTCCGCCATTGCACCATTCCATAAAGTAAAGCTACACCGCCATACTATCAAGTGCGTCTAACCATAATACTTCTAGGCCCAGCTGGTGGTTTATACGAATTTGGCCGCGAGTATTTTTTTTTAAGGACAAGTTTTTAGTCTGAGGACATGGCCATAACATATTATGTATATTTTATACACGTGACCTTTATTACCATCACAGTGGAGTACTTAACTGTACAATGCAGTATTCGCCATATTACACCTATAGGTGTTAATAATCGAACTCTCACTAATTTTTTCCCCCACAGAGGTGTCTGGAGTTTTCTTCACTTTAGAAGTAATCTCTGGCCTTCGCGAGATCCGTAGTGTTGGAAGCAGAGACAGAGCGGATCTCCTTCATTGACTTATAACTAGTCGAATCGTTAGTATTAGCAGTATTAACTGAGTCCTAAATCATGTTTAAGCAATTACTCTTTGTTACACTCTTAGTTTTTACCCTGGCTAAATCAAGAGCGGATGGTAAGATTTTTTTTAAATTGAATTTTAAAAGTTCCTGCAAGCCCATGCAATCTGACAGAATTTACAATTTAACGTAATAATTAGATATCCCTATTATGGAATCTACACCCAGTATTGTTGGGTACTGCTGCTGCAGTTGATCTGATCAACGTAGGCAAATTGTCTAATCCACGTTTTAGATTACAATTTCCCATTTTTAAGATTATCTAATGATAACAAAATCCGATCTAAAATGGAAGCCACAAAACAAAGTTGAATTACACTATCTTTAGCTTTCATTGCTAACTTAACACTAAACATTGTATAAATCTTTTTCACCGATGCCTTACTGAATTTCAGTACAGAAACAGTCTTCGAAAAGATTGTATTAACATTAAATGATGCCATTTTTATTATACTCTTTAGAACAGGCGTGTGACTTGTTGAGGTATAGCTCAACTATAAATTAGTGATGTCGTATTCACAATCAAGCGAGACCAGATCATCATATAAATAAAATGGGATAAATGCCATAAAACATCCGATGCTATTTAAATGTAGCTTATAGAGCTGCAATTCGACTAAATGAACGGGAAGCTAGTGCTATTTTCTAACTTAGAATTCAGTGGTAAATCTATGTACACTCCATACGGTAGATATTTTCACTCACTCAGCCGTAGCACAAGGAATGCACCCAAAATAATAGCAAGACGAAAGCCAAAGCGGATAACAAATATTAATAACTTATTCCTGTCTTTAATTACTGTTTTTATACATTCTAACAATCTTAGTCTTGGATATATTTGGGGCTGTACTATAAGAGGTTGTATGGCTGCATGCACTACTAGATGTACCAGATGTAGGTATACAATATCTAGAAGTCCATGATTATGATATAAAAATCATTACAGGAGTGAGAATTAGTTAACGGTATAATAATTCATCGATCCATTCAATACTGGTATTGCGATCCTGTCCAGGATTTACAGAAGAAAGTTTATAAACTAGAAATTAATTATGCAATTGATTAAAGTTGCATAAGCGTATATGGCTAATCTATCACGATATTGATGATAAATCATTCCGTTCTTGATAACAAGTACTGCTGCTGTTTAGATAGATCGTAGAGCTATTAAAATTATGAATTAGGACAGACTAATTTCGTTATAACTACTAATTCTTAAAGCATTAAAGCGTTTGAATTTTGTGTAAAATAAGTGCAGTCCCGTTCCTATGTCGAAGTAGATTGCGTGAAAATCGTCAATTATTACTAGTATAGGCTAGGGATAAACCGTTTCGAAATATAAAATTGAATAAGTGCAAATTATCCTATACATTTTTTATCTAGAGAAATTATGATTATAGGTATTCAATAATATCTAGTTTCCATACATGAGCATTACTATTTACTTATCCATTAGCTGCAGATCTTTAAAGTAGCTGCTACTACTATACAACTACTGGTACATTACTATTGATAATTGATTAATTAATTAATTAGTACGTGTATCATCTCGTATGATTCACTCAAATGGTACTGTTAACCGTTAATCATGAAAATCTATCACCACCATCTGATCATTTATTTCTCATTATCATTCTTTAATATTCTATTATTTATCGACAAATTCTTATTTGGGAATATATTCATAGCATGCATAGTATCACCCTAACTTTTCTCCGTAATAGTTAATTATTAAAGAATTTACCCCCCCCCCCTTACATTGATATTTCTATAATGTACGTTATTCGGGCTTTCTTTCAATATCTACTTTGTAATAATGCAAAAAGTAGGAGTATTAATTTCAATTAGTAATGTTACTGGCTAAATATGTTCTCCACAAATTCTACTTAATGGCAGAAACTTGCGATCCCGACCAGAAACTAGGGTGCTATTCAAATACCGGACCATGGAGTGGATCTGATCTCCCTCAGTCATCTACTAAGATTGGAACCAAATTCTATCTATATACCTGTAAATGCAATACCTCTCACACTCTCGATTACAATAATCCAGCTTCTATCTCTAATTCTTCTTTCAATGGCAACATCGACACCAAAATTATCATCCACGGATTCAGCAGTAGTTCCTCAGAAGTGTGGGTACATAAAATGAAGGATGCCTTCTTGACTAAGGGTTGTTTCAATGTTATCCTCGTTGACTGGAGGAAAGGTGCCGAGTCTATGGGGAATGATTTTTTTATTTACTTTCAACCTGTCGCTAACACCCGTGTTGTTGGAGACCAAATCGCAGAATTGGTTAAAGCTTTGCCAACTAGCAAGAGCAGAATTCACCTTATCGGTCACAGTTTAGGTGCTCATGTTTCCAGTTTTGCCAGTAAGTTGAAAATTAAATCAATCAAAATTAACGACTTTTCAATCTATTGCAGTCAGTTTAGTGTCCTGTGTACATTTATTGATACAGCCTATTTAGAGTTAATTGACTTTATATTAACAGAATATTATTACAATACTCATAAATAGGCGTTCGACTTAATAAAGCTGCGCGTATCAGTGGTCTCGACCCCGCTGGTCCAAAGTTCGTAGGGCTAGCTAATGCTGTTAAATTAGATAAGACTGATGCCGACTTTGTCGACATTATCCATAGCGACGCCGGAACTTTCGGCACTACAGAGCCGTCCGGTCATCTTGATTTCTGGCCAAATAATGGCGTAGATCAACCCCAATGTAATCTATTCGATGATGCAGGGCCTGCCTGCGATCATAGTGCTTCGCACGTATATTACACAGAATCTATCAATTCTGATTGCAATTTTGTTGCTAGACCTTGCTCTAACTATGGTAAATACAAATCTGGCGGTTGCACTAATTGCTTCTATAAATATTGTCCAGTCATGGGTTACAGAGCTATAGAATTCAAGAAATACTACTTCTACGGCTACGAAAAATACACACTCTTCCTTACCACCAACGAGGAGTCGCCATACTGCGGTAGGTATTACCGTCGAATAACGCTTAGTTAGTAAGCTTCCTAACTATTAACTAAGCTTATTAACGTTGACTATGTTTATCGACTGTTGCCTACGTAATGATGATGATTGCTAGACTACAGAACTGTAAGAAATACCTACTGCATTTTCGTTAGATCTACTATGTTTGTTACTATCTTAATTAGTCGGCTAATATTGGAAATTCATTACATCTAAGGTGCTGTAGTTACTCCAACTTACTAATATTATGCGACTACAATCCAATGTAATCTTACCTCAAGGAATGCATTCTACGTCGAAAACGGGCAATGTTGCGATACTATCAAGCTACAATATTTTAACATACGCTTAGTCGAAATTTCTTGTTATTTGCATTACTTTGTTCAGTATTAAGTTATCATACGATAACACACGATAAGATATAAATATTACCTCACAAGGATCATAGTACATACTACTAGTAGTTTATGTCTATATAAACTAATCATCAAACCTAAGGTTGGTTCTCCTTAATTTGACATTAAAATATTCTTATTGTAGCTGGCAATAAACCCGGCAAGCGGTGGTGGAATTAATTGATGGTCTAGTATTAGAGGCAGAAGATCCTAAAATATAGTACGTAAGTAGATGCAACTAAATTCACGTCTTAAATTCGCGGAATATAATGCAATCTCTTTTGTATTGTATCGATATCGAAAAATAATCTAATTAATAGCAAACTATTGTAGTTGTAGATTGGTGTATCATACGACAATTTTTAGACTATTGTATATTGTACAGAGTTTTCTTTTAGAAATTATTCTAGCTATACATAATTCAAAAATATCATAACTTGCAATGCATATATCTAATTGTAACTTTTATGAACATGTAGAATAAATATACCAAAACAATGGTTATAGTTACACCAAGACTTTTAAACTAAGTTTAGCTGATGCTAAATATTATGCTATGCTGCAGCAATAATCTAAAGATATTACAATCTACTTTCTGAATTGCATATTTATGTCGTGGAAGCTTGTTAAACCAACTAAATTAACATATACATCATGATTACAGAGATATTTTCCTTTCTCTGTTTGATTAGACACCTCAGCTCTGATGGTATCTTGAACTTGCCATCGTATTATTGATTATTATAACTAGTAGATTATGTTAGAATCTGAAGTAGTATGATTAAAATGAGTGAGATTAATAATTAATTATAATTGACGAATACATGGTTGAAAATTTGTGCAGTATAGCATTAATATGTTGGTATATATGAAAAAAACTGCCTATTAGTCTAAAGTGCGTTGTAAGTAGCCAGCTAATCATTTTAATATCGTTGTAGTATTATTTATGCCGTAATGTACTGATCTAGCTGAAATTAAAATGACTTTGGGAATGAAAATTATCGCCAGTTTTCTATGTTAAGTAAGAGTCCTTGATCTTGTCAGTTATCGTAGCATGATCCTATCATTATACCTACCATTTCGACATAAATCTACCTTTGCATAATTTTTATAGTTGTCTGAGTACCATAATGCTACTGCACAATAAATCATATCTACAGAATTATAAGCTGCTTTGTTAGTTCTTTAAATCATCAATACAGATGCTAATGCACTAAAGCAATTTTGTTGTTGGAAAAGACTGTAAGGGGTATTGCATTATTATGAATTTGAATGCTCGACACAGTGATATCATGAATACTTTGTCTAATAACATGCTGGCTTATTCGTAATAATCGAAAAAGAATTAAACTATTATGAAATATTTCGTACACGACAGCCTTCATCATCATGAACATCTCTTCTAACATGTCACATTGAAATTAATTCTAGTAGAACAGAAAAATTCGAATAGATTACCCTCTCTGATTTAGAACCAGGAAGAAAATTTTCTTTTAGTGCCTACTTAGTTGGTTGAGTCTCTTACGTAAGAAAAAAAATCGAATAATGTAAGACTCTAATATCGAAATCATCACGTAAAACTATCAAATTTTAATAATAATAATGGAAGATAAAATTGCTTATAGAAATCTTAAACGATTGTCAAATGCCGCCCTTTCTAACTCCCTCGTATCTCTATAATTTTCTATTATAAATTGTGACAACATCGTACATTATTTTGCTTGTAAATGCAGAAACATTTTCAGCTACGTATGCGATCATGTAATAGGAATCACAAATTAATGCTTAATTTTAAAATTCGATACTAACCTTCATATCTACATTCAATCTAACTTACAGAAGGTACTTTAAAGTCTATCCTAATTTCAATGAATGGGGGCGTACATTATATATTTCGCTTCATATTTTCTAATTAAGGAGCTCTCACTTAATATTGATATTACTCGTATAATAGTTATTCAGTAATGCACCTGAAAGACTGATAAACCCTCAGATATTACTCTTTATAAACTAACATTACAAAACTTTCCTTAAAGTACTAGTTTCAACTACCGTATCTTAATACATCCATTAAAACTATAGAATATTATACCAATATACATATTATTAGCTTTAATCTACTTTGATACGCTTGCAATTATTTATTTCGATGTATAAAGATTAGATGCCTAATTTGACTCGCTATAAGGACAGGTTAAAGACTTTACCACTATTTTTCCTAGATACTGTATAATGGGATCGTTTAAGTGATGTCTATGTAATCATTGTTCCACTTATTTTATAAATAAGCGAATAAGTAAAAGTCAAACTTATCAGAAACATTAAATCTGGAATGATGACTATGGTACTTATTGCTACACTAGAATGTCAATATTTTTACTTTTAGATATTTATCTTTGCGCAATTTTAGTGTGCAATGATAAATTATAAAGGATGCAAATTAGCATCAAAATTGTAGTTCTATTAAATATTAAGAATTCTAGGTTAATCGCCTAATAAATAGTGATGAACCTTGTTTAGTTATGATAAACGTCATCGTTAGTTTGAAATTCATCAATTCAGGTATATCTTTGTATTAGCAAGCAGAACTGCTAGTCAATCTTAAAAGATAAAAGCATATTTTCAGTCATCAACATGATTTACATAATAAAATTGATTTACTTTGCGCATAAGGTTAACGAGGTTCAAATAGATTAATAGAAGAGATCGTTTAATCTAGTATACATAGTGGAAATCTCTATGCTAAAAAATAGCCCAAATATTTATTGTGTACTGCGTTTAATGTAGTACTAGTCCTATCTAGAGGTTCACATAGTAATCGATATAATCTCGTTTTTGGCCTATATCATTATAATAGTTAATTGAAACATAGGCAAAAGATGCTGAATCTACTTTCTATCCCAGCATTGCGTGAAAATCTGCTCGCATTGATTTGTATTAATAATGAATTTATTCAAGAAAGGTATCTGTGACTTACTCGTGCATAGCGGTGTACAAGCTACAAATTAATTTATTCGAAGAGGGGTGGAGTCGGGGGTCGAGGGGGGAGAGAGTGGGTGGACGGGAACTCGGAGGTAGTAATAAATTTTTTACGGGTCAAGGTTTGGAACGAGGGATAACGGGTAGAAGTTTTGGGACTTTTAGGGAATCTAGGCCGTAGTTGCGATCAATGAGTATCATAACGATATACATTATGGTCTACTAAAATTACTAAAATGGTATTTTATTAGTCCATATATATGCGTATACGTGAAATGCTAAAGCTCATTAGCGTGTCTAGCTAAGACTATAGCCACGTGCTTTAAATCTACCAGCGGGCTAAGCGCTATAATCTCGTTTTTGGCCTATGTCATTACAATAGTTAATAGAAACATAAGCAAAAGATGCCGAATCTACTTTCTATCCCGGCATTTCGTGAAAATCTGCTCGCATTGATTTGTATTAATAATGAATTTATTCAAGAAAGGCATCTGTGACTTACTCGTTCATAGCGATGTACAAGTGTTGCGGTGTTGCCTTGTCAGTAGGATAGTTTAATAAGTACAGTAGTAGCTAGTATGGAGAATATCCATATTTGTAGTGCTAGGTAAGATAAGTAATGCCTTAACGTGGATGTTGTTTGTAATAGTTCATTACATATTTGATATTGATTGTTATTGTGTGATAGATAGCAGTAAGATGAATCAAGTTCTAGTTGATGATAGTTGAATTAGACAACCTACGAGCTTGGATTAAGATTAAGTATGAGTAAGAGATTCAAAATATTTACTGATCGAAAAGCTATGCAAGGAACATCTCAGTTCGAGATGTTTCTCCTAATAAGGTATAATAATAATACTGTCGTTGTTTACAAATTAGACGGTTCCTATATAAACGGGAATATTTGAGTTGAGTAGTGTGGTAAAAAGTTGTAGGTGTATCTTTGCTAATAAAAGTTTCATCTTTACAGTATTTTGCTATGTGTATTTAACGTTAAGTAAAAGGGCGTTTAAGTCAGTAGCTGCTTATAGACTTTTACTGTACGTTACCTTGTCGCAGAAGTGAAATTGTGACAACAAGCTACAAATTAATTTATTCGAAGAGGGGTGGAGTCGGGGGTCGAGGGGGGGGGGAGAGAGGGTGGATGGACGGGAACTCGGAGGTAGCAATAAATTTTTGACGTATCAAGGTTTGGAACGAGGGATAACGGGTAGAAGTTTTGGGACTTTTAGGGAATCTAGACCGACCGTAGTTGCGATTAAATTGAGTATCATAACGATATACATTATAGTCTACTAATATTACTATAATGGTATTTTATTAGTCCCTATATATGCGTATACGTGAAATGCTAAAGCTCATTACAGTATCTAGCTAAGACTATAGCCACGTGCTTTAAATCTACCAGCGAGCTAAGTATCTAGTATGGCGGTTAAATGAAAAGCAGCTGCGTAACTAAAATTAACGAAAACACCGTTGGACACTGCTAACCGCTATTCATCTTCATAAGGAATACATACATAGTGCCTTTAAGTGCTTTACCGCTATAATCCCGTAAGAAATTAAATTAACAATTCGTATTTCATACGGTATACTTTAAATTGACAATATTTGCTCACGAATTCAACGTTAAAAGTGAAATTATAATTGCCGCGTTTGGCCGAAATGAAATCATTTTCTATGGCAGTTTATAGGCTGTAGTATGCTGTACACTACAAGAAATGGATTTATATGGAATTTCATCGTAGAGATTGTTTCATCCTGTAATTTTTAGTAGTCCATGGATACAGTTTATCTCTAATATGATGAACATAACTATGATCAACCTTAATTAATCTATTTCATGCAGCTATAATTCTAACATAATATATTGAGGATTTTTTAACGTTTTTTAAAGCGATTTATCTCATATACTTGTGTGTTAGACAGAGTCAAAGCATTTTAATTGTTTCTCAAATCCCTTCAATGCTGTACAATCAATACACTTAATTCTTGATATAACCTATAAATATCGACTTCAACTATGAAAAGGTCACTATGTCGATAAAAAATTCTAAATCAGATAGTAAATATACCACTGAAAGTATATCCACTCTATCTAGGCAAAGCTTAAACAATGATGAGAAGGACTAAATCTACAATAACGGAACTTGAATTACTAATCTGTTTGAACATGATTAATAATTGTATTCCGATAGTTTTTGCATAATAATCATGGTATGATGTAAGTTGAAATATCTAACTATCATAACAATATTGATAATACATTGCATGAATTATGTGTTGTTTATCTACTACTCTTGATAAACATAACTGTTTCCAATTTAGCTTATTTTGATTTGTTCGTGCATCTACTTAATTTTACAATGGCCTCTTTTCCTCGTTTACTGTAGATTAAATGATTTACAAATATTATGGCTATACTGAATCCTTAACAAGACTAAGGTCAAATCAAGCTAATCCAATTAGTATCTCCAATACTAAATCAATAAAGAAAAAAGCATTTGAATTCGCTTGTGTCAATAAATACGACAAGAAAATGATTGTGTAGTATGATCTCTTCCAAATATATTATGATTATCAGGATCATCATGTGATAGCGATGGTATAAAAGTAACAGATAATCTCGTCGAAGATCACTTACTAGTTGTTAGCGGAGCTGAAAAAGTTAGCATCAAGTTAGACCAAAAATGTTCAAGTTACTCGTAATCGCAGCTTTTGCTGTTGTCGCCTTGGCTAATCCAGAGCCTCGCGGTAAGTTTATTATAGCTATTGATATGGTACTTTTTATAACGTTATCAGCCATCTATTTGGTGTTCATATCATCTAACAACCTAATCAATATTACTGTAAGATCCCTACTACAAACGTTTCCTTCATTTTACGTGATGTTCCTTCTATTTATTGCCGAAAATTCATATAATACGATACATTTATATGATTGTCAATTTATCTAGTAGGCCTATCATGATAATAAGCAATCAAATATTATACTTTTAATAACCTTGGAATAGATTACCCATCAGTCTCGAATTAGTTTTTTACCTAATCTAAAGCGTAGCAATGCTTAATCTTTGATGTACGTTTCTATCACAGCACCGTATCATTCTCGAGAGTTTAATTAGTCGGATTGAATTCTTTATACTATATTTGTATCCATCAATAGCAACTAACGTTTCATATTCAGCTCCTTTGGTACCCATATAACCTGAAGATTGATAATTTAAGATAGACATTTTCGGTTATCAAAGGCATTATGACATTATTCAATATTGCATCGATTACGCTAATTCAGCATTGTTGTAGCCAAGTACTTTTCAATATGAAAATGTCTCTATCACTCATTATTCAATATTGCATCGATTCCGCTAATTCTGTATTGTTCTAATTAAGTACTTTTCAATGTGAAAAAACTTTTTATCGTTCTAATGGAAGTTAACAAGACCACGAACTAAATATGTTAATACACGTTTAACCCGGAATGATATTTTTTATTTACTTATTATTAGCGGCAAGATCAATTAAGAAACGATAATTATTCATATTAAGTGAACAGATTTGTGCAGATGCAATTAACGAAGTTTTTTATTTACTTAACTGAGATAAAATTAATTTAATTAAACAACTATTATTCTAACGTAACAAAGCGAGAAGAATATTTATCTCCTAGTGGATGATAGAGGCTTCAATAATAATTCATAATGTAGTTGGACGATAAACAAATCTAAGCCAACAATATACTAGATAATATTTAAATAGGATTATAGGTGCGGTTGATCAATAACGGAATTATTGGTTTACGAATTATCTATTTTCGAAATTTTATAGCATCAGAACTAATTTCAATTACCTTAATCACTTTAGTTATCATTAGACTTGTTACACCATATCTAAAATTCATAATATTCATGACAAGCATAGCGATCTATAAAGTAATCGTGACATCAAAATATACGTACATAGATTTATAGCTGCAAAAGAATATAATGTAAATACTTGTGCGGCTATGCATATACTTAATCGGCCATTTTCAATACTTATGTGTATCATCATGCAATTGAAGGAACAATGTGTGATCCCGACCCCAAATTGGGATGCTTCTCTAACACTGGATCATGGAGTCATCTCCCAACCCCTAAATCATCTTCTGTTGTTAATACCAAATTCTACCTATATACCCGTGGATACAGTTCCTCCCAAACCCTTGACTACAATAACCCATCTTCTATCTCTAATTCTCGTTTCAATGGTAACATTGATACCAAAATCATCATCCACGGATTCAGCGCCGATTCTGGCTCAGCTTGGATGCATAATATGAAGAACGAATTCTTGAAAAAGGGCTACTTTAACGTTATCCTTGTTGACTGGAGTGGTGGTTCCAAGACTCTCAACTATGATCAGGCTAGTGCTAATACTCGAGTCGCTGGTGCCATGGTTGGAGAATTAACTAAAGCTTTGCCAACTAGCAAGAGCAGAATTCACCTTATCGGTCACAGTTTGGGTGCTCACACTTCCAGCTTTGCAAGTAAGTTTATTGTAGCTGTTATAATCAACATCATATCAATCTATAGTAAGGTTATATTGTAGCTTGATTAGAGTTGTAGCGTGTTAAGATTTTGTTGTGATGCTAAATTTCTCATTAATATTGAAATGGCAGTCTTTTGTATTTCATGGATAAATATAGTTTTTTGTGTTAGCTGTTTATAGCACTTATAGTTTCTTAGCACTGTTAAAAATCATTAACTCCTCCTCGACTATTATGATAGATGATGATGATATATTTAGTTTCACTGTCTTACTTTCATATATGTTCTATTCCGAAGGTGTAACTATCAGACAAAGTTTAATTTATATCTCAATGATTTGAGTTTTTGTAATTGCTAAGGAGCGATCACGTAGATCAGATTCAGAGTCTAGTGCTATCTACGAAGTAAAATTACTTCATGCTGACCGGTAGTAGTTATTTCAGCCTTAGATGATTTACAATACGGCGTGTAATAACGGATTTGTTTTCTCACTAAAGTATTGTGTATTAGTCTTTGATTGCTGCTTAATCTACTTCTGCCAATTTATCAAGTACCTCATGCCAAATATCCGATAGTATTTAAATTTTATGAGATTTAACAATTTCTCTATCATGATAGATGAAGATTGTAATAATTATGTTCTATGCACATTTCTATGATCTATTTAAAGTTAATCAGCTTTATATTAATAATATATTGCAATTCTCGTAAATAGGTAACAGACTTAACAGAGCCGGACGTATCAGCGGTCTTGACCCTGCCGATCCTAACTTCCAAGGCAGATCTACTTCTATCAAATTGGACAAAAATGATGCTGACTTTGTCGATGTTATCCATAGTGATGCCGATACCTTCTTGTTAGGTGCTGGCTATGGTACCAAAGATGCTTCTGGCCATCTTGATTTCTGGCCTAATGGTGGTGAAGATCAACCCCAATGCGGTTTATTCAAGGATGTCCAAAGGGACATGAACGGCATGAGCCAAAGAGGAGGCATTGGCTGCGATCACGGTGCTGCACACACTTACTACGTAGAATCTATCAACTCTGCTTGCAATTTCGTCGCTAGGCCTTGCTCTAGCTACAGCAATTACAAATCTGGCAGTTGTAGTAGTTGCAACGGCTATCCATGCCCAATCATGGGTTACAGAGCTGTAGAATTCAAGAACTACTACTACAATAACCAAAGACTTTTCTTGACTACCAACAAGAACGCACCACACTGTTGTAGGTTTTAGCAATACGTAATTAAATAATGCCCAGTTAATAACGACCATTATTATTGCTAACTAAACTTATTAATATTAGCTTTATTTATTTTCTGTTGCCAACGTAAAATACTAGATCAAGTACAGTAAGAATTTTATGCTTTCCTTAGAATTGATAATTTTAGTTTACTACCTTCATTAGTACATCACTGATCGTAGTCAATTAAATTTTACGGTGCCTTAGTTCTTGTATTATCCAACTACGAACTAATCTAATCTAATCTGAAGGCCTTGAAGAAATTCAATATTAAAATAAGCAATGTTATATTGCCATCAAAATTGCTTTCATAATTAATTTAATGATTGTCAAGATTTATTTGTAACTTCAGCCCTACCATACGGTAGTTAAATTTTTTACACAGCTGAAATTTCATCTTATTTGTATTACTATTTCCTATTTTAAGTTATCATGCAATAATACACATGACTAAGTGCAAATATCAATCTTTTAATATTATAATGCTCCACAATTTATATATATATATTACAGATGTAAAAATTATGTTGATACTCTTTGGTTTTAATATTATCATAACATTTTCATTACAGCTGGCGCTAAATCCGCTAGGTCCTTTGTACATCAACTTGGTGGCCCAGAATTAGCTGCAGAAGATGCCAACTTAAAGTACGTAATAAACTAATTAAATTTATGCCTTGAAATTCGTAAAATTAGATACAATTTCTTTTATCACATCAGTATTGAATAATCCAATTACGCGCAAACTGTGAATGCAGGGCTAACGATAGTTTCTCCTAGATATGTTTGATTATAAAATACCATATTAACAGATTATACATTTAAATATTTTTATAGACATATGGAATAAATGAATCAAGAGAATTGTTATATCTTCATTAGAACGTTTTAAGTAAGTTTAGCTGCTAATAAAAGCTATACTACTCCGAGCAATAATCCTAAGATACTTCAATCTGTTCCATTTTCCTTATCGTTATTATGTTTTAACTCTATTGGACAAACTATTCGATATTCCTATAATAATGGCATTAATGTTTTTATTTATTTTATTAGATACCTTCCGCTGTTAAGATACCTTGAATTTGCTATCATAATACCGAATATTATGAATAGTAGATGATACTGAAATCTAAAGCAGCATACAAAAAAGAGTAGAATTAATGAATACATGGTAGAAAATTTGTGTAGAGTAGTATTAATGTGCTTCTATAAATGAGAAGAGCATTTTATTACTTTAGGATGAGTTGTAAAACCAGCGGCTGATCGTTTCATTATCATTGTGATGTTATTTGCACTGTAATGTTCTGATGTAGCTGAAATTAAAATGAACTTTTGCAATGAATAATCCAATTGTATCTAACTTTTGTTACTTAGTAAGATTGATCTTGTCCGTAATCTTAGGATGATCCAAGAAATATGCCACTCATTTCGAGAGCAGCCTCTCTTTTGAATATTTTTAAATTTTTCTTGGGCGTTACAACAGTGTACTGTATGATCAATCACATAAAGAGGATTTAAGGTGCTATAGATCGTCAATGCTAGTAGATTAGGCAAATTCAACGACGGAAAAGATTGCAAAATAATTTTATGTCAATAGGATTTTAAGATTTTAGACCCCATATAACTATATACATCCAGTCTGATATTCGTATTACAATAAATTATTGATAGAATTATTGAAAAAGAATTACTTTATCAGGAATTTTAAAATTCATAGCAGCTAATTATCGTCAATTTAAGTTTTGCAATGCTATTTTAAAAGGATTTAAATAGATTACTCTCATGTACCATTAAATGACAACTGTAACTGTCAACTGATCATCAAATCACCCATTCTGGGTAGCTTAAAATAGAATAAAAAAATTCCTTAAGTAATTACGGTACTTAGAAATTTGAATCCCGTCTATTAATAAAAAACAGACTATAGCAAGGTTCAAATATCGTATTTATCCCGTAAACCTATCATTACTAAAAATAGAAGGTGAGATTGAGTATAATACCTCAAATGACATCTTAAATGGTAGTCTGAAATCGCATTTCTTAAACCTAGTTCGACACTTCGCTCTTAAAAATATAACCGATGACAATAGCATGCATTGGATATTAATTATTTACACCTCTAAATATAGTGATATTGTCACACTGACAATGATATCTTTAAGATCAGTACATCTGGAGCGTTGATAAATTTATCTATAATATCAGAGTTGCATGAAAAATCTGATTTATTTAAAAACGATGCGTCAATGTAGCAACATACTCCTATTAATTACATTAATCGCGTACGTAATGCTGCCTTATAATTAGTGATACATTAATTAATTGAAGAATTGTGAAAAAGAAAGTTAGTGTAATTGAAATAGACATCAATCAGACAATAAAGAATGATACGGCATCAATTTCGAAAGTACTTGTAGTGGAGCCACAAATATGGCTTAGATTAGGATCCAAGATTGCACAAGAATAGTTTAAATATAGTCTGATTGTAGTTAGATAGCCCTTGGTAGTTGTAAGATGAACCTATCCGTATGTAATAAAGCGAAGTCTATAAGAAACTGCAGTTCTTGTTGTATTTTTGAGAAGCCACTTTATCACAGTATTAAAGCCGATATATCTTTGGAAAGTGATTTCTTAACTCAAATGATATACTATTCTTTAGCTACTAGAACTAAGGCGCTATCGCACAACTTCAGACATATATTATCTTAATACTATTCCGAATTTTACTACTTATTTGATGGTATCTTTAAGAATCCAGGATAAGAATCAACATTCAATTTATATAGGAATATAGTGATTACAATCCGTTTAATATGGACCATTTGAAGAGTACAAGGATAAATACAATATAATATTTCAACTTCCTTTCTTGAAACTTAAGATTTCAGCCACCATACGTATTATACTTTATATCAGAAATAAGGATTAATTACTAACAGTACTACAAATGATCGATCTAATTTTCTATTTTTATAAGGCTAAATGATAGCCATGGATAATTCAGGTCATTTTGATTCAGTATCGAAATAAGATCAATGTACATAAGAGACTAAATTATCACTGGTCTACTGTACGTACTCTTTCAGCTTATAAGACTAGAAGATGGCTATTGATAAATTTATAACAATAAATGAAATAATAGATTGATTGGTCTCTGTCACAATTTCACTTCTATGACAAGGTAACGTACAGTAAAAGTCTATAAGCAGCTACTGACTTAAACGCCCTTTTACTTAACGTTAAACACACATAGCAAAAGACTGTAAAGATGAAACTTTTATTAGCAAAGATACACCTACAACTTTTTACCACACTCTCAATTCAAATATTCCCGTTATATAGGAACCGTCTAATTTGTAAACAACGACAGTATTATTATTATACCTTATTAGGAGTAACATCTCGAACTGAGATGTTCCTTACATAGCTTTTCTATTAGTAAATATTTTGAATCTCTTACTCATACTTAATCTTAATCTAAGCTCGTAGGTTGTCTAATTCAACTATCATCAACTAGAACTTGAATCATCTTACGTTATTCATTCTTCTAAACATTAAATAGCTAGTTATTAATTAACTTTAGACTGCAGTACCTCGTTGATATTATCATATTCGGCATCAATAATGGTAGTAATGACATCTAGAGAATTTCGGTTGTAATCATACCGATATTAGAGTTTATGTAATTTTTATTAAATACGTTTCATAACTTTTATTTATAACACTTAACTATTTCTTGTTGCATGTTTATAATCAATACAATTCTTTATTTACCTACAGGCATCTTGAATAATTCCATAACCCATGCATCATAACAGAAGACCTTTAGCGGTTATAATTTGAAATAACTAACATTAATTTGCTTAATATCGTTGGTGTACCTTCTTGAACTGTACTTTCTACAATTGATTATAGTTATAACTTAGAATACTAATCTCTGAATCTTTACAATGATAGAAATTTGCTCTTATATAATTTTATGTGTTTCAATCGATACTATCGAGGATTCTATAATTTATAATTAATCGTCTATTAGTAACAATATTTCGAAACAATTCATCGACAGATATACATTAATGTTATGTTAGTATATCAGAGATAATTAATGGATAGCAATGTAAAATATTAGCTCAAAGTATATCATGATAAATGTACTTCTTGAATGAAAAAGAAGAATATTCATCATTGACTTAGTTATAATTGATGAATCATGCTTTAATAGTTTAATCGTTTTGATATATTATAATTTGTAACTTTCTCAATTTTAATGATTTAAAGCTAAATTATAATCTATAAATTGCATGAACTAAATAAGCTTTGTTGGATTCAGTATTTAAAGTCTTCATTACAAGCCGTATTATTAGATTTAAAAGATAGTATTTAGACTGAGCTATTTGCTATGCATACAAAAGGACTGTTGCAGTTATGCTCATGTCGAAATATTTAACCTGGTAGACTCTCAGCTCTCAGTAAAGATTATAAAACTGATAATATCATCGCGACTACGATGAATATCGTCGATCACTATTTATTAACTTAGTTTGCTCTCTGTTATCTGAGGATTACGAGAGAAATATCATAGCTATGATTACGACAACTTTATCAATTTCGACTTATTCAGAATAATTAGTTCTTTAGGATCTATAAGGACTATATTACTAGTAGCAATAGCACAGTAATGATTATGATGAAAACTTTAGAATGATATTAGCTTACTCCTATAATTTATGAATTATCTGTTATTAGCAAGAATTATAAGCGGTTGCATTGCTGTTGTGATTGTGATGAGTCTATCGTCAAGTTATGAAGCTTGTGTCAGTCAGCTCTACAGTATATGGTATCTAAAAATTGAAATCTCCATATGCCCCCCCCCCAAAAAAAAAATTTACATTTGACCGAATGATTGGAAGTATTTGTAGTATACAGTAGCAACAAGATAAAAAATTTATTGTAGCTTTTATATTACATATTTATTAGAACAGATGCTAATGCTAAATGCAATATCTCATATGACGAAATGATCCTAACAAGATATTTAGGGTATTTTTATTTATGTTTATGGTATTCTCTTGCTACAATCTCTATAATCAATATAGGAATAAACAAAGGCTACGAAATGAGCTTATCTCATAGTTAAATATAACAGAATTAAAATAGCGGAATAAAAATAGTTGAGAAACTAGTTAGAACAGTAGTATTTATCTGTAATATACTTTTAATCTAAGAAATTACAACTCTTAAGCCATCTGAGAACACAATCATTCAGATATTGAAAGTTAGTGTCTTTATTCTAATTTGTTAGAAATTCTATTTACTAAAGCTACATCGGTCTGTTACTTAGCGGATTTATTTTTTCTGTATTGTTGAATATATCAGATCAACATATCAGACATTAAGTATAAAGTAATCATAAATAAGTTGGAATTTTTCATTTTTTCTTTAATTTTGTAGAGGTTGAAAGATAGCATTATCTGTTATTATAGTAAAATTATCTATGTATTAATCTAATTACTAAAAATAACTAATAACGTACCGAACTTTATTTAAATAGCTATTGTTATAATACTTATTTCTTAATAATAGCTTATGGTCTATTAAAGTAAAATTATCATAGATTGATTCTAGCATGGCAATTTTGCTGCGCACAGGAATTTCAGTTCGATAACGTTTGCTAAGGTACTAATTTTCTTAATGGTAGCTCTCCTTTCCACTTTCTCTGTAGATAACAGAATGCTGATCTTCATTAAGCGTAGTCAATTCTTGATCTATGATTTATTTGTAAAGAAATCAAAATTATAGTACTTTGCAATCATGTCCAAATTACTTTCGTAACATTACAATATCTGTCAAGCACTGGTATGATAACCGACAAACTGATAAGCTATGACTCAGAAAAGACACGACTCACCATTTTGGCCATCTACTTTGTTAGATGGACAATACAGGAATATGACGGTGAACGTATAGATATTCCATAAACCGTAGATACCTGTGAGGAAGGCGCCTATGAGGAAATGATATATACGTAACGATATGTTAATAGCTTAATACTCTATCTTTAAACTGTAATGGTATAAACTTATATTATATTGTAAAAAAGTAGAATATTAGAATTTAATTATCGATATGAGCGGTAATAAATACATGATAATTAATAGACTAACTACAGCAAATTGATATGACTACGTTAAATTGTCCTATTCTATTGCTTGTCTGTATATTAATTCATGCGTAGTACATAAATCGGTGACTATTGTTACTTATTAATTCTAAATGACTAAAATTTGTCGTACAAAGCTAGGTTTTTAAAGAAGCGATACTAATTATTGAAGCTTTTTTGTGGGCTAATAGATTAACATAAATGAAAACTGTAAGTACAAATTAAAATAATGGATCATTTGCAGTACTTGCAATCTGTAAATCAGACTGTTCGTCCTCATCCAAGGACTCTTCCTTGAAATGGGATAGGCTATTAATGATGACAAATGCCACCGTTAAAACCGCACAAATTACAGAAAAGAGTAACTGAAAGCGGAAGCGATAAATCAGTCCCTATCAAAAAAAATTGTTCACAAGTACTGAGAATACCACGATAAACACGCAACTGTGTGCTTGTAAGAATAATCAATTAATAAGTCCATAATTCATTGTATTTTTTATATTAGTATAATGAAATACGCATATTTAACTAGCTTTTCAGCTAGTAGTATAATACTATGCTAGTGTAACATATGAGAATATTAATATTAAAAAAATAAGCAGATACTGTAAGTAAAAGTGTGAGATGCGTCTTCCATAAATTATATATTTACAAACAAATATAATCTGTACTAAGGCAAGTCGCACTGCTACTCTTTAAATCATAATAAGATCAATATTTTCTACTACTCTTTTCTTAAATTTTAAAGCAAGCATCAAGTTTGCTACGGCATCCATAATTGTTTACATAATACTTTAACGCTGTAATAGATACTACAGTATCAATTAATCAGATAATCCTATCGGTGGTATATGATAATAATTTTAATAGAAGTTGAATCTAGTATTATATTCGTGTTCACGCTATAGTATAGTGCATCATTTTCTATTCCATTTACCTCATAGAACATTCTGCGGGATTGCTGCATATGTGGTAATGCACCTTGTCTCGTTTGCATTCCTCTTAAAACTCTAATGACCATAGCCACAATACTTACTAAGTACAGGCATATGCAGATCGCTGCAACAATTATAAACCCATACTGTAATAATTTTCGAATGAAAAGTCGAAGTCAAGTAAAATTAAAGTCATATACTGTATTGTCAAACTATGGCTAGAATCTTATCAATGAATTTTGAGCACAATCATTTCTAAGCGTCATAACTCTTGTAATGGATGTTGAGCATAGCGTGAAGATTATTCGTGATATTATTTTACAATATTTATCTAACGAGACTATTACTATACCAAGATATTAATTATAAGCTTTCTGTGCAAGTAAATCTTATTATTTTCTATAAATCAGAACATCAAAATATATCAAAAGCATAACAGCTGGTTTATAGTCATTCTAGAAAATATAGTAACATAAAGTCATTTAAAGCTGGTATCCATTTTAGATACTTATGATATTGCAACTGGAAATATTTAAGGATACGGCTATACGTCGGCCACCTTCTGTTGCCCATATGGAATAAAATGGATTGCTTAACTGTATGCCCCTATTGTGATGCAATTAATATACGAGTATAAAATGAAATAAACTTTATGATTACACACATATAACAAGAATAATCAAATTAATTCCTAGCTTTATTTCTTAAATTGATCAATTCGGTAGCTTAAAAAAATAATCTTTTATGAATTACCTTTCACATAAATCAAATATTAGCAAAGATAAGCAGGAAAGAATGATAATAATTATTTGCTTCCAATATGTTTTAAGATTATTGCGCTTTCCCTGCTCCTATACGCATATATTGAAAGAAGAACGTCAATATTTAACGATACGATTATAACTAAGACTATTGCACTTATAACTATTACGAATATAAAACTGTTCGGGTGTTACCTCACCGTAGAGAAGTTAGCGATATTTATTGGCGTAATCTAATTTAGATTACAAGATAGTTCATATTTCAGACGTAATGTACCGAATAAATGATTATGACTAATAACAATTTAACAATAACAATAATTTACAGTAGATTGTGTATAATAATTTGGCTGATTCTACGAATGGGCATGTTGTAATCTAATAACTGCCTTGTGTTAGTCATCAGATATCTATGTCATTGAAAACTGTCGCATTAATTAGGCGTTTTGATATAGCCTACTATCGTACCAGATTTATAGGTGCTAATTTAATGAACTTTGGGTGATACTACTAAATTTACATTATTTAGCTGCCTATAAACCGCAATATCTCTGTCAGTAAAGTGATGGGATGTTACACTAGCGATAATAATTATAGCTTCCAACTACTGCAGGAAGGCATACAAGCCTGGCATTTTGTATAATAAAGTATATTATTAAGTTTGTTGCTTAACGTGAAATCAGAGAAGTACAAATCACTGAGAATGTGTAAAATTAGGGTAAGTGTGAGAAAGGTATACAGGTTTGGCATTTTATATAATAAGGTTAGTTCTTAAGTTTAGAGCTTAGCGTAAATTTAAAGAGGCACAAATCACTGATGATTTGTAAAATTAGAGATAGGTGTTCCTAAATGTTTCTTAGACAGATCTAGTGCCCTAATACGTTATTCGAGGAGAAGATTTGTAGATTTAGCTTTTGTTATCTTGTAACAAAGCTGATTTATGGATACATTTTACTCCAAATTCAACATGACTTAAGGCGAGAGAATGTCGTATTTAGATTTACGAATGCTTAAATGTCTATTATAATTATTGATATAATTCACACGGTGTTAGAAAAGTAAGCTATTAATAATTAATAATGCAATAGTAATGTGGCAACAAAATCTTTACCAAAGAATGCTCTCCAACGAAAATAGCCCAAAATATAAATAAGGCCATATTGAAAATTCCCGTACGAATATCATTCAGTAGCAACAGTTGAGGCATATTAAACCAAAGCGTTAGCCATTCCACCGGTACTGTAAAGAATATTTTGTATAATCTAATTAATATTGTCAATAATTTAGCTCGCATTTCAGAAACAATAATAGCACAATAACTTATTTTAAGGGACGGTACTGACCGATACCTGCTTGTAATGACAATTTTAAAAAATTTACGAAGATACCTACCCTAACAAACATCGGTTTACTTAATTTTAAGGTATTATGATGAGAATTAATTCACGTATAGTACCATATACGAGTATACGGCTATAAGCTCGGTCATGTCAGTTTTACTGAAATTTCAACGACTGCATGGATTCTCCAATTTTTAGATACTACTGGACAAGCTGTAAATGCAATCTATGCAAATGCTCCACTTAATCTAATTAGTATTAGGATTTGAAGATATTTTTTCGAAATTAAGACTTCAGATCGCCTGATATTTAGCGTTAAAACATCAAATTTGAATATGTAATTATTAAACTATATTAAACTATAGGGCTTAAGAGTAGGTTAAGAATGATTCTTTTTGAAGCATTTCCTATAAGAATTGCGTTGTGTGAATAAAACTAGTCATTTAGATCTAGTCAGATGGAGCAAAGATTTTGTAAAGTGCTCTAGGAATTTAAGCGGCTATCGAAATATTAGTAAATGTTATATGCCTTATAGTAATTATATATGTATATAATAAGGTATACACTCACATAATTACGTATGCTTAATCTAAAGATTTTTTATTAATTTACAATTCTTTTAGAGAAACTAAATTTCCAAACACTTACAATCAACTATAATAGCGGATATGCCAAGAGCGTAAAGCATTCTGTAAGAGAATGGATAGTATTAAAAGATTAGTAGAAAATAAACTTTGTGTTTAAAGTAGTTATTTAATTATAAAATGTTAGCTTAAAGATACTTAATTTTCTTAGACAAAACGCTCATAGGATACATATAATAAATTAAAATAAGGGGCATATGATGTTAAAATAGTCCTACTAGATAACTAATGAGAAGTACTTATTTTAGAGCATTATTATTAATGAAACGTTGCATTGGCTATAGCCTTTTAAAATTTAAGAGATGCCATGCTTCTGCTATTTTAAGACAATTAATGAAGCAATAAAATTTTTAAACTTTACTTTTGCTATGGTTCGTAGAAATTAATTGATAAAAATATTCACCTTGATATAAGGTTCACGAATAGATTGCACTAATTAGTAAAGAGCCCTATTGCAAGGTTTTAATATTAATTTTAATTTTATTTCTACGATAATTGATAGTTGATAATCGCGAAATATAGTACTAAAATATCTGTTGTTATTCTGATAATGCATACGAAAAATATAGTAAATGCTGTGTAATGTAAAAGGATAATTAAATTCTCTTAAAAATATATTTAATAGAAAACGGCAGTACTGCAAGCGAATTTGGTTTTACTGTTCGCTATTAAACCAAACATGAAATTGTTCATAGTGTCTTACCTCTCAAATAGCTGCGGTTGCCGATTTTTATAAATGCTAATTCTAAATTTGATGACAATGGGGATAATAAATAGTGTAGCAACAGATTTGATAATTAACCAAATTTCCGTGAAAGCTCCTTGTTGCAGTATTCCCTGTGTAAAGCTGTATATATTAGCGATATCTATTCTGTACTGTGTTATGCAAAAGTGAATTGGCAGTTATTAATAACTTTTTATTTCTTCCTTTTACAAAACATGCGCCCCTGATACATACAACAAATGTTATCTCTGATATTGGGCCAATCTTGGAATTCATGCCATGGTGAGTTGGTAGCTTTATATTTATTAAATAATATTGATAATGACAACTTCCAATTTCAAATAAAGTGATGTAATCGCAAATATAATTCGAAACGTCAGCCTAAAAAATTCACAGAAATGCATTGATTAAAACTTGTAATTCTAAGTACAATATTTTTAATAACAATCCTTTATAGAGTTCTTTATAAATTTGACTTTCACTCGATAGTTAAGCATTTGAAACACTACTTTTATCAAATAGGTTATAAAATGTAGATAGTGTTTTGTAGGGTACGGCAACATATCTTTGGAATCAAATATGGCTACAAAGTAGTAAGAATATTTTCTTTAGAATGAATGACTCATTAATTAATGTTGTATAACAAAGTATATTTACTATATGGGAATATTAACAATTCTTCGGTATTTTATCAGAGTATTATAAAAGCGAAAAAGTAAATTGCATACTGCAATACAATCAGATAAAAGTCAAACCAGCAATTCTATTAAACCAGTAAAGTATGCGCGCACGTACGTATACAACAAACAGTAACTTTTAATATCAGATTAAACTAAGATTACTATCACCTAGTAACAATAATTAAAGGATTAAAAATACACTAAATACAATTAAGAATATTTGCTCATATTAAGATTTTGTAGCTGCATTTATGATGTATCCAATTTACAACATAATTGATATAGATAACTTCTGAATGGTATAAAAGTAGATAAATTCCCGAATGGGCTCTATTCGCGACTAATTAGAAACTAGCCCTTTAGTTAGTTAGTGTTGCCTCAAGGATAGATCTGCATGTTTCATGCAGATAGGCAGTATATGTTACCGTAATATTTTCTCGTAAGATTTGTATTTTTAACGATTTAAAAATGTTAATTATTCCTTTCAAGAGTGCAATATGCATTTCTAGCTATATTTTATGATCGTAAAACAATAATAAGAAAGCTGCATCGACGAAGTAGGCATAAATTTTTCCGGCTTTAATTTGGTAAAGAATAAAGTTTCACGTCTCTTTTGTATAAGTAAAATACGAAAAATGGAATAGGGAAGTTTAGCGGATCTAAAGTTATTTATTAACAAATTGTAGGGAAAAAATTTACTATAGCTACTTAGTTTCAATTGCTAGAGATTTTTATCAAACAAACTGCGACAATAAATCGTGACATTTAGAAAAGAGTTACTCTATAGGGTTTTGTGAATCGTTCTGTTGTTTTTAATTAAAACTTTGCATGAATAAAATTGATCTTTTGTCTTAATTTTTATTTTTAATTTATATTAATCAAATTTCTAGTCATATAAATAACTGAAAGATTTGTCAGCAATGTGCAAAATATTAAAAATTACCGGCATTGAAGTTGAGCTATGATGAAATATTTTGTTTTTGTAGGATTAGAAGCAGCTACACCTATGACATTTGTAAGAGCTGCAAACTCCTTTATCTCACTTTTATGCTTAATTATTAACTAGCTACGCCCATAAAAAGTTCGGAAAATGAAGGTGTTGATCTTAATATTTATAACATGTATGTGTTCAAGAAATATATATGGGATTGCCGGTATCGTATGGGATAATAATATAATTACAGTGATGTAGTAACAAGGAATAAAGGAAAATTCTTTAAGCAAGGTGAACATCAAGCCATACCTCACTTTGTAGCTTACTACAATGCAAAGGCCTTGTTTCGTCTGCTTTCGCTATTAAACTCCATGATGTCTTTAAATTGTTCGTATATCCCAGTCGGACATTATAAGATATATTAGATTTTGAATCTAGTCACCCAAACAATGAATTTAAGAAAAGGATAAATGTTTAAACGTATTATATTTGACTTTTACTATTTATTGAATTCATGAATGAGAAACTTTCAAGGGTATTATATTGTGCATAGAAATAAACTGCATGAAGTAAATATTATTATAGAAATCAGTAGACAACTAAAACTAAAATATAGTTACCATTTGGGCGCAATTTATCGTATTCAACATCTACGTTCATCAATACTAATAGATATTGATTCCATCTTGATATTTGAGGATGTCCATTAGGAATACGAACGGTAAAGACGATCTCATCGGCAGGAATATTACTTGGAATATTACGGATATCAATTTCTTGGCATTGATCCGGATCGTACCATTGCTTTAATCTTCCTTTATCGTGGGCTTTACACGTCGTTGCAGTAAATTTATAGGCTTTCGTTGGTGATGGAGCTAGAATTCGCACAGGCAAAAGAATATCAATGAATAAAATGTTACATCTATTACTGCCCCTTACTAAGGTAAAGTATCTAATAAGAGCTACTTGATGGGGTAATTAGATGCAGTAGTTTTCACGATAGCCTAGAATATTGCTGGGCTATTTAAGCTAAGCTTTGTTTTTAAAGCATTATGAAGAAAAAAAGTAATAGGGAGAAAATTATGCGTATCTCTAAAATTGACGAATTATATTAAATTTATATTAATAAAGATGGATGGTACACTCTGTAGCAAATTCAAGGTTTTAATAACAAGTTGTAAATACCTTCGTGAAATCCTAATCTATTACTGAGTCAAGTTGTATGCTTTTATTAATCTCCCATTATTATTGGTTCTTCATTGTGTCAGAGAGAGCACGAAGTATCATAAAAGTTAATACTCTTAGAAATACAATATAAAAATTGCCATTCACCAGTGTGGTACGTAAATAGGCAACATATCCAAAGTATAGCAGGAGAAACACCATACCATAAAACTTAAAAAATTCTATAGTACCCGGAATACACGGTTACTCATTAAAGACGAAAGAAGTAGGCTATAAACAAATCTTCTAAATTTAGTCTCAAAAGCACTTGTTATAATTTCTACTAACTGCTATCGTAATTAAGGGATTTGAAATATCTTGATGTGAATATCTATTCTAATAACTATTTATTCGTGTTTAGGCGGGAACGACAAATGAAATAAAAACCTTTTGACCAATGATTTGATGCTAACCTATAATTTGTAGAATTTGTTAGTTTGTGTCCTTCTCGCCGTTCTTATATTTATATTTATACTTTATTGAATAAGGTGATAAGTGTGATACTGGTAGTTCATTCGGCTATTGTTAGATATGATGATATGGTAACTTTAAATTTTTAATTATTGATTCGAAATCGAAAAGGAATAAGTTCGTCTATTGTGATAAAATCAAGTATCGAGGTTATAAAGTAGTAACCTAAATTAAGTTAGCATTGTGACGAAGCTAGCATTAAGCCGATTAAAAAAGAATGTAGTATGGATCATACGTCTAGAGATTTTATATTTATAACAAAGGTGCAAGCTAATTCGTTGAACGTCTTACCGATTTTATGTATAGCGTCTATCAAAGGAAAAAGTCTTGACTAAGTGAACTTAATTACAAATAAAGAGAATTACTCCTATCTAATTCAATATACTAGGATACAGATATACGAAATATAGCTTAGGCAATGATTCGCTTTTGAAGTCAATTGAGAATGCTAACTTACGGTACTGTATTGCTACTCTTACACTTTAATGAAAAGTAATACATTTCTTTGCCTTTATTAATTAATAGGGTTAAATCGAATCGGTTTATGCATTTGCAGCTCCGAATATCTTAATGCTAGTAAATTTGATACTATATGAATTATTATGTTTTCAAATGCGGTAGATCATGAATGAGAGAGCTTATAGATTCGATTTATTCTGCTTGTTCCTTCGTCGGTATAGAATTGAACAGTCAAACATAATGTAAGTGTAAAGTCTAAGTTACAATATACAGTATTATGCAACAAAAGGAGTTGAAAGTTAATAAATCTGGTATGCTATTCGCCTATACCTGAATGCCAAGAATCTTACTTAAAATTAAAACAATTTTATTTACCTTTTAACCCAATGAAAATGAATGAGATTTGTGCCGCTAACATAAGCAATGAAAAAGCAATTAAGTGCTTGCTACTCAACGTTTCCAATATAATACTAGACATCTTTTTCCTTCAGATTAGCTATCGTTAATGTTTCGTGAAAGCATTGATAAGTAAAGTGGTTAAAATAAGTTAGAAACCTACTTCAGCGATAGACAACAATAAAATATTATCTTTTACTGTCTGCAATAAATTTTTTTAAGATAGTATAATAGTAAATCCAGACAATAGGATCATGACTGCCATTGTCATTTTATCCGTATTTCTGGAGTATAAATGATGTATATTACCGCGGTGTGATAATATAAATTTTTCGTAATAGGCGAAGTTTTCCTTGCCTAAATATTAAAGCTGTGTAAATATATCAGTATGATCCGGTCGATTGATATTGACTTTCTATCAAAGCTTGATGGTCAATGTTCGTTAATGTTAGTCCATAGTTAAAAGCAGCATAATGATATGTCATCGATTTGCTTCTATATTCTTATTCAACTGATTATCTACATAACAATACATTAGTAGGATGTAAAGAACAGAGTCTCTTCGATTTCAGTAGGTATTTCATGAGCGATTATAATCTACTTTATCACATCAGATTATTAGTACTAATCTTTTTCTATGCAATTCAATTAATTGTTCTCTCTGAATCATATACTGCAAATTAAAATATTATATCTACGCATTCATTAAGATAATTAAAATCAGAGACCCATGTTATAATTAGTCAATTCTCGTCTGAATGGTAGATGAAGTTTAAAAATGAATGTTAGCATTAAAATAATAACAGAGATTAATAATTCTTTATCCATTATCTTGAAGGCCTACATCAGTTACCGTGTGAGAATAGTAGTTACACCCAAAATTTATCCGTTACAGATCAATCTCATATTGTCATAAAAATGGATTATTATTTAAAAACTGTAGTATTAATAATCCTAGAATGTATATTTGCTGTATATTTAATTACATAGCTACTCAATTTTGAGCGAAGGAACAATATTGATTAGGTCTAAATAGGAGCACGGTATTATTGTTTCACACGAGTATTTGCTTTATTACTGTACTACCGAATATATTCAATTTCCATCATACTATCAGGTATATTTTTCCATTCAACGTGTTTAGGTTAAGAGTCTAAACATCTCGAGATTAAATATAATAATAGCATTAAATTGATCCAATCTTATAAAAATCCACTTTATTCAGGGCTATTTAACACAATTTCTATAGCTATCAAGGAAGTGACGTAAATGTATACGGAAATACCCTGTAAACTACCTTTTGCAATGGTTGTATGCAGTTTCTTGACTATTGTTACAAGTAAGGAAAAACATTATTTTTATATTTTAATGCATTTCCCTACCCTGTTTCGTTCAGACTAATAAATGCATACGGTTAAAGAATAAAAATCGACATTCGCGTTATTTTGCTACAGTTATAATATAGTAATTATCCTTCTTATATGCCATTAACTAATTCTGTTTAAATTAGATAGAGCATATGAGTAGGGGGCTATAGCTGTTCATCCAATATTGGAATACCTTTACAAGTGATTTTACACGTGCCATGTAAAGTCCGGAACAAATAATCACTAGCCTCCAGACTCTCTTTATTAGAAGTTATTGCTTATTGCACTTTATACCGAGCTATCGCTAATGAGCTAGCTTTACCTAGTGTCATCTTGTGTGTAGCCGTGATAAACTGATAGCCGCAAAGCCTTTCGTTAGAAGTTACAAGAATTGAAATTTAATTGTAATACGAGTAATATTGACTGTAAGTGCTAAACGATTGAAAGGTAACGTATATTGCGTCAATAGCATGGTCTGAGAGCTAGTATATTGATAATATCTGTATTCATTTTTGTTTAAGAATTATCGCAGACAGTAAATTTTACATATCTAGAACTTACTGTATTTCGATTGTAACATTTTGTTATAAGTACGTGTATTTAATTGAGTATAATACTTTACTTTTAACCCATAGGCAATACCTATGCGCTAGAATAATCTTAAGTGAAAGAGTATATTATTGCTCGGATAGCTAGCCTGGCCTTCCCAAATTTATCATAATGCACATTAAGCTCACGTAATGACCGAGTAATAGTCTTTTACTATTACTAGTCCATGGAATACGAATGTTAGCATAGTATGCAATCCGTGTCTACACACTGGGGTTATAAAAAACTTAGTCCAGGTCTCAACATTAATGAAAAGTCCAGTCGTAGAATTCCAGGGAAATCAGTGTTAATCGTAACGTCAATTACCAAATAAATGCAGAAATTATAAGAAAATATCTAAAATTTGGTCAGTTTTCAGATTTACTGTCAATTAAGTAGCTTACAGCAGTAGCATAAGACTAATTTATGATTGATGCCCTAATTTCATAAGCGTAACATCATTTGCTGGAATAACGAAATAGTCATAGCTGGAGCTAATCAATCCCAGATATGCATATGTCATATACCCTTCGATATCACTAACGATAGACAACGATAATTTTTTGAGAGCAGTAATAAACCACAGGCCGCCAATCTGTATTCATACTTTATTTTATGTATGCTCTTATAATACTATTAGAATAACTGTATATGTAATTTCCCTTTGAGTTAGAGCAACATTTAAATCATTATATACAAAAGTACGAACTGCTCATTGCGATATTTGATAGCAAACCGTTAAACAATAAACAATACATTCACAATAATGTAAATTTCACATCCAGCGAAAAAGTTGTCACGGTACGTTGCACCAGTTTACTTCCTTACATGGATAAATTATTTAACATATTACTGCATTGACTTTGACTATAGCGCGCATTCTTGGAAATGCCGGTACAACGCCTGATGCGGAAAGTACATCAGGAACGTTTCAATAGGGATTCTCTGACCAATTTACAGGCTGACCAGGGACAACAGTTTTAACCGATTCAGTCCTACAAGACAGCAAAAATATTAGTTAACAGTAGTTCAGAAATGCGGTACATTACTTAGAGAAAGTGAAGACGAACTCCAGCGGACTAAATTAGTAGTGATATGTACCATTTCTAAGACTTACTCAGCACGTTTAATTTCCGATGAAGCAGGAAGCAAAGCTTGTTTACTAATTTCTACAGGAGGTCTAGCTTCCCTTCGTAAATCTCTGGTGTAATAGTAGTTTTTATTCAGCCTATGAGCTGGGCCAGAGGGAAGTTTGGGTGGTGGCCCAGATCTAATCCATTTTGATAGTTTTAAAAATCGAAATTTAAGATTTAAATATAATATAGAAGGTAAAGCTGAAAGTAAAAACTACAGTTTTCACTGCAACGTACGAGATCGTCTTTTTTAACTACAGTATACGCGTATTCACTACAGTACATTCAATTGATTAACCTTTTAACAATGAAATCCTGATAACGGAGATTTGGCTTGATTTCTCTCTAAAATAGAAAGTTAATACATCAAATGACAAGATTGCCAGTTTTATACAATAATCTTATGCTCATATAACATTTTTACTCAGTAAATAGTGCACGAGTATAATTTATAATGGAACATCTGTAGTCTACGAAGTGAGACAATTTCTTCCATGATACACTAACTATCCCATGCAGTCTCCTAACGCCTCGAACATGTACGTAGTGCTTAGTAAAAGCATTGATTATACTGCAATTAATGAATGAACTGTACAAAGGGTAATATTGCTAGAGTATGGCAATTTTTATCTTATATTGGCTACAATCATACTAGCTATTAAAATTGTCCAGTTCTGACATGACGGTCAATCCATGAACAATTTTGTTAGGTGTATTTCTGTTACTCAATGTTTTCTATATTGTACGTTTCACTGCAGACGGCCATTAGCCATCATCATTTCTTAATTTTTAATTCCTATAGTTGATAGTTACCCCAGCTAAGAAATTTCGAAGAACTTCGATTACTCGTGTTGCATTTCTAGGTGGTTGCGCTGCCGCCATTTTGATTACAAGAACCAGACAGTCGCTTCTTCTGCGGCTACAGTAATAAGCGATTAAAGTTTCTTCGTTCCGAACTGGTTGCTAACTGAAAGGGTTAATACGCGTATGAACTAACACAACACTGATAATTGTATGGTGAAAGCGTGATCGCGTCGGTACCGTACTCTACCGTATTTCGGTCAGTACAATACAGTAGACCGATGCAGTGATGACCGATCATGACGTATTATACAATACACTACCGTACCATGTGATATCGTATGGTCATGGACTGCTGTACCTTTTTTCACGATCAGGACTCTATGGCTGTAACTCAGTGTACTGTACCCATGGTCTACTAGAAGAAGACCTGAGCTGGACCGATCACTCACCCAGACAGACAGACATTGGTAAGAATATCGAAAAATGATTATTTACGTACAGTAGTATGGAGCTTTCCGTGTCCATTTCCTACCATTACTGGTACTAATTGAGGTAACATCTACAATATTACATGAACAGTATACTGCATATAACTATTTCCAAGCAGAACTTAGTCACAGATAATAAGATTCAATTTAGTATTATTACCTAATTTAGAAAAAATCAGTCAATTGAAAATCGATGGTCTCCATACTAAAGTATTATCATAACAAGGCAGAATATTTTGACGAGATGAGACCAAAGGTGTCCGTCCATCCAAGAGTGATCATTCTAGGTAGTAGTGTTGGCATTCAACGGTTGAACGTTCAGTAACCTGAATGTGTGAATGTTTGCTCGATTTTGGAACGAATATAACAGTCAATGGATGTTTACGAATGTTAAGTGAACGTTCAACCGATTTTAGAATTGTATGAGAACAAATCGGGCCAGCGACAGTGTTGATCGAAAAATACGCCATCGTTCTAAATCGGATCCGGGCTGTTACTTTTGTCAAAATCCATTTTACGGATGTGTCCACACAATACTGTATTTTACCTACAGTAGTACAGTACTGTACAGTACTTTACTGTACAGTACATAGTGTACTGTACTGTACAAGCAGTCACTGTACAGTACTGTACAGTAGAGACCCTTAAAACAGTATCACTGTCGGCAAAGAGAAGAGGACATTGAGCTACTACCGTACAGTACTACTGTACAGTGTACTGTACACTGTACAGTACTGTACAGTAGCTTACAGTAGCAGGAAGGCGTACTGTACTGTAGTGTACTACGTACTGTAGATGTTTGGTGACAAGAACCAAACCATCGACAGGTGTACACTGTACTGTACATTACTGCAAATACAACAAATCCAGTTTCAGCTTTTCAGTTAGTTCGCTCGACAACAACATTGAGTCAATGGCGCATCGTGTAGCAGTGTATTTGCTACTGCTGATATCTGTTTTGAAATCAGTATCGAGCATTAGCGTTCTCGAAGGAGTAGAAAAATGCCACAAATCGTGTGCAAAGTCCTATCCGCCACATACTTATCCTAGCGTAAGTCACTTTACAACTGTATTCATGAACAACGCGTAGTTTATTCAAATTTTGCATTTAGTAACTTTTGTTGTTGTTCGATGATGACGGCTAAAATTTATTTGCATTTCATTCACAAGTTATGTAGTTGTACCATGTTGTACGCGCTATGCTGTTCTGTTAGTGCTCATTGACGGCTATCCGATAATTTCTCTAAGATATATTCCGGTAGATTTTATAGTATTTAAAAAAAAGTACCGTCTAGTAGAAACTAATCAAGTTTTTGCTGCTTGTTTGGGAGTTTTTACTGATGGACGAGTACTGTATCTGTACACTTTGGCTATCTTTTCTACATACTGTACGTGTCTATGTTATAGTGTATACTGTATACAGTAGTGTAGTCTACTGATATTCAATCTACGATGCAGTACTACATTAATGACTGCTTATTAGTGAGCAACTGTGGATGGGTGTACTGTATACTGTAGTGCAAATTATTTCTCCAGTATATAAAATATACTCTTTAGTACTCTTTAGCACAAACAATGGATGATTACTAATGTGAAATAAACAGTGCAGTATGTGTCAAATTATTTTGTCACTTTGAAAAGAATCAACCAGTGATCTTAATAAGCAAATACTGATTAATAGTCGTTACATTCCATAGCCTTTTTCAAAATCTCTCCATCAACCATTCTAATATATCATTCTATGATAGCTTTACTGTATTTTTAAAGAAAAATATTGCCCGAAAGTGACAAAATGTTATAATACGTACAGTACTGTAGATAAATTTAAAACGGCTGCTTTGATAGAAGTACTGTACAGTACTTACCATGATCGTGACGCCTTTTCAACTCCTACTGTAATAAAGGAGCAGAAGAAGCCTCAATTCCAAAACTTCTTTTTTTTATTTGATTCTTTTTACTATATAAATCGATGAAGTAGTTAATAAAGAGATTCGTACTCCTTTTAATAAGTTAATGCATGAAGTGTTCATCTCTTACACCAGCATATGCCACATTCTATAGTAAAACATGTCCACAATAGCCATGGTGTAGAGAGAACATTATTATTAGTATAGCGTTAACCCTACAATGGACTACTAAATTACATTTAGTAGTTCATGACAGTACAGTAGTCTTGGTAAATCCACAATAGCCATGGTGTAGAGAGAACATTATTATTAGTATAACGTTAACCCTACAATGGACTACTAAATTACATTTAGTAGTTCATGACAGTACAGTAGTTTTGGTAAATCCACAATAGCCATGGTGTAGAGAGAACATTATTATTAGTATAGCGTTAACCCTACAATGGACTACTAAATTACATTTAGTAGTTCATGATAGTACATTAGTCTTGGTAAATACACTGTATTACTGTAAAAATTTGTAACGTCTTATATTGTAGTCGGCTGACAAGATGGACAATGTATCTAAAATACAGCTTTACTGTATGAAAATATACCGCTATTGACTCGTCTGTTCTTCATCGGATTTGGTCGTATTCGGTAGTACAGTAATAGCATTAGCTTGCTGTGATAGGGTATTTTTAAAATATACTGTACGTTTCGACGTATAGTACAGTAAGATTCTGAAAGATAATAGTCATATCATGCATATATATCTAAGTACAATATGTAATGTTTTAGCTCTTATATCATGTTACTCTTACTTTGGAATGTAGACCGATTCACTCATAGCCTGTCAAAGAGGATGCAGATTTGCAGCAATTACAGATGTGATGAGATTTAATTCTACAGACGAGAAAAGTGAAGCTTGTGCATCAGGTGAATATTGGATTATTGTTTCATGAGATCACGAATTCTACGTGATCCTTCTGAACCTTTGCGTCTATGATCAGTGTAATAATTATTAACTCATATAACTAATCTATCTTTTCTCAACTAGTTTGTTCTGAGGCTTATAGGAACAACTTGGACATAGCATGTCGAAATGGTTGCGATATTATTCGTTATTATTTACCGACTATAAATGATATCGATCGCATGCCACAGTATAGTTATCCATTTATCTACATCCAAAACGTTTACGTGAATGTTGTTAACCAAGCAGTTCACTATTTTAGAATTCAATGGGGCTTTTTGATAACTTCTCCGAATCACGACCTGATTGCTGTACAGGTTTGTATGGCTATACTATAAATATAATTGATTTATGCGTTTAGATTTGATAATATACAATTTAATGCCAGCATTTAATTTCTTTGTGTGCATTACTACTCAGTCTGGACCGGAAGTAATGATTGCTATTGAAGAAATCGAAGGTCAATTAAAATTAATTTTAACGCCTTAAAGTGTACCATTGAGATCCTTCAGACTTTGCTAGATGACTAATAAAAATTCTAAAATTGATCTGTTATTATGTACTGTAGATGGCAGCAATGAGAAGCAAATTAGTGAACGTCAAAGACCGGTGGAACGTACTAGTAAATTTACTGGATGGTTGGAGTGTATCTCTTACCATACTGGGTTACCGGTTTGGCTAGTATGTGCGACACTTCTTACATCTGTGTTTGCTTTAATCGGATTGTGCTGTATTTGGGTTTACGATTCTGACGATGAATCTGATAATGTAAGTTCAAATTCGCTCATGTCATTTACCGTATCTATTGCAATTAAATTTCGATATTACTTGATATCTCTCTGAATTTACGTATGTGAAGAAAAAGCAAGAAGCCAAATGTAGAACACTTACTAAACAACCGATAATGTGGTCGCCTAACAAGAGTATTCCTGCCGATATCATTGAATGTAAACAGCCACTATTAATTGATTCTTCAGTCGTTAAGGTTCCTTTGCATTCTAATCTATAATTTAAATTGGTCTGGCGTAACATATCTGTAAAATAAGGCTACTTCTGAACAGATCTAGCGTTTAACTTTCATTATATTGATCGATCTTTGCCATCGAATACTTTATCTGTAATCTATCACACAGTACAGTTCATAGCGAGGAGTATAGATAGTATTTACTGCAATGTTAATTTAACAGTAAATAGCTTATGATAGCTATTTATTGTATTGTAAGGACTTCATTTGTAAATCGTAGATAGGTTTTATTTCATATTATACAATATGAGGATAAATAGCAAAACTATATAGATAATTCCTTTCCCACATACAGAAATACAGCGTAATTCAGCAGTAAATTTCTCCAGTGAATTTGTGTTGTACTATTTATAACTGTTATCGTTATACTTCAATGGTGTAATTATCATTGCTTTGGTTTTGCAATTAGAAGCTACTGATTAACGGTATGGAAATGGCTATTATTTTAAATACACTGTGCATAACTTGCAATGATGTCATAATCATAGGCAGTACGTAGAAGCTACGCAGCCTAAGTTGCAGTATGCATAGGTTGTTGAATAACCACTTATTTTAGTCATCAATTTTTTTTGTCTCTACCATAGGATGATTAAAGGATTGATACTAGTAAGGCAATAAATTGTTAGCGTAACCAATGACTAACTTGTACATTACTTTGTAATATTATGATGATATTCAACTCACGGAAATCAAATCAGTTATGATACGAGTTGTCACAAGAGCAAATATAAATCTCATATTAGATTATGGTGGGAAATATACGCATCATAAAAAAGTTTACTTTTTTAGAGAATATTGCAAAATATCTTCATAATTAAAATTCTCAGGAAAATGGTTAAAAGATTTAACAACACTGTATCGAGATTCATCTTCTCCTGCATAGAAAAGTTGTAGTTGATTAGCTAAAAATTGGGCCTCTGTGGTATTTAGTTGCTTTGGATCCCAATTTCCCGACATTAATACGATCCCTAAATCAACATTAAAATTTCACCTATTAATACATAAATTATTATATATTAATTTTGCACAAATGAGGCGCAATATAACACAATAAATATCGTCCGAAATGTTGAAATCACGTTCGTGATGATGTATAAATGTAGCAGGTTTGCAAGAGTGGAGATACTCTTATGTACGAGTATATGTGTGGTATTACCGTGCCATAGTCATAAAACATACCATATCCACCTGATTGAATCTAATATCATTTCGTAGATATTAACATTGATGAAGTTAAAGCAAGAACTACAACTCGGATAAGGCTACACGGTAATCAAGGTGTTACTTGATTGTAATATAAATAGATTTATGAGTTTTAGAGTCGATTATTTACCTTTGTTATCAGAAAATTCCTTGTAATGCGATATAGTTAGAATAGGTGGTGCATTTTCACCAAATGTTTTAAAACTAAGTAAAGGTGTAAAATGGCAGTCATTTCCGTCAAACTGTGCGAATATAAATTCTACTCCTTCATTACGAGGAAGGGGATAAACAAATACTGGGCATTCAAAAGATCTCTTATACATCCTTTCATATATGGCATTAGGTATTACAGCACCAATACAATCACGTTGCTTGTGATATTCCGTCCATATCTGAGCAATTTCAGTTCCGGACTTTTCTTGAATTTTACTGACATACATGATGTCGTTTAGGTTTTTTCTTTGGCCAACAACTGGAGGCCCTTTCTTAGATGAACTACCAATCGTCTACATAATAACATTGTCATAATGAATAATTCACATAAGAACAGCTAATAATTAACAAGAAAACGCTGTCGTAATTCTAGTTAGCCTCAACGTACTTATTACAGGTATAGTCTGTTATTAATTAATTATAATAATAACGATCATACGCGTATACAACATACCTTTTCTAGTTTTCTGTCTAGATCTTGATATTTCTTTTTCAAAGAGTAATCGATTGCTTGTGTAGAGGTATCCGTATCACTAATATCATTTGCTTTTCTACTAAAAAATTACAAAATTTGGCTCCGATAAATAAATTACAAGTCCAAAGGATTAGTAGATTACTGTACGGACCTTATAATAAGATGGTTAAATTATAACAACTGTAAATTTATCAAAACTGCAGTTTAATAATATAATTGACAAAAATTACATAGCTGAGTTGATTTCATGTACTGTACGTATTTATGGTACACGAATTCATCGCATGTATTTAGTGCATCTCCTTGCTGCGTAAGCATCTTGTTTGAGTAGTATGAAGTTATCCTATACGTGCATCACTGACGGTAACGATACCTGGCTTTTGCAATCTTGTCTGCATACTTCTGGAAATACGGATTCAATTCCACGTCTCTACTAACACCATCCTCTTTAGGATTTTCTTTACTGCATCGTGGATAGAGTGATGAAATGCTACGATAGCCACAGGGCTTTTTAACTTGTAACCGGTAATACCACGTACAAATGTTTACGAGCGAATTTCGATTCATTTTATTTTGTCATGTATCTCAGAACTACTCAATGATTTGGGAAAAGTACTTATGCAACATTATCATCGATAATTAATTAATTAATTCACTCAATACTCTGATATCTTGGCAATGCCAGTCTAGCTCAATGCACAGTTTGCTGTGCAGTAATCGCCATACGCTCACTCAAGAGAACAAACCCCTTTATTAATACTGTGCAGACTGAAATATACTACAGCCACTGTACAGTACACTGTACAGTATGGTACTGCGTAAGTACATACAGTAGAAAGCTACGGTAGCTGCAGCCTGCAGCCAAGAAAATGTGGCTGTCTTAAGCTGTACAGTACCGTACAGTGTACAGTACTTACAGCACAGTACATGTTTTGTGACCACAGTGTATCGTACTGTACGGTATCGTACCATACAGTACAGTACGGTGACACTTGAGTGTACAGTACAGTGTACTGCACAGTACTCTGATTAACTTGTCCAGCCCGAACTTGATGATTTGGGAGATTGATGACTAATATGGTTATGCTAAGTCAATCCTTCTCTAAATTGATCTCCAGTTTTGGCCACTAATTTAGCCTCTACTTTTTGTACAAGAAACATACCGTCCTTGGATTATTAAATCATTAAACAGCGCATCGGATGGATTAAAGGCAGTCACAAATCGTCATGCAATCCTGCATTAATCATAAAGTTTGTACTTTTCCTTGGTTTGCACTGGCCGCTTGTCCATTCAGAAGCTTTTAATAAATCGAGCGATTGATACATTCTGAATTTGTCAAACTTTACTGTTAACAAGGTAGCGATAAGCAAAAGTTGCCATTCACGTTACCAAATTATGCATGGCACGTTGTAATACATCAATATTTATAATCTACGGGAAAATAAAAGTGATTTAATAATGAATATGTGCAAGTTATACGAGCCCAGAAATTACAGTATATGGTAGCAGTTTATTACAACTGATTGATTGAAGCGATGTTCGAGCAGAAAATCATCAACGTTTAAAACATACTAACTCTACAACAGGCTAAGATGACTCCTGACTTATCTATATATAGATGTCGGTTATGTCGATATGTTTTATGGGATGCTACGTCAACATGTGAGAATGAGAGATTAACAGATACGAATTTAGTGTATCTTCCTATTGGTGAACATCATATTCCTAGTTGGATTAACAAGGCTATTGAAAATGCTAGTTGGACGAAAGGAAAGCTAAATTGTCCAAAATGTAATGGTCGTGTTGGTGCTTTCGATTTTATTTCATCAGTTAACGATCGTGGCCATTACCACAACAATCAAGAATGGATTGATAAGAGGAGCGTTTGGATGTATCGAAATCGTGTAGACAAGTTTGCAATTGGTGAAAGTAGTCATTTGCCTGATGCTATTACCGCAAATTCTTCCCGTATTCCTGCTAGCAGTAAATTAAAATTGTTCAAGACTCCTCTTCAAACACAGCGTAACCGTGATACTGATGAAACCCATCATGACAGTGACGGTCTGTTGAGATTAGACTCATTCACTGATAATGGAAAGTCGATCGTTAAGCAACCAACTGAAATAGCAACAGCAAACACTGAGGAAGGTGTCCGTAAAGTTCGGAAGGGTAAAAAGAGGCAATGGGATCATCATAAACAAAATGTAAGACATCTTGATATGAAGAAAACATCGAACGAATTTAGCAAATGTTCAAATTCAGAGGTTATTATAAAAACAGCGGAGGTAGTGGATGAGATTGCAAGTACTGGCCAGAATATCCCGGAAAACATGATATGCCCTGTTTGCCTCGACATTTACTACAGACCCTATCGCTGCAACTGTGGACACATTTTTTGCGACTTTTGTATTAGACTGTTAGCTAAAAACAAGTTAGATAATTCCGATCCGAATGTATTATGTCCACTGTGTAGGCAAAGCATTAAATATATTGATGACTGTAAAGAATTAAAGGAGAAAATTAAACAACAATTTGAAAAAAGTTACATCCGACGTCGGATAGAAATTAGACGAGCTTTGAAGAGTACAAAACTGGTCATGCCTTTCAACAAAGGCAAGCTAGGTAAATTAACTTCCTTTTGCTCTAATTATAGCACAGAAATTCAGTTCTTAGTAATGCTCATCACTATCTATATGTTGTCCTTTTTTATGACTTGAAACTAGTATTATCTTTGAATGATCATGATAGTATTTTATCTGTCAACGAATGTGCAACTGAATGAAGTAAAAATATTATACAGTTAGCTTGAAAAGTGTTGATAGCCGAGATGATAATGTGATCTTTTAAGTTGATAGCAGTCTCGTAGTAGAGTTGCTGATCATAAACTTCAGTTATTATAAGTCCCGATAAACAAATCAAAGTATTGAAAATGTATAACCATTTTTTACTGATAATTTTAAGCATATCACGATTTAGTCTTTACAGTCATGTTACGTTCTATCAAAGATTTTATAGTATTGCAACAATATTCATTTACGCATATATGCGTAATGACTCATGTGTAAGAGTAATTCCGTTCTATCTACAATCAGCTTTAATATGATTTATCTATATCTGTATATGCGCAGATTCGTGTATTACCTTACCCAACTTATTTCTATATTAAAAAATAATGTATTCATTGATCCTAAGAAAATGATAGCTTAGGATTCCATTAATGTATAAAAATAATATCTAGTCTGTATTATCAGATTTGATGTACCTAGAATCATTCTTAATTCGTATTTTAACTATTTTGCTATCTCTCATCCTAAGTTCTCTTTATAACGTTATATTCTGTAAGAGTTTATTAGCTTATGTATATATTACCCGAGTACTTGTATTACGAGAATACGCTAAAATTTTATGTAATGAAATATGCTAAAGGGATAAAATTATTATGATAGGATTTGCTACCTATTAGATTGCTGTATGAATTTAAATACTGTAAATGGTGATTATCATCCATATGGAGAATTTGCATAAATGATCATCAACACTGCATCTTCTATTGGGCAATCTCACTATAATATACTGAAACTACTTTGTAAGAGTATCCATGCCTTTAATATTAGATAACTGCAAGAACTTGATTTAAAGTTCCTTAGACTCCTGCCTAGCTAACATTGCTGTCATAATGTTTATTTCCTTCTTCTACTTCGTACATATATACCTTTGGATGAGTATTTCAACTATTAAAAATAAAAGTAATGTAACTACACCAGAATAAGTATTAAATCACAAAGTAATGATTTTAATTATACAACAGTATATGCAATTAATGATGGCAATAAGTTAAGTATGTTTTACAACCGATTGATATTGATTGAATAAATCTAAAATTTATAAAAAATTTCTTACACGCAATGTGTTCTTTATCATATTCAATGAATCTATGATTCCTAATTTTTGCTCAAATATCCTTTTCGAAATAATCACTGGTTGAAAATTGGATATTTCTCGTATATGCGTTTTTATCTCATAAATGAATAGATAGTCGTTTTATTCTTTCTGTTACGTTAAAATTTTAACTTACGGAAACGATCTTACGAACCATGGTTATTACAGTAGTACATCCTCGATGTCAACGTTGCATAATATTACTTGATCTTACTATAATATAAGGATAAAAATAACCCTTAACACTTATACAGTGTAATGATATAGTTTAACTCTCATTACAATATTGATCCGTATGAAACAGTTTATAAAAACGTATAAATTACATCAGGTACATCATTTAAAACATTAAAGACCTCTTGTCTCATATAGGTTGATGTAAACGTTCTTTTTTCGTACAATTGTACTATTATATTTAATCCTGGATGTTAACGATCCCTATGCAGTATCTATGAAACTGTATATCAGTTGTATTTCATAATAGCTGTAAGCCTGCAACTATAAACGATTCCTCATAAAGTTTGATACATTATACGGTTTAATTTGTTCCAGATAGCAACTGAATTTCTAACTCCAGTAAATCATCGTTGGTCAGTTAACTTAAATTCATATTTTCCCTTGAGGTTTTCTAATTTGTCTCACCTGCAAACAAGATCGCATAAAAAGTATCGGATCAAAAATACTGCTTAGCTAGGTCTTCTATATTAACTGGGTTAACTTAACTGCTCACATTTATCATAAAATCATGCACATTTTATACAATTATCTGCTTGTATGATAACTCAACGCTTGTACATCAGGCTACATTCAGTATGATGCACAGTAAACTAACATTTATTACAAGCTACAGTAAAAGTAAATAATAATCGCTGTTGATTAAGATTACTTTACGATGTTGTTCGTTTATTTTTTCTACAATCTGTACTTGGACCTAGTTTGTGATATACAGTCATAGCAGTGTAAGCATGAACCTAACTCCCTAGTGCGAGTATAACAATAACGATTGGCTGGGTACACGAGAGTTTACTAGTTCATTTATAATTCATAAGGTCTTTATAGCTATAATTTACTTAGTGTTCTACAATTTTAGCAAATTAATATAGATAGTAATGGTAGATAGCATTCATAAGACGGCTTTCGTTTTCAATCAATACGATAAGTAGGAGCAGCAGTTATATTTTACACTGTCCTATATTTTTTAGATTAATTTTGACTACGTGTGTAATTTCCTGCTTTCTATTCTAGATAAAAGTTGTAAAATTCTTTAATACAGTTGTTACTATTAACTCAAGATAGTGATATTCTACAGCTAGTATGCAGTTACGAATTAATTGACGGCATCCATAGATCATCTGCTGCAAGTACAAGAGCAAAATTAAGCTAGGTTTTATCACAGCTCGGGCGCCATCTCTGTATTATGTTTGATATACGATATTTATCGTAATAGCAGTCATAATGGAAAGGCAAACCCATTTACTAATAAATTTGTATCCCTTCACTAATTTTATAGAATCTGTTGATGGTTGATTGTTTTCACTAACAACTATTCTCCACGTCAAAGTTAATCATCAAATGCAACAAATAAATTTATACAAAAGGTCCCTGAAGTTTCATAATCGAGACTTTAATCTTGTATATATACACCAGCAATTTTTTAAAATTATAAACGAAATATGACGTATGATATATTTCAGATAATTACACTGCAGATAACTATAATTTTATATTACCTCTCTGTAAAAAATAAACAAAAAGATTCCTTTATTATAAACTTCATAACGCTATATCTTCTATACTACTGATTTATCAAATAATCTAATTACCGCTACGTGCAATATAGATATAACCAGTGATATACTAGAATCTAAGAAATCGCTAGCATACAGTTAAAAAATTACACGAAAATGTGCTTACTATGCTGTACGGTACTGATTTATTATTTGAAGTTGATCATCAGGTTTCTGTCAATGAATTTACTGCATTCTGGTTCTAGTTATGATGCAGGTAATATCCTCTATCTTAATGCTTATTCATTAAATACTAACGCCCATTTTTAACCAATATCAAACAGAAATACGAATGCACTTTTCGCTTAATAGTTAATAGACTATTTGAGTATTTATCTTATCGCTTATATTTTAAAGTTATACTGATTGTAGTCAAAAATCGTGATGTAATGCCACCGTTGCAAAGCTTTTGTAATATATTTTTCACTAATAAAAAGACTTACTTTCTCGAAATAAGATAGACTAATAGATAGAAAATAGTATAGCAATCTGATAAAGCACGTATTGATTTATCGAGTACTGGCAAGTACACGTAATGATCTATTTGTTAAATTAACTAAATTTCATTGTGCGAAATCAAATAAGTTGCTCTGATGAAAAATAGAAGGTGCATACATAAGTTCATATATGAGCTATTTCGTCAAAGAGAGAACCTAAATAGCCTATAAATAAGTTGAAGGCTGTGCTTGTAACATCATATATAGGTTATCTCTAAATATTCTTGCGAATCACCATTAATTAGTATACTGGTGATACGCTGAGGGTCTCGATACTAGCAGAGCTACGACCAGTTTTTGAGGTAATACTTAAATTGGCGTAGAAAATTTTTGGTGTGTTACTGCTACAGAATAAAAAATGTTCATCCATTTGTCGTGTTACTATCCAAATTTTACTCAAATTTTATTCATGCTATCATGAGAATGAATCTAACAAATTTAAGAAAGTGCATTTCGTAATTAGGCCTTTTACATTCATGCAACTGTATTAGTAGCTTTCAAATTTGTAAAATGTTCTACAACAGAGTAAATTTGCAGAGGAAATGATTTACTAGCTCATTGCTAACGAAATGTACCGGATATATTCGCATTGATCACATATTGTTTGTATTGCGATGCAACGATATTGTGAAAGATTAATACATTTGAAATGTACTCAGTGCTTTTTCGTCATACACGTAGACCACTCGCAGGTAATTGTGCCATCTCAATGTTAAAGACAACAATGACTTGGATCTAGAAAAATTAATTCCAGACATAAAAATGTTAGCAATTCCCATAATAGAAGGAGACAGTGATAAATGTCTAGTAAATTAGATCAAAACAAAGAAATTAGTCTTGATTACTGTATGTATATCAGTTGGATTGTTTAGAGATTGCTGTCTAGCAGACAGATATCTCGCCTTGATTCTTACCCCCTCCTGCCTATCATTATTGGCGAAGATTAGATTTAATATGCAGAAATATTTACTAGCAAAGTAAAAACATCTCGCATAAGAGTTTATGGAATATTATTATAGTAATGCATTATATCGGAACATTAAATTAGGAATGAATTACCAGGTTTTTCATTATTAAAACATTTTACTTTCCTTAAAATCATTGCATAGAGTAATAAAAGTTACAGTAGTATACAAAATGAGGCATTTCATTCATAGTAAAAGATGCTAAGTTTTAAAATCTATCGCTCATTATTTATACTATTGAAAATAACTTTAAAATTATATGATTGATTTAAATCTGAATGCATGTGTAAAAGACAACTACAGTAACTACGGACATGTTATACGAAGATACTTTCAGATTGAAACTTAATCAATACGCATGTAACGCCTAACATTTGATCTTATAGTTATTATGAACAGCTCTTATATTTTCAGAGATAATTTCAAATATATGATCGTTCTAAGATAGTAATTTCTTGACTATCCCAGACAAGTCAATTTACTGTCTTTGTGATCATGTAACCATTAATAGATGCTTCGGATATTGATATGAAACATCATTAAAATTAATGATGGCTGTATTTTAGTTAGTTAATAACTTGGATTTTATTCACCTTTAGCTTAAAACGTCGATATAGCTTTAGTCTTGGTATTAAAATTGGGTAACTGCAATGGTGAATTTTTTTAATTTATAGGTTTTTCTATAATTGGTTGTTACTATATCCCTATTACCGGTTAGATGACCCAGTAACTCGTAATTACGATGTGACTCAAAACTGATTAAAATCACTATTATTCTTAGAATGTGAAATTGGAATAGTACTGTAATAGGCGAAGCAAAGTCCGCTATCGCTAAGATCTAGAGGATTACTAAATTAAAACTATGGCTGTTGAATTATTCAAATATCCCGCTGTTGAGGTCATTATTGTACAATGCTTCAATCGATAATAGTTTTGGATAGTTACAATGCATCAATTAGTATAATTGTATCCCTTAATTCTTACATGGACTATTTTAAAACTATGATCATTGTGTTGCTGCAGTTAGTGATAAAAATTTAAAACCAGCATTTCTTCATCAGACACATTCTAAGATAATTCGATGTTTTGTGTTCGTGTGTTATTAACATCAATTAAAAATTTTAAAATCCGATTGAATTTGTAATACACAATAATTAAAATGTTAAGTATGACTCATCGTGGTTAAAAACTAATTAAATTCTTTCTATTATGAAATCCTGCACGAGACAGAACAAGTCTCTCACTTCATCAAATAACAGGATTATAAATTCCTAT